GAATGAGCGGCATCTAACTTCAGAGATGGTTCTTCCTGTGCTCAGTCTTTAGGATCCTAGAAGGGTGAAGCTTCAAATAGGATTCATCATGTTGGATTGTTAGTGACTAGCGGCAGTAAACGCCAGCTCTGCTAGCGAGCGCCGTCTGCAGCTGCCTGGACAGCTACCGTGTTGACATGTCAGAGACTAATCAGAGTTATTTATGTAACATGAGCCACGATAAAGGGAGATAAAAATGACCTGTTCAACTAAAACTCTGCTGTCTCGGCATCTGGCGGAGCATTCTCCACCGCTCCAAGGATGACTTGATGTTTATTCACATTAGATTCCTCGCTTGGTCACATGTCCTCTTCGACTCCGCCCTTTCTTCTGTCGGCACTTTTGGCGGTGGGGCGAACAGAAGTGTTTGTAAGCTGCTACGCTACTTTCAGCCGCTCAGAGCTCCGAGGAGGGCCAGGAGAATGGAAGGGGATGAGTGGGATGGAGAGGCGGAGCAGGAGATTGACCAATAGGAGCTGTCAGGGACGGATGGCTCCCATTGGTCAATGTTTCTGCAGCCCTGCACCTGCTGGGGTGAACTGTTTTTTTTCGGTTCTTTTTTCTCTTCACTTTGTGGAGATTGCACTATAGGACCATGATCGCCATAGAAACGAGATTCATCATAATTACCAATGTTTACAATCGTCAACCATGACTTTAAGCAGTTATAGTTAGACAGCCTTTAGCAGCCGGTGGCGTAGCTTCTCCTCTGAGTTTTCCAGGATCTTGTCGCTGGACGACTGTAAGAAAAAGAAAACCAACTGCGGCACATCCATGTCCTTCCATTTGCAAGTCAACCTCCAGAGTTTGGAGGAATCCCAGGGTACTTCGACGCCAGATACGATATGTGATCCCTTCAAACTCTGGTCCCCTTCCCAGAACACTTCCAAAAGGAAGCGCCTAGAGGGCATCCTTTACATCCCAAACCTCCTCACTGACTCTACTCCGAGCTGCTTCACGATGTCCAAAACTTAAAAACTCTGATTTCATTGGTAGAAACATGAAGCCTGTAGTCAAATGGGCTCTGAGTGCGACTCCTGGACTCCAGGACTGATCCACTATCCAGCCCAGTGACAAGATATAAAACCAGACTGACCAATTAAAGGTAAAGACGTCCAAACGGTGGCGTTTGGATGTTTGTTGAGACATCTTTTAAAGCGCTCTGACAGATTAACGAGGTTTTTCTGGTCCAGATCGGCATCATTACGATCTTTCAGAGACATCGGCTCGTCCACTTTCCAGTAACTGCTACATTTCCTGAGTTCAAAGTTTACCTGCTTTTTATCGACCACTAAATCTCCGCAGGTGCATGTGGTTTTTTCTCCGCCGTGTTATATAAATGAGACTCAGCTGGCGATATGAAAAACACATGTGGTATGAAGACGAATAACCCGCTGAAGATGAAATGTATCACACCAGCTCGTAACTTTGACGCCATTGCTGGAGTTTTTTATGAAAGCGTGTTGTGTAGGATGATATTAAATGTCATAATTCAGAATAAAAGCGTATAAAGAAGCTGGTGGCTCATGAGTAAGCGCTCTGTTCGGCGGTGATGTGTCCCCCTCCCTCTCCCCTCTGATGAAACCTTATATCTGTGTTTAGCTGATTGCATAAACATCTGTATCTGCAGCAGCAGAGATCCCACAGCCCTCTGTGTCCGCGGATCCTCTTCCCTGAGAAGCTGCGGGGTTTTTCGTTTAGAGAAAACACGATCGAAAACAAACACAGGCTGCAGAATTATAGACAATGTCGGGGTGGGCGGCCAGATTAGGAGACGCACATTCCTCTCCATTAGAGCTAATATTCTGGGAGATTCTGCACTTAATGTAATTATGGGGGAATAACGGTCTCCCATGTGTGGAGGGGAGCCGCTGACTGACGGCGGGGATACTCCGAAATTTCACTCTCGGACTGTGGGAGGACTGCTAAACGCATTTCCCAGAATTCCAAGGCTCATTGTTTGACAAGGACCAAATTTTCCAGAGACGTTTCACCTCCGAGGGATTCAGCGAGCAGCCGGGCCGCTTTCAGAACAAACGCCGACTCTGCTGCAAAGATATTAATTTATGATTTTTCCAGCGACAAACTGTTAAAAAGCGATCGGAGTGAAGCCGTTAAACAGATGTGGGGGAAGCTGTTTTAGCGCTAATGAAAGAGTTTCCAATCGGAGGTGGTTTAATAATTATTAACAAAAACAACAGGAGTTTTAAGATAAATAGGTGTTACAACATTCAGACAAAGATGTGAGGAAAATTATATGAACATAACTTGTGCTTTTGTAATCCACCACGAAATACGCCTCACCAATGGACCCAGTAGGAATTGGCTGACGGCAAAAATCACAGCCGTTCTGGATCGGCTCTGTTCCGGATGCGGTGGAAATTGGGGGTCAAGAGTCAATATCAAGCTTTCCTACGTCCTACAACTGCAAGCTCCGCCCCCAGAGCCCCGCAATGCAGGCCAAATTCGGAGAAGTAGAGAGGATGATCACGGAACCAGTGTGTTCATTAGGTAATTGCAATGCTCGTAAGAAAGCTAATAATGATGTTAACTTTCATCATGTCCCCAGGGTTTAGTCTGGAAATTTTTTGTTTGTGTAGCGTGGACTTACTGAGTTAGAAGCGCATAAAAAACAACGACCCGAAAAACCCTCAAAATTTTGCGTGCGACTCTGCCCTGCGTAGGGGATTCAGAATATGGTTAAAAAAGAAAAGTCCTTGAAAATCACACAGGTAACGTGATTTTTGGTCAAAACTTCGTAATCACAATTTAAAGACCACTGACAACAATTTTAGAAGTAAAAAAAAAAAAACAATCGGAGCGGGACCTTCAGGTATCCAGGTAGATTAACGGAGATGTACTCATGACCCAGCTCTCTGTTCAGTACACAAACCACTCAACACCAAGAATTGACCTTAAGATGATTTTATTGATTTAGAAATGATTTAATTTGACATTCATGCTGGTTGATATGAGAACAGTCGAAACAGAAAGAGTTTTTTTTGCTTTATAAGTAATATTTAATTTATGGTGAAGTATAAATAAGTGATGTTGAAAATATTAACCCCCCTTTTAACGTAATCTTTGCTGTTGGTGTTTAATTTCATTAAATTTGTCTGTTTTTTTCTTCTGTTTTCTTCAATTTGTTTGATGTCTCACTTAGTTACCTGTTTGTTTAAACACCCTTCACTTATTCCTACCACTTCTTTTCTCTGCTGGTGACTTTCCCGACATATATTTATACTCTCTGAATAAATTGGAGGAAATAGTCTTCTATGTCGTTTGCTGCTGCTGTTGAAAAGTGGCTTTTTCTCATAAATGTTCAGAGTTTTCCAGGATCCAGCACGTTCATGTTTTAACCCGCTCCAAAAACTTGTCAGCTCGAGCTTCTATCTTCTGTTTTTTTCTCTCGCTCTCCACTAAAAGCTGATCTATGATTCATTTAGCATCGCCTGGTACAAACACTGGAAGTAGGAGCAGCTGCGAGCGACCAAAAAACTCCGCAGACAAAACAAAACCACAAACATCTCGTCGAGTCGAGAATCAAGCCAGACTCAGAGAGGCCTAACAGTCGGCTTTCAAACTCTGAATCTTGAATTCTGATCCACATCCTCACACTGTCAAATCCTCTTGTGTTTTTGTTTCATAACAAAAAAGGTGAAACGATTGCTACACTTAGCGCCGGTTCTCATAACAGTCTTGGTATTTTGTAAAAAAGGCAACATCAGAGATTGTTCGGGGAACTGGAGGCTCCGAGTCGCATTCTTATCAGCCGTCTGTTTTCACAGAGTGTCCTTCAGCGGCACTCAGAGATCCTCCTCCCTGGATGAGAACGTCACAGCGAGTGTTGCTATCAGCTCTAAAGTTTCTCTGCTAAAAATGGACTCAGCCTCAGAGGTGTACACAGGCTTGGAGAGCTGGATCCTTCAGGGACTTTTGGGCCAAACTCTTGAAGTTAATTGTGGTTTTAAATTGAAAAACATCTCCAGGACCAAACATGCTAATGCCTTTTCCATCTTCTTAGCAGATGTTTGCGCGCCAACCTAATAAACTTCTGGAGAACATGGTCCACACATTACCGCATCGCATCAACACGAGCATTGGAGATTTTTCTCGATGCTGCTCGCACGGTTCAAGCCTCCTGGTTTTGTTTTATTACTCGCTAATCTTGTTTTCATGGTTGTGGTTTGGTGACCGTTCCCAGAATCGACGTCTGGAAGTTAGCACTCAATCAAACGGGGCATGTGTTTTACATATTTATTCAAATATTGTCATTTTATACTTTGTGGGAGACGTAACTTGAGACGAACTCTTACTCATGAGCTTCACTTTGCCTGCAGGTTTTGGACAGACGTTTGTTTCCTGTACAAGAAGTCCTGTGATGCCAGCTAATGGACCGACATAAAGGTATTCAGTAGATCAGCGACGGCACACGGTTAAAATAACTCTAAAGAGAAGTCTGGGCGCCCCTTCAGGAGAATCGAATCAGGAGGTCAGATGTTTGAGAAAGGGTTTCTTTAGTGTCAGAGTCTCACCTGGACTAAGAAGAGCAAGAACTGGACTGTTACTCTGTGGTCCAAAGTCCTGTTTTCAGAGGTCCCGAAATCTGGAGGCCCAGAATTTAAGTTCTTGAAGTTTCCAGTCTGCAATGGTTTGGGGTGCCAAGTCTTCTGCTGCTTAAGTCCACCAGCTTCTATCTGCTGCCCTTTCTAGCAGGACCTGACACCTGCCCACAGCGCCAAAACTACCAGAAACTGACCCCGATTCTATAAACTGATTGTATTTCTTTATGGAAATACAATCAGACCGAGACGCTAAGACAGAAGAACTACCGCGTCTGCAGAGCAAAATGATTAATATGGTGATTATTACTTCAAGGAAATGATAAAGAAATGATCATAAATGTTCTTCCTTGAGCTGCGTCACCCCGCTGTAGTCAGTGGACTCGCTACAAACAAGCAGCTGCTGGAAGAGAGTAGGTGAGTTGTGTTTAGTCTCTTTGCTAAAGAAATGAGTCAAAGCTAAAAAGATGTTTGGTGTCTAGTACTATGTCTGTGACCCTATATGTCCTGTTGATGAAGTTAGGTGCTGTTCTGAGCATTATTTGTGGCTATAGAGTGGCGTTTTGGTTGAGCGTGTGGCTCTCTGTATTTCTATCCTGCGGTGGTTATTTAAGTTGGTATAACTAGAGAAGCAAGCGGTCGACAACATTCATCTCTCGAGGGGGTATCTAACTCAGTGTTACGGTGTGTTTGACCCTAAATTAATTTTACGCCGGAATATCCCTTTAATTGGCCTGACCTGAACCCCACAGAGGATCTCCCGGCTGTCATCCTGGACTTGGTAAACCCCTTTTTCAGGACTTTTAAAACTTTTTGGGCTGCACTTGTGCATATGAACATATCAGACAGTAAAACTAAATATTCATGTTTGTTCCTTAGAAAACAAGCAAAAAAAGACAGATTTCTACCTGCTGCTGCAGCTGATGATTCACCGAGCAGCTCGGTGTGTTTTCACAGATTACCGCCTGCTTTCTCTTCCCCCTCTTGGATTATCAAGCGTCACCTCTAGTCATGGGAGCGATTGCATTCCTTCCTCAACGTATTGCACAATAGAAAGTGTAACGTGTATCATCTCCGTTTCACCTCGGGGTCTTTTCCACGAAAGGCTTAGCAGGCACCAACAGAGTCGCACAGCAACTCCACTGATTTGACGTTTCATAGGAAATATCAAACTGGGAAAAGAAGAGGAACGATCACACTGAGAGGAGAAGTCTTGGTTCGGTTGGAAAGTTGGACTCTTTAGTGTTGAGATAAAACTTGAACCTGAAAAGTGAAGTTTACTTTAACTTAGAGCCGAACCAAATAACAAACGGATGCGTCCGAACTTGGCGTGTCTATTTTGCACATTTAAAAGTCGTCGATTAGCTCTTCTAAAGGCTCCCATCCTGTCCGGGTTGAGTTATGTTTTTGATGGACTGAGCAGTGGAAGTTTCCCGACCAACCAAAACAGATCAGTGTTCAGGTGATGAGAATACAACGCCGCTCGGACAGAGGTTACCGCACAAACTCTGCAGAGACGCTGTTCAATAACAATCTGACATCAGAGTTCCCGCCTTGTCAATCACGGTATTTGCAGAATAAATACTTTTCATGGTGGTTTTTGCACAACAGGTCACTGTCAGGACAGCTTTTCCCCGGAGCGGAGTTTGTGGAGTGAGCGAAGCCAAGTCCAGTCACATAAAATGAATGTGAGCCGTCGTGAAAATCTCTCTACCTGAGCTCCTGTTTCCTGTCGTGGCGCTTTCCTGTCATCCCCGATCATTTACGGCGTTGGACTGCATACTTTTGAGCTCCTTCGCTGCATGTCAAGTGAACGATCTGGGGATTTAAACTTCTGTGTCACTCGTTATTACCTCCACCTGAAGAAAAAAAGCATCAGTAGAAATCCTTCCGTGTATCTCAGCTACCTCGCTCGCTGTCTGCCCAGATGCTTTCGCCTGGAGCCATATTGACTCCTGCCTGACTACCGGTCAGCATGGCCGCAGGCGCTTTTCACGCCAGCTCATGCCTGAGCCTGCACAAAGACATCAGTCTACAAAGCCGGGCTGGCTTTTCATTGGATGAGACCAGGGCCAAAAACTCAGATGAGGCCCCCGGGGGACCCACAAGGCTATGTTGCAGCCTCACTCCTGCTCCCAATAACCCTATATGCTCCTCTCTCTGAATACTGATTTCATATTGATTGAGTCGAATCGACAGCTGCTGCCCTTGATGACTGCGAGGGTTCGGTTTCTTTACATGAAAACACTCTGAAACTCGAACACAAACTCTGCACAAGGACGTGGAGGAGAAGAAGAAGAAGAGGAGCTCTGCAGGTTCATTAAAAAAACAACTGGGAGGTATAGAATAAGTGAAACACAGATGTTGTAATAATGCTGATTAAAATGCAACACAAACATTTCTGCAACCATGCACTCCTATCAGACTCTGCTGGAGGAGGGGAGACACGTCCTTGTGGCACAAACAGCACATGACTGAAGCATGCAGAGTGTGATTCATAGAAGCAGCTACTTCCTCTTTAACACATGCACTTCTGCAAATATCTACATTTTTAGGAGCTGTGCACCTCACGTGTGTCCCTCCTATCTCCTGAGGTGGGTGCAGAAGAAGAGTCCGAGGAGGGTGGATATGACATCAAAAACATCCTGCAGAAACCACAGTATAGAAATAAAACGAATCACCCTGTGGAGACGGTTTCAGGATGGAAAGATGTAAAAAACAAACTTTTTATAAACACCAATCTTTTTCCTGATTTCCTGTTAAGATGTAGACTTTATTTAAACTTCTAGATCTCTCTCTCTCTCTCTCTCTCTCTCGCTCTCTCTCTCTCTCTCTCTCGGCGTGTCTTGACTCGACTTGACTTAACCCTCTGGATGAATCGCGGGCCAGCTGTTGACTAATAGTCCACATTCAGCGCTAAGAAAACAGCGTGTCACCACTCCACCCTGTGTCCTGAGTGTGGGTGGTGGGTGGTGGGAGCAGGGAGGGAGGTGCCGGCTGAGTAAATGGGATGGGGGTCGAGCAGGGGGGTGAAGCAGGACTTGTAGCTTTGTATTGTTTGACTGACAGTGGGACAGCGTGGGGGAACGGGTGGTCCCGGCCCGGAGACAATGCCTGAGAACACGCTGCCTCTCGGCTAAGCCCCCTTTGTGTGGCAGGGTGGGAAACCCCTTACAAATGGCCGTCACTGGCATGATGCATGCCTTTATCATGACTTGGGAATCCGCTGCATGAAAACACGGCCTGGTCTGGGATGAGATCTCGTTCTGCACGGACAGTTTTTATGAGATTAGGATGTTGACAGACTCATAGGTGTGAAAATAAAACTCTGAGGATTTACAGATATGCAAAGACGACTCCAGAAAAGAGTCTTTCTGCAAAACATGACCCCATTCGATGGCAATCAAGATACTTCTGCTGGTACAACGTCTTATCTGACACTTAAACCCTCAGAAAGTCAAGATTTAGGCGCCTGACACAGTGTTATCTGAGTTTATAATGATTCCTTTATGTCTTAAATCGGCCCTCAGACCAAAAAAAAGGAAGTAGTCTCGATCTGAAACAGTCAGCTAACAACAGAAATGACTTAAGTTTTTGAAGGATTCGATCCGTTGATTTTGAAAATACTCAGATCCCCTCCTGGTTGTTGCAGAAACACTCAGAGTTTATCTGCCGGTCTAACGCAGCGAGTGGATTTGTCAGTCAGTTATATTTACACTCTTGATGAAGATGCAACCGTACTCTTGTACAACTCCTGTTTCTATAAAACCACGTCACATCTGCTGCAGATTGATGACTTTTATTTTGTTACTTAGCTCCTATTCTTATTTCCTGTTTTATTTTGAAACTTCTCTCGTGTTTCCCGCTCCCTTGATTACCATGACGACCTCCTCTCGTTGTGTTATAACCCTCGCTCCTCTTGCCTTTGTGCCAGTTGGTCTTGTTGGAAAGATTCACACAAGAATCACACCAAAAAAATACATTGTCCACACGGGGGCGCCAAAATCAGTACAAATATAAAGTTCCTAACAGGAGCTTTAAACCTGTTTTCAGTCTGACAATAACTGATAATTTTAGAAAGTAAAACACTGATCTTGTGATAAAAATAAGTGACACCGTTTCAGAACATATCTTGTATTAAAGTAAGGCTAATAATAGGGTGACCATACGTCCTCTCTTACCCGGACATGTTCTGGGTCCTGGGTTTTTGGGGGCTGTCCACAGGGTGTTAATAAAATCCTCAAATGTCTGTGGTTTTGTATGGAAGTTTTGAGTTTGTGTAGCGCGGACTAACTGAGTTAGAAGTGCGTAAAAAACACTGATTTAATGACATCCCACCACGTTTTAACTTCATCTGTGCGAGGGTGTAGGTGCAAAAACAGACCTGTTCACATTAAACGTCACAATTGACTGTTAAAAATCAGCATGCAGATGGCCGAGCAGGTTAGACCACGGTCCCTGCAGTGGTCACAGGTTCGAGATGGCCCTCTATCTCTCTCTATCTCCCCATCTTTCACCCTATTCTATCAATAAAAAGTAAAAAATTGCCCCAAAAAAATACTTTTAAAAAATCAGCTTTGTCCACAGGGGGGCGCCAAAATCAGCACAAATAAAAAGTTCCCAACAGGAGCTTTAAACCTGTTTTTGGTTTGACAAAAACTGTCTATTTAGAAAATAAAACACTGATCTTTTGATAAAAATTAGTGACCGATTTGCAAGAAATATCTAAAGTGAGGCTAATAAAAGACGGGTGACCATACGTCCTCTTTTACCGGGACATGTCCGGGGTCCTGGGTTCAAATGTCCGGGATTTTGTATGGAAGTTTTGAAAGTCTGTAAAACACTTCACTTGCGCAACTCCATCCTGCATAGTCGTGTCCTCTCTGTGGGGATCCAGAATATGGTCACCCGAGCTAATAATCCACCCTAAATCAAATAGTTAAAGGGATATTCCGGCGTAAATGGGACAGGATGAAGTTAAGTTTTTGTGACTTTGAGTGAAGTCAAAGTATATCTGAATAAAACTGATTTTTAAAGTTCTGGTTCTGTTAAATCAGAGCAGAGATGAGACGCTTTAATTTGAAGTTTTAACCTACCGTCATATAAAACCCGCTCACTGTGATTTAATGACATCCCACCACCTTTAAACTACATCTGTCTCCATTCAACGCTCCGTTTAAAAGCTCCAATAAACAAACTGCTCATCCATTTTGTCGTTGACTTCCTCCAAACAGACTAACAATGTGAAACTCAAGCCCGGCTTTGGGAGGAACACACCTCCTGAAGTTGAGGCTGTTTATTCAGAAGCTTAGGATTGTATTCAGTGAGGAGGAGGTGAAGGAGGAGGAGGAGGAGGCAGAGGAGGAGGGGAGGGGACACGTTAGAGTATCTGCTTACATTCGGCCCAATTAGCAACACAATGGCGCAGGGATTTACAGAGAATCAAGTCTGCCTGTTTGTCAGCATACATCTGTTAATTATCAGTGTAAATGAGGTCCCAAACAATAATTATCAGCCACAATCAGGTCAGGTGAAGAGGACCAGGAACTGTCATTAATTGTGTTTAAAATGCTGACACCAATTAGCGGCTCGATCCGTCCCCCGTCCCCCGTCCCCCGCCGCCGCCGCCACCCACAGACCGCTCGCCCTGTTGTGGGGATGAAACTCATTACACTTCCTCCAGTGCACAGAGTGCCCAGTCATACTGGTTCAGCTGGTCGGCCTTTCAGCTCCAGCTCACAGGAACACGCTGAGCGGTAATGTAATCTGGCATGAGGTCATGAAATTCGTGGGCGATTCGTTCCGAGCGTGGAAAACGATACAGAGGGACTGGCGCTGATAGCGAGCCTGTGAGAAAAACGGCGTATGCAGATGACCTCTGGGAGTTCAAATGAAGTAGCATTTGGAAGGTCGATGTGGGTTTTTAAGACGCCAAACGCCGTCCTTGAGCGAGACAGTCGGTGGACGCCGCTTTGATAAGAGAGAGAAAAACAAAGGAGGCGCAGATTAAACCCAAACCTCGCCTGATAAAGAAAGTTGACAGAAAGTTTCCCTCGGGTTTTAGTCGCTAATAAACCTGCTCAGGTTGGCAGCAGATGAGAGCGTGCAGACTCGCCCTGATTCATCATCTTCCCCGCGATGGGAGCGCCCACAGAGCAGGAAGTATCTACAATACGAGTCAAATCCACAGAGGGAATTTTCCACCGCCATCTGACTCGGTCTGGTACGAGCAGCAGTTGGTTAACGTCAGTCTGAGATCAGGTTTGCATGTCAACAATCTCCAAAACAGACTCACAAAGAGTTAAGTTGAGCTTTTCTGAACACCTGGGCAGGTTCGAGTCCAACTGAGGTGGGATTGTTTAGTTTCATGCAGAGACAGATCCAAAGAAGCTTTAGCACACCTGTCTTATACCTTCAGACGCCACGGTTTCACAGTGAGAGAGTTTAAAAGTGTTTCTTCTTCTGCAGAAATCCATTCTTGAGAAACAGACATTATTTCCGCTGACCGTCCACGCCCAGATTTTTCCACTGGTCTGCACGTCTGAACTTTTGATTCTAACCTCTGACCTTTATCCGTCTTTCTGTCTGTCCGAGTTGTTAAAACTTTTTTCACACAAAAACAACAGAGTGTCTTTAACACTCAGATTAATCAGACGGTTCGTTCTTATCTGTAATTTCTTAATTCCATCACAGTAAATCCCGCATACTTTTCCCGTTTCTCGTCTTCTGTGCAAGATGTACATAACAACAACATCCTACACAATCTCCATGTTTCTTTTGTTTATCGTTATCGGCATAAACTTTTGACTCTGGGCTGCTTTCTGTGCTTTTACTCTGAAAAGTCATGGCTAGAGGAGCGCGGTTCCTGCGTCCTCACACGAGAGTCTCCGGGTCTGCAGCAATACCCGTCTCATGCAAAGAGGAAACCATAAAACAACTCAACTTTACTGTCATCCGTCTGATTAGCTTGTACTTAGCAACAATATCCATAGATAGATAGATAGATATACTTTATTGATCCCAAACTGGGAAATTCACGTTACAGCAGCAAAAAAAAACAAAATAAAATTAAATATAAGAAGAACTAAGTATAATGCAGACTATCCAGTGCCGAATGTGGTGCATGCAGTTACAGCTGAACAGTGACGGGACACAGATGTTGGTCAGGACCTTTAAGACGGACTGAGAGGAAAACTGTCCCAAACTCAAAACTGGACCCTCTTTTTGGAAATCCTCGAAGACGAGAGGAACCGCCCGTCGCTGATGCAGAAGTTTACACGTCTATGAAGGCTTCAGTCGGCCTATAAAGTTTCTGTCTGAACTGTCATTACATTCAAATCACTCTAATAACCTTCACCGCTCTGTTTTAACCCTCCGAGCACGTCACTTAAACGTTAGCGTGCTCCTGATACCTCCAGATAATCCGCCGAGAAGATGAGCTGCAAATTCCGTTGACATATGCTGAATGTAAAACAGGCTTCTTGTTGTATGACCTTCATTTCTCTCCGTCCTCCAGCTCTTCTCGGCGAAAACATGAATCTCTAAAAGGTTTTTTAAAAGCATCTGTATTTTTCGCACAAACAGGAGCCGATTATTTAAAGACACTTCTGCGTTTGGATCAATATCCTAAAAAAGAAAAACCTCGAAACAGTCGTCATCTTTAATTAAACAGACGTATCGGTTATTGAGCCAAATATAATTAAAAGAGGATATCAGTCTGTTTTTTTTTACAGCTAATTCAACAAATTAACAAACACACTCACAATACAGCGAGCGCGGTTAATTTTCATTAAATGATAACACTTTCCAGACAATTCAGGGTTTTTTTTTTTATGTCATTATTTGCGTATTCATAAATTCCGGGCACGGGCGCATGAACCTCAACCTTTGTTAATATGAATATATTGTGAGGCATTTGCATAATCCACTTCATAATCCACTGCAGCACTCGGCGGTAACAAAGATAAGGAGGGGTAGCCACTGTTTCTCCTGGGAACGCTGCGCAGATAAACGCAGAAGAAGAAGAAGAAGAAGAAGAAGAGACCCACTTTCTGCTCCTATTATGAGATAAAAAAAAAAAGAGAAGTTTCCACTTTCCCGTACGTTCGCCTTTTAGAGACAGACGGCGGTGGAATATCATTATTTGTCTGTTTTTATAGACGCTGAAATTTAGTGAATTTCCTCAGAGAAGCGGTGCATGATGGGTTATTTATGTACCCGCCGCAGACGAAGACGCTGCGGCGGCGGCGGCGTGCCGATTTTATTACCCGCCTCTGAAATATGTTGTTTGCAGAAAATGTAAAAGTGAAGGAGTGGAGGAATCACGGGGCGACAAATGAGCAAACTCCTGAACGCCGCTAATGAGAACCCCTTTAGCTTCAGCGTGTGTGTGTGTGAGTGTGAGTGTGTGTGTCTGCACCTGTGTGTGGCTGTGTGTGCACGCATGTGTGTGTGTGTGTGTGTGTGTGCGCTCTTAAGTCCCCCAATCGCTCCAAATTGGCCTCTGGGATGACGCCACCACACAACTACATCCATCCCCGCTGTGCTGCATGCATTCCTAGTGTGTGTGTGTGTGTGTCTCTGCATGTGTGTGTGTGTGTGTGTGTGTGTTTGGACAATGGCAACACTTCCTTTTTGGCCTAATAGGCAGGGAGCCCCAGCCATTGTGGCCTGATTAGGGCTCCCATTCAAGCTCTCTGGGATTTCTAATTGCGAGGCCTTGTGCGGCGAACTCCCCCTCACTTCCCACCCCGCCGCTACACTCCCCTCACGACTACTGTAAGACTTAATGAGACACAATTACTGCCCCCTAGGAGTCCTGCAGCGAGCCAATCACAAAGAGAGACAAAGACCCCCAGTGAATGGCCACTCAGCGGAAAAAGAGACAGAAAGAGGGAGCAGGAGGGAGGGGAGAATCACAAGCCCTCATTGTCCGGAGAAAGCTCCTTTTTTTGGGAGAAATATAAATGTTTTTATTTAATGCCGGCTCATAATTAGGCCCCTGAGAGGGACGGGGAGAGTGGAGAGGGTGGGGAGTTCAATGGGGAAAAAGGCCTGTAGGTACAAAAGACGAAGAATGACATGTTCGACGTGGAGGAGGAGGAGGAGAGAAACGGACGAATAGATACGGAGGTGAAAAAACACAGAGGCAGAAAAAGGGAACAAAACCAAGTGGAAAAACTTGACAGGACTTTCTTCTTTTCTTCTCTTTCTCGGCGCTCTAAGCCGATTTGGCGTGGGAAATGGCCTGACATTGAATGATGCGTGCCAGGCCGAGTGAAAAGCCGAGGCGGCCGCTGTGTTTTTCGCAGGTTTGGCACTTTACGTTTGGCTCAAGAGGGGAAAATATTCCTCGATTTTTGAGAGGCCTTCCTGCCAAAAACGATGTGGGAAGAGTTTGGGTCGAGGAAGACGAGAAAGGCCCGGTTTGTTGCAGACGGCTCTTGACTGTATGGGAACATTTACTGTATTCTTCCCCCTGAATGGTGCCGATATTATGCAGAGCGGTCGAGTCCGGGGATTTGGACGCGTTCACATGGAGAGAGAGGAGTTTATTGCGAAAGCTGAGCCGCTGTATGATGTTCGCAGACAAGAAATGACAACAGATATCAGCGAGCTAATAAAGACGACGTGTCAATCAGGCCTCTTGAGTAATCCCGCCGTCTGCAGGGCGCTGTACGATACAATAGGAGGTGGCAGGTGTGACCTGACGCACAAAAACAGAATAAATAATGAAAGTAAGAGCCTCTTCAAGACGTCTGAACCGATCGTGTTAAGATGCACTTCTGGGACTGAAAGAGCTGCAGCAGATCCACAGAGCGAACCGGGGGAAACGTTCGTCTGTCAGCAAGAATTTAATCTGTGGAAATCTCAGTCACACTTCTTGCTCTTGGCTAAACAACCTGAAAACAATGTCGGTGCATGTTTGGCCTGCGCTCACACCCACTTACCTCTAAAGACACTAACGCAAACACGCTGGAAAAGCTGCAGGGCCGAGCCTGCAAGAACCGGGAGAGGGATTAAACGCATTAAACCTGCCTGTGTTCTCTAAATTATCATCGTTTACGCACTAAAGTCAAGTTTCTGAATTAAAACGCAGATGAACAGATCCTGTTTCTGCAGATCATTGAACAAACTATAACCCCCAGATTCCATTGCCTGTGGAACGGCAGTGAAAATGCCGTCGGCGCCGATCGCCGCTTATCGTTTCCACTCAGGTTAATATGTCAAATTCCACCGGCTTCTTTCCACCCCCCTGCAGTTCAGCGGGCTTCATAACCCCAGTTTTGACCACATCCGGTATGGCTCTGATCTGGAACAGTGGTGATTTTCGCCATCTGCCAATTCCTACCGGATCCCTTTGAGAGGCGAATTTCATGGACGATAACGGACAGTGGTAATCGCCGGAGCATGCCGCATAAATTCAGCACAAATTAACCCGTGCTGGACACAGACACAAAATAAAAAATCCGGCTTCTTTTCAAGTCAAAGGTTTTCAGACGTCATTTCACCTCGTTGACGTCATGGTTGAGAAGATGCTGATTCTGAAAGTCCAAAATCACAGAATAATCTAGAACCCGTCTCATTCCTTATATAAGGGCAATCATAGAAAGGATATGGCGTGGGATTCCATGGCCAATCGATATCACGTGATTGCATGTGAATTCGCAGGTTCTTCGCTGTTCGAAGTTTGCCTCACAAACTCATCCAGTAGGGTTCGGATGACGGCGAAAATCGCAGCTGTGCCGTTCCGGTTGCGGTGGAATTTGGGGGTAACAATAAACCGATTGTTTCTCTACGCTGGTCATAGCTGGAGGTGTTTTGGGAAGCAGCACGCCGTCTGGTCGCTCAGTTTAGCAAAGGGAGCAAAGACGGGGATCAAACTTCAGGCGTCAGGTGAATCTCCAGACAGAGGTGTTACTATTTACACGGCTGTTTTAACTTTAATCCTTTTATATACTGTGTGCAGTTTTAACATCTATCTATTTATGAGCATTAATTTTAGGTGACGAGCAAATTTCTTGTTCCGATTAAAAATTTAAGGGATCGGACAATAATGAACTGACTTCACTAAATAAGTCAAAGGCTAAAGAGTGAAGATCGAGTCAGGTAAGAGAGTCACGATCGGAATAAGTGTCTACACGGACTACGTCTCGGAATAACGGTCGGTATAAATCCCCCCGCTAGATCGGGATACAATTTCTTTCCGATCTAAAGGGGTATTGGATCAGAATCTTCTGATCGACGTGTTTACATGACGCATTTTTATTCCGATCAGACATTTATTCTGATTATTTGTGCCCATGTAAACACAGTTATGTTTGAAATGCCTCTACTCATGCATGTTCTGCGTATGTCATCACATGTCATCGTGACGTTATCCTCTCCCTTATGTCGTCTCTCTTAGTCGACTGATAGTAACTTTCCCTCCCTGCAAACCTTCGTTGAATTAAATTTTGCAGCATCCCTGTTCTCCTCACACTCACACTCACACTCACACTCACACTCACACTCACACTCACACTCACACTCACACTCACACTCACACACTCACACAAATACACACAGCCTTGGCCCCATGTTCCTTTCAGTGTGTGCAGCCCCTCAGCCGCTGACTGAACCCCCTTTGTTCGGCGGTGACCCTCTTAAGCGCAGGTTGAAGCCTGCAGCCATTCCACTTTGGATTTGGACCCTATCGCGTGTCACACGGCTAAGTCGACCAGGACCGGGCCTCCTCGCTCAGACACACGGCAACAAGTATCCATTCACTTTACAATGAACGCTGCAGCAGCAGGATTAAAAAATGACTAGATCACTTGGACTAACCAGAGGGTTTCCTGCGGTCAGTGGAGAGAGAATAAACATCATGAGTTTGTTAAAGTCTCTGCAATGACGTCTTTCCTTGATGAGATCGAAACAACCGTGGAAAGTTGACGGTTCTGGTTCATGAATGTGATGTTCAGAGTTTGTTAGCGGAACAAATGTCTCCCTCCTCTTCGCCAGTTTCACACAACTGTATCTGTTAGCGCCGAATCCCAGCTGAACGCACGCAGAGAGAGCGGGTTTTATGGAGGAGTTTTTTCAGTGTGATGAATCCAGTTTAATGATCTTTGAGCGTCTTTACATCAAAAATGGATCCGATTGGTCAGACAGCTGGACTGAATATCACAGGGCTGAACAAATCCCGTTGTTTTTCTCTTAAAACTTAAAAATTTTTTATTCATTAACAGAAGAAGAGTACGGAGCGTGCTTTAAAGGTTGTTTTGGCCGGAAGCGAAATTTTCTCTTGTAGAATGGTAGGGGAAGGTCCCGCCCTCCTTCACCTCCGATTGGCTGGAAGTGCTGAGCTCCAATTGGTTTTTCCTTATGGTGGTGAAACATCATCGTCTGTTGGGTTAGGAGATTCAGAAGTGCGATAATGTTCTGGAACGTCTGTTCGTTGTACAGAGCCGACAGACTGCATTTGGCTTTAGTGTGTGATGACGTTTCCAGCTTTTCTAGCCAATCAGAGGCAAAGGAGGCGGGACTTTCCCCTACCATCCAACAAAAAAGTATCGCTGGCACCATAAAAGAGTTGCGCTTTGTCTCAAATGAGCGTTTCCAGAGATGCAGATAGACATCCACACGGAGATGAAATGGTCGTCTTTTACGGATTCAAAAAGTAGCGTTAACAGTCACCTGAAACGCCGATATGACAGAAAACTTTAGCGTTTACTCCTTTGGACGGGTTGATACCGCCTTCAGACAGACTTTACAGCAGGGAGTGGTTTGCTCTTCGTCTGAAACTGTGAAGTCGTACCAATTCAACACGACTGACTCACTCTTGTCCTATTTAACCACGAAATTATCGCCTTCTTCTGCAAACGCCATGTTCGTTTATGGTGGCCTGGAGACGTGAGACATGATAGAGAGGAAAATGGATTTGAGGATTTTAATTTTCTTAACATTGTCATAATCGAATAATCCGATATAAAATCGATTAATCGTTCAGCCCTAACATATAATGGTTCAGATGTAAACTGCATCTTTGCCTCAGGCCTGCAAATCGACAGTACAGGTGTGATTGCACAAACAGACATGTTTATTCTTGCACTCTTGCACAGGGTTAGCATACATAGATGCGTTTATGAATGTAGCATTGAGCAACATAGATAGACGTAGAAATACACAAGCTGATTAAACAGATAAATCACAGTCCACCGTCAGACGACCTTTACTCCTGTAATTATTGTGAAAGTCTTAGTAGAATCAAAAACAGCTGTTTCTTCTTCTCTTTCTCTCTTTTCTGTGATTTTGTCCGACTCCACTCTCACCGTGTTCCCTTGATCGCAGGTCTTCATCAGGAGTTCCCCCGTTTGCATAATTCAGCCGAATAAATCTAACAAAAGGAGTTGGACCAGCTAAAAAAAACACATCAGGAGCGCTAATCTGTCAGAAATATGCAGATCACGACTCAGGTGTCAAGATGACGCCACATGATGAAACCCGATTCAAGTTCATTTGCACTGGAAACAAGTGAACTCGTCTCACCTCATCGGCAGTTTTATTTTTTTTTAAAGAGCGACTATCAAAGATGTGTTGAGATTGATAGTTTATTTTTGGAGCTGCCTTTAACGCCTGCCTTCATATAACTGTCAGCCTGTTGCCGCGTGAACAACAGCGCCTGACACCTACAAAGTGGAATGCGTCTTTGACAGTTTCAAGTGGCTCTCTGTTGGTTTCATCAGCCTAATCAGGTCCAACTGTGACGGAGATTGACAGGTCATATGTCAGATGAGGATGTCTCTCAAAGCAGCGGCGCATATTTCCTGGAGTTGCTTTTCAACCTTCCGTTATTTATCCAGGAAAAGCTCCTGAATCCCTCATGTGCGCTACGCTGCCCTGATTTCACTCATTCAGATCCAGGAGCAGCTCGGCGCCATTCAGAGATGTCAAAAGCAGGAAATTATCTTTGTCTACAATGTGGTTCATGCGTATGCTCCTTGGACCGCCTGCATTAAAAACATACATTTATTTAAGGGGTGTTAAAGGGGTATTAAAGCAGGGGTGGGCAATCATGGAGGGCCGAGAGGCTGCAGGTTTTCTTTCCAACCCCTGATTAGTCCCTGCTCTCTGCTTGGAGGTAATCAGTGAAATCACCTGGTGGAGTTTTGGGTTGGAAAGAAAACCTGCAGCCTCTCGGCCCTCCATGTCACATGATTGTCCACCGCTGATCTAAAGCAAAAAACATCATTAAAGATTCAGAAAATCAGGAGAGATTTCTGTACAAGGTCAAAAACTCATGACTCTGTAGTGGAATTTACTGCATGGGCTCAAAAACACTAACAAAATCCAGTCAGGTCAAAACTGAACCATGCAAAGAGGACGTCTAACCCTGGGGTCAAACCATGAAAATAGAAGTTTGACACTCTTCCTGGAAATCATAGACGCTGGTTCAAACTCGACCATAGAAACGGGAAAACTAGATCCAGAAGTGCCCACAACTTCTCTGGGCCTTACCCCCAATTTCCATCCCATTCAGAAAGCCTACGAAAAAGTCGTATACTCCGATTGTAGCTGATCATAACCATTCAAGTTTATGTGTCAATTTACACCGACTTCTTTCCGTTCCTCTGCGGATCGCCGGACTCCTCAGCTGATCGCAAGAGTTCTATTTTTTCTGGAGCATGCCGGATAAATTCAGCACAGATTAACCCGTGCTGGAAAGGAAGTCGGGCACAGACACAAAATAAAACATCCGGCTTCTTTTCAAAATAAAACACTCCGTGTTTCAGGAGGATCGTATTTCACACCATGCAAACGGGCGGAGACGAACAAGTGAAAAGGTTTTTAGACGTCATTTCACCCCGATGACACCATGGATGAGAAGATGCTGATTCTAGAAGTCTAGAAGTAGATTTCCTCCTCTGGAAGGACACAATCTACTGCTAATATGGTTAGCCTCTGTGGCTAAAGACAACTCGTTATTGTGCAATTGTACGTGAATCTGCAGGTTCTTGTGAGTTCTCGCGATTCCTGCTGTCTGTAATCCACCACGAAATTCGCCTCACAAACAGATCTGGTAGGAATTAGCGTACAGCGAAAATCGCAGCCGTTCCAGATATGGTGGAAATTCTGGGTTAGACTGTTTAACGTGAGATTAGGCAAATTGAAAAACTGTCTAGGGGTTGAACCAAAAATCAGAGCTTGACATTTATTTTGGAGGCAACATCTCAGACCGAGTGGAAAACTGTCCTGTGATCTGAGGAAACTTTTTAGAAATCATGGATGCTGCGTACTCCGTACTTCGTATTTTAGTATAGGGTTCAACTCATCAACAAATAATCAAACCCTGATTATTTTCAATGGTTCTGATGTTGTGATTGTACTGAGTCTGCGTTCTCTTCACTTTTGTTCCCTGAATCAGTCGACTAAACGGTGACCCCCTTTCTGTGAGACGCCCTGAATAAAGTCGAACCCCTCCTGTCTTTCTGAGGTTCTGTCACCGGGCAGAGCAGCGTCTTCATCCTGAATCTCCTCCCAATAATCCTCTCTAAAAGAACCCTCTCTCCGCCTTTGTTTCCGAGCGCTCCTGACTTTCGCTCCTCTTCCCACAGACGAGCTGTCAATCAAACCGTGTGGGCGCTAATGTGTCATGTTTTTTTGTTTGTTTTTTCAGATTTCCCCTCATTGAAGTTTGACTTTCTGTAGGTGGCGTTCTCATCTCTGGGTATTTCCTGTGTTCTCGCTCTAACTATTTATTTCTCGTGGCGAACAGCAGGGGTTCGGCTCATGCACTTTGTCGTGACCCGGGAAGTCGTGTCGTTTAGGCGTCGTGCTCGGAAACTGTTGATACCGTTTGCGTGTGGAGGGCGGCTTTTATTACACCTGCGTTTGATGAGCGGAGAAAATCAGGTGTAAACTGTGACAGCTGCTTCAGAGCCTTAAATCATCTCATTATTTTTTACAGCTGAAGGCGTAAAATCTTAAACTGACCATTTCTCCTCCATCATAACCCGCACAGAGAGTGTGTCAGCGTTATCTCCCGCCGTCTTTGATTCTCGCCGACTACAGTCAGTCTGGTGTAATGTCGTAAACAGCTGAAGAAAACATTAACAAAGTCTGCAGCGATCGTCGATCACAGTTCGCTAATCATTATCCAGAGAAAGTCGAGAGGTTCTGAGGCTGTCATGTGACCCGGGTTATGATTGATTACTTTATTCACGTGATGGCGGCGTTTACATTAATCTGATTGGTCCTCAAACTTAGTGACTCTTTTTCGCCTTTTTCACGCCCCCCGTGCTTACGTTGGCTCTGCTACACATTATAAGATACAGTATTTGGATAATGGAGCAAAATCTACCCTAAAGATTCCAGATTGAGACGCGCTTTATCTCGCCTCCGTGTCCCTTTCCAGAGATGTATTCTACACATTACGGTATTTTACTCCAAAAATCAGATATATCTGACATTTAGGAATCCTGCAAATATACGGCACTAAAACAAAACAAAAAAATAAATCATGTTTTAGACTTCCTCTCATAAAAGCCCCTGAAAAAGACTGCACTTTAAAAAATGGTGGGATTTATATTCCAGATTATACGGTAATCCAAGTTTCTTGTTTTTTTAAAAGTGTGGATAATGTGGATAAATTTCATCAGTGTGGATCCAGTCCTGCTCTGTTTTGAAATGGGAACATCTCATTTATTTAGTTTGTCCAAATGTGAGCACCGTAGAAACAACAGGTGTAAATGATTGACCAGAGTTTCCTATAATCCAGACAGTTTATCGTACGATCCCGTCACCTTTTCCCTCCGGGAGCTCCATCACAGAGATAAGACGTTTGAATCATGTGGACTTTTTATGATGAAGCTGCTTTCTTGATCACTTTATGAGGTGTTTTTTTAATTGTTTTTAAAGCCCTAATCATAAACCTGTCATCGTATAAACATGGACATGAGTTCGTTTTAATACTTCAATAATAATAATTTCTGAGAGTATAAACAAACTGACATTCCTGGCTGACTGAACCTCCTCACACTTTCTCTGATTGACTCCCAGAACAGCCTCATAAACGTGGACTCCATCCTAGTTTTCACCTCCAGACACATGGTGCTGCCACCTCCACGTTTTAGCACTTCATCACCCTCAATTTAAAGCTCAAAAGTCAGACATGTTATTCTAACACCTCCTCCAGCTGCTAATATACAAACTCTCACATTTAAGCTGAATCAGAATTAAAAACAACAGTGTCAGACATGGACTGAACACTAACTAACAGGGAGCTGAAAGCCCAAAGGTCATAAGAATAAAACACTAATACTGGTCCAAAGGTCCTCCCTTTAACCTCTTTAACAAACACTTTTAGAGACACACTGGACTTTAGAGCTCTTTGTTTGCTCTTCGCTGAATGTCAGATTTGGGATCCGGCTGCATGAGAAACACCCGTGTGGTCAAAAACCAGAATATCGTTCAGTCATCTTCAGAAATATGTTACTGCCAGTGGTCGTCATGGATTAAGAGCACCTGAACCCGGTTCTCCTAGTCCAAAAGAACAGGCCTCAGATGAGTAATCTGCTTCCCATGTCCAAGCTCCTCATCATACCTGCATTCATGCACACTCACCTATATCATAACATCTATGTGCACGTACAGACAAACTTTAAATGAAACCTATTAGAAGCAAGAACAGTTTCATAAATGCACATATATGTAGGCAGGGCTCGACAGTGCGACCGTTTCACTCGCATTTGAAACCCTAATCCCAATACCCCAAGGTTACCCCAACTAAACCCCTAAAACTTTTTTTTGTATCAATTGACTCTAAATGGTCTGAAACATGCAACTAAAAAGGTCCTGGACAGTGATTTTAACCTTAACCCTAATACCCCAACGTTACCCAAACGTAACCCTAACACTTAACTATTTTTTTGACATTTTTCCTAATTTTTTTGTACCAATTGTCTCCAAATGGTCTGAGATGTGCTTGTAAAAAAGGTCTTGGACAATGATTGAAACTCGTACCCCATAATTCTAACCCTTAACCCTATACCCAATACCCCAATGTTACCTCAGCGTAACCCTTACACTTCAAAAATTTTTGAAAAAAAAAAATTCAAAAATTTTCCCTAATTTTTTTGCACCAGTTGGCACCAAATGGTCTCAAACATGCTCCTAAAAAGGTCCTGGACAATAATTTAACCCCAACACCATAACCCTAACCCCAATACCCCAACGTTACCTTAATGTAAGCCAAACACAATTTTTTATATTTTTCCTATTTTTTGACACCAAATTGTCTCAAACATGCTCCTAAAAAGTTCCTGGACAGTAATTTGACACTAACACCATAACCCCAACCCTAATACCCCGGTGTTACCCCAACATAACCCTTACACTTCAAAATCTTTTGACCTTTTTCCATTTTTTTTTTTTTTGTCTTTAGAAGGTCCTGGACATTTATGATCCAAACATGTTCATGTATAGGATCACCACATATAAATTTGGAAATGTCCCTTTAATTAAAGCCACTGGACTTTGGAGAATCACAAACAGAGAACAAAATAAAAAGTTTGAGTTTCACGTCTTTGACTCTCATATTTCTGCCTCTAAATCATCCTCCTCCTCCTCCTCCTCACCTTCCTTGTCCCTCAGTCTGTCCCCCTCTCCCCTCCCCTCTCTCTTACCTCTCTCTCGCTCTCTCTCCCCCTTCCTTCATTTGGCCGAAGCTAAATGTCTTGTGTGAGATAACATCGCAGTAGGAAATTCCGCCTGTGTTGCCAGACTGCTCAGTTTTCTCCCCAGGGCTGGCAACAATGTGCGTCCTTCATAAGCGCCTGTGCAGCGCTCAGGATCTCCACTCATCCCCTGTGAGCCCGGTCAAAAGACCCGCCGGCGAAACCCAACGCCGCGCTCCCAGCTCAACACCAGAACCACAGCAGCTAACCGGCGGGATTAAGACAATGAAGGTCTGCTCTGCAATCTGACATTCACTTGAAGGACCCTCTGATATGTATACAGAACATTACCACAGCTTCTCACTCAGTACCTCAGTAGATCCGAGTCTCAGAACCTGTTCGGCCTTCTTCATCCACTCATCGCATCTGTGTCAAAGTGATCTGGCCTGGTTTCTGTAGATACTGGTCTTTCATCTTTACAGAAACACCATCAGAGGTCTGAAGATGACGTGAAAAGTCAGTTCTCACTCTCTGGGTGTTTTGGTGCTTCTGAAGATAATCCCACCAGGGTTTTCGCCAACACAGAAAAATACAGGAGCCAGTAAGAATGTTCCTGTCCTCCTGTCGTCCAGTCTTGTGAGTTTTCAGTTTGTGTTTGACTTTGTTTCCCTCCTCCTTTTGTAGGAGTTGATTCCTTGTGTTTCTAGCCTGGTTTTCCCTCCTTCGTTAATCACTCGTGAGTCTCACCTGTGTCTCGTCTGCCTCACCTGTTGCTCGTTTCTTCATTGTTTGTTTGTCAGTGTCGGTGTACGCTTGTGTCCCCAGGTGTCTCATTGTGGTTGATTTCCCACTGTCCCTTTTGTTTTAATAGAACAACCAAGATGCACTATGGCACCAGGATGGCCGAGTGGTTAAGGCGTTGGACTTAAGATCCAATGGGCAGGAGCCCTCGTGGGTTCGAACCCCACTCCTGGTAGTCTCATCATAAGTCAATGTAGGTCACTCCCAGTACCTTTCCTTGTTGGTTGGATTCTGGCACAGGAACTGGTTTAGAGAATGTCCATCTATCTAGTTCTGTATTTGTCTCCTTTCTCCTTCCTTCAACCCTGCATCGTGACAGTGACTTTATATTTTGGGGTCCAATTCTTTTTAATTCTGACATTTTTTCTCCGAATTCTCAAGTTGATTTCAAAATAACTGTCAGAATTCTATTTTATTAGGATTCAAGATTTAAAATGAGAATTCAGACTTTCAAACAACTAGAATCCTGAAATCAAACAAAGAATTCTGAAATCAAAAAGAAAAAAAATCTGTAATCAAGAACAAAATTCTCAGATCAAAGAAAGAGTTTCGAAACAATTAGAATTCTGAGATCAAAGAAAGAATTCTAGTTGTTCTGAAACTCTGAGATCAAAGAATTTTAGATAAAAACTCAAACATCAAAGTAAGAGTCCTGATATTGATAAAAGAATTCCGGAACAACTGTTAGAATTCTGACATCAAAGAAAGAATTCTGAGATCAATGAAAGTATTCTGACATCAAAGGAAGAATCCTGAGATCAATGAAATAATTTTGCGATAAAAGACAGAATTCTTAGATCAAAGAAAAAAAAAATCTGAAATCAAAATTCTGAGATAGACCAGTGAGTTTTGGTTTCATTAGGAGTTTCTGTCAGAGGGCTGCTGACACAAATACAAGAAATAAAAAATGAAAATATGAAGAACCAGAGTAAAATTAAAAACTGGATTAAAAGGGGAAGGAGGTGGAGCAGGAGAGCAGTACCCAGTCTGACCCTGTGGTCTCCTGAGGCCTGATGGTTCACCGTTAAAATCGACTGTTCTCGATCATCCATCAGAGTTTCACACCTGTCTCACCGAGCTTCTGTACTGTCATTCACTGAGCGGGTAAAGATGGAAAAAAGTCAGAAACAAAAAGTCGAAAAATGATTTTGAAAGATTTGCCTGCAGAAGCCACATCTCCAGAGACAGACAGTATCTATGTGTTTATTTTCTACGACACCCCTGAGAGTCGGAGCCCACAGCAGTTCTGGCGAACGCGCACGAGCTGCAGCGGCTCAAAGACACGGGGATGCGAGACTGTAAGTCTGCGAGTGTTTTCAGAGACGGAGTCTAAAAGTGGAGCAGAGTGAGTAAAGATGATTTATCTGCGATATGTCGTGCGACCATAAAAACATACAGTGAGATGGTCAGTTCACCTTCCAGATGACTTTACAGCGTCTGTCAGCCGTGACGCCTAGAAAGTTCAGAGCCGACATCATTTTAACATTCTGTGTAAAACCGTATTTAACCTCATCCTGCAACGCAAACAATGATTGAAATCCCTGTAGTCTTTGTTTAACTCTCTCTGAGCTGCACCACAACACTCAGGGTTACCACGGCGACCAAAGAGTCACCTCTCAGAGATTAGTGGCTTGTCGTCTGGACAGGATGATGATGTTTGCGTGCCGTACGGTATAAAAAGCTTCATGTATTTCGAGTTATGTCTCTAAATCTGTAGCGTCTGTACCGTAAGCGCTCCGGGGCTGTTGGACAGAAAGGAAAAGGAGTGTCCCTCTGTGTCAACGTCTGCGACCTTTGGAGCCGGGTTCAGGGGCCGAACTTCGCTCTTCAGGAAGAATGTCAACAAAAAAGGGCGCACAAAGTTTGAAGAAAAACAGGAAGAGTAATTGCGGCGAGCTCCTGCAGCAGAGTTGGGGGTAGATCCATCCTGAAAGCACGAGCATGGATACATGCTCATGGAAGTGCATTTTATTAACCTAAAACCTAATTTATACTTCATTTAATCATATCAGTCAATAAATTATGTGCGTCTTCTTAAAACAAAGCTCATGTAATCAAAATAATTCGTCGGTTAAAGTGAATAAAAAGTTCAAAAGTGGAAAAGTCTGCCCTCATTTGCAGCCTGAATGTCATTAGTCAGCCTTTCAGACTGACGTTTTAATAACCGTCTGAACGCTCACAGCCGTCCCTCCTCCGGTTAGTTAGCCTTTGACAGCGCTATCTCTCAAATGAGGCTCTCGCAGTGGCAATCCTCGGCTAAACGCACCTGTTGTCGGACTTATTCGAGGTGAGATAAGGTTAATTACGCTCCGGTGCGTGCTTTATCACCGCTCAGTGACATACCTGGAGTTTGTACAGGGGCTGCACTTCCACGGCTTCAGGAATGCCGCTCAGCAGATATCGAGCTTTTAAAGAGAGATAACCGGATGGTTGGAAAAAGAGGAAAAAAACAGAGTCTGCTTTTGCATGTGATCAGATTATAAACTGTGAGGCAGGAGTGTTGGAGCTGAAACACGTTGCAGTAGATGCAGAAGAAGTTTGGTCAAGAAGCAGTAATTTTACGTTGCAATCACAGTATTCCTGGAATTATCGTTTTGAGATGTGCATTAGAGGTACATGCTGCATAGACCAGACAGTGATGGTTGGTCAAGACAGACATCGGCTACCTGAACCAAAATCAGAGACAGTCGCAGAAGAAGTAAAGATGAAAAGTAAAATCTTAATAAACTTTTACACACCTGAAAATATTTTGTTATAAAGGCAGGGCTGCCGAGTTTGAGAAAATGACAGGAGTGAGACTTTAGCGTTATTCCTGTGGTCAGCGGTGAAAAAGAATTTGGCCTTTTTTAACGTCGATTGATTCCTTAACTGATGTCCTGGTTACCTGCCATCCGTCTTCAGGAGAGCAGCTGAACGTCGAGTGGGTTTTAAATGTCGGTGCTGTTGTGTGTAAAAGGTAGTTAGAGACGCCAAGACCCGCCTTCCGTTGCTTCTGATTGGTTTATATTGTGTGATGCCTTCCATGGTTGGTTAGATTTAGGCACAAAAGACTGATGGATTAGTTATCTTGGTCAGTGAATCAGAGTTATTCAAACGACGTCAAGCCAAGTTTAATATCATGAAAAAAGTAAATACAGAGGATTGAACAGGGAAATATAAGCTTGAGAAATGTCAGGTGTGGACTGTCACTCTCAAAGCGTGACTCTTGGCAGCTCTGTGATGGTAGCGCCCAACACCGTCACTTCTACAATCCTGAAACGTTAGGAAAGTTCTTCTGTCGAGGTTTCGCTCAGAACTTGATTATCGGTTATTGTTTTTAAATCAAGGTTTCAGACACTGCTTTGAAATCCCAGGAATCTGGTTTCTTCATGTCTGGTTTACCTGCCCGACCCATCCGTCTTCATTTTCACACCCACCTCTTCCTCTTTACACCATCAGATCCCCTCCTCCCTCCTCACTCCCACGTAGGCCGTGTTCACCCCAATAACTCACTCCTGTCTGCTCGGGGGAGGCAGCAGCGGCGCTCTCGGTTTACTGCGAGCCTGTTGATGTGTCTGCGTGTGCGTCTGTCTGCGTGTGCGCGCGGACTGGAGGGTTGACAATGGGCGTGGGCGGCTCTGCAGGTCGAGGTCGGCTCATCGCCGTCGTGTGGAATGTGAGGATCCTCCAGGTAAACACATGTATGTGCTGGACCTTCAGAGAAAACCTCCGAGGTGAAGGAAACCCTGATGCTAAACAAGCCAGACTCACAGCTGTTTGAGAAACAGACTAGAAAATACAACATTCAGGTTCAGGGGCAGGAGCTCGTTTTTACCTTTTCTTCATTTTCGTCTTTTCCCAGTCAGCTTGACGTATCTCAGGGTGTTGGTGTGACTTCTGTGGTTCACCAGTTTTCAGGCCTCTCAGCCAGGTCGCTCTGACTCGAAGAATCGTCTTCATGTTTCTGTCACGACCTCCGGAGAACTGATCGTATTTCACACAGCTGGTCGGTTTGTAGAAATGTATCGACACGGCTGTGCTTTACAATCGATATAGAAATTGGCATAGGTGTGAGTTTTAAAGGGATATTCCAGCATTTTAGAGGCAGACTCATGAGTTACGTGTCACTGCTAAGCGTGTAAGCCACAATACCACCCGATTTGTACTGCGCATGAGTGAAACGTACACCACTTCCTCTCTCGGCATTTCAATGTATTTTACGGCAGTGAGTCGTCACCTACCCGATCTGTACTGCGCAAATTTACTTCACCTTAAAAACTTTATTTAAACTGCCGATCAATTCAGAAACAAGCTGGTGATGTGACAGGCTAGCTAGCGGGAGGTTCCAGGGCTAATGCCGAGGTGTTCACCAGAGCTCCTGCCCAGCATGGTGAGACCTTTTGGGCCACAGAGCGCGCCGCCACCTGGTCAAATTCATGGATCTCTGACTTTTCAAAGTATCAAGGAAGGATTTATTTTAATAATTAAATTTATTAACGAGAAGCCGACACATTATGGACAATGAATTTCAGCGTTTTTATACAGTGTACAATTTCAACACTGAAATATTCACGTTCATTCAAGCCTTTTATTTTAGCTGGAGTAGGAACCTTTAATCGTAAAACTGGGCGCCATTCTCTTGACTTTCCGGCGCTCTGCTACAGTCGGGCTCGCTGATGCTGTCGAACAAGCGTCGAAGCTGTCGCAATCCGCGAGGGGTGAAGAATTGCTGAGCTGTCGCAAAGATGGCGAATAGAGGAAGTGACGTACATTTCGCACATGCGCGGTACAATCTGGGAAAGATCAGGTAGCGACAATGGAAACCACAACGCGAGCTAGGCCACAGTTTTCCCCCTCGTAATTTAGCTCATTTCAAGACGTTGTGACCCAAACACTCGTCCTCTGCTCTCCTGAGAAACTTTTCCATCAGACGTCTCTTTTTGTTTTACATCACAGATGTGCAAAAATACCCAAAAATATTCAAAAAACTGAAATTTTCCTCTCAGTTTTCCCACACAGGTACATTTAAGCGCATAAAGTCTGAATAAATCCAGCAGATGTTGTAACTTAAGAAAGTTAATATGGGTAAATATTAGCAGGGACTACTTAATGTGTGAGTAAGAGAGAGGAAGGGGTGCACGGCCGAGTGTTTACCCTCGCTGCAGATGTGTGTGGGACGTCTCTCTGAGTGCGTGAGTGTTTATTAACCTGTCTGCACAAATGTGTACATTAGTCGGATTTTTACCAAATGAGTAAAACGAGGCCACTTCAGCTCGACAGGAAATCAGCCCAGCTCTCAGACTCACACGCTGCCTACATGTTATTTTAAGCCCAAATTACACATCATCTGATATCCGTCCTAAATGGCTTTTCCAGCTCCACTGCTCCAGAGTGTTCGGAGGTAGAAGGACAGCAGTAAAGAGGGGCCAACAGGTTTAGCAGCCGTAAAAAGAAAAGGAGGGAAAAAAAGAGAAAGACAAGGCCAGCTCCACTCAGTTTAGGGAAACCTGCCAAATCCCCAACTCCCAGAGAAAGAGAGGAAAAGGCCCCGGTACCTCAGACCTGCTGCTGGGCTACCTGTCTCTGTTTCGAGCATTTACACTCGCAGCTGCAGAGCTGCAGAGGAAGCCGATCCTCTGAAATGTTCAGGATCATATTTACAGAAGAGACTGGATAGTTACACAGCTCTATTTCAGCCGTGGAAGAACGATAAATACACTTCAAAATGTGCTAATGTGAGAGCGAACGGGATAAGGTCAACATGTGGGTCAAAGTCGGCGAACTGGACGGCTCAGTTTGCAACTTATTAACAGGGATATGAGCATAGTTCACTCTGGAGACGGGGAGATGTGAGTGAGCAAAGTTTGACAGCAGCTGGAGTCGAATTTGCAGCAAATTACACTCATGATTCGTCCGAAAGCGGCGTGCACGCTGCTTTAATGAAGGACAGAGCGTATTTGTCTAAACGGAGTCGTCACACACTGCACAGCGGTCGTATTTGGAGAGTGTCAGCTCTGTACGCCACCAAGGCCAAACACTAATGGCTGTCAACATGGCTCCGTTTCCCACCTCCTCACTGTTTCTACCCTCCGAACAGCCGCGATGACAGGCTCCCTCTGAGTCTGCTCGTAAACCACAGCCGACAGCTCCGAGGTACGAGCGCCGCGAGGCTGTCGTCACAGCTCTTAATGAATCCTCGGGTCTGTGCCGGACCAGAGGAGGCCGAGAGTCGGAGTTTACCGGGGAGAAGACGTCATCGGCGCTGAAGAAAGAGTGTAATTATAAACACGCCGCTGCTGTTTCCAGGGGTGGAGGTTTAAGAGCGGGCCTCCTGTCGCTGCAGGGTCTCAGTGACGCCCGCAGAACAAGCAGCAATTTAGACGGACTTAGAGAAACACCCTGAGTCAGGGGCTGGCACCCTCCAGGTTTAAACTACAGCACAGACGGATTATGGAGGGTTTAGGAGACCAGCGGAGACAGATGGACACTGTGAGGTAGCTGGTTTACCACATGAGAAGGCGATCACTTCAGAGACTTCGCTCCTTCTCACTAGTTATTCCTGAAACTGTGCTGGTCGCTCCGATCTGCAGGACCGCTGCTTCTTGGACGTTTTCAGTATTGTGGGAGTTTTTACCAGCTCCCAGCTCCCTGTCCTCTCCTAAACATATCACAGTTTCTCTTTGATTTACTCTTTAGGACCTAAAACAGGCTAAAAATGTTGACTTTGTGAATCACTGCCTTTGCTTTTGAAACACTTAAAAGATTCTAGATAAACAACAAAAAAATGAAAATGCCAATATATGACATAACATTGTGTATGACAATATACAACATTAATTATTGCATCTTTTCTATGATAATTTTCTATAACATTTTAGTTTTCTTACTTTTTATGCATTTATCAATTATCAAGTTGAATTATTAAAGTGCCTCCTAGTGGCTGAATCTCCAAGACTGTTTCAACGTATCTGCACCATTCTTAGTCAAGATATCCCTGAGATGTTGCTCTTGACTTGTGCCAAAAACTGTGTGTTTTCATCAGAGGGCAGGGTCAGCGTGATGCGGCAAAGTTCAACAACACTTTATCAGAGCCATGCGCTATTAGGAATGGGGTACCACAGGGGTCTGTCCTCGGTCCCCTATTCTTCACTTTATTTAGCCTTCACTTTGAAGGCTAAATCTCAGAGACTGTCACACATATCTGTACCATTTTTGGTCATGATATCTCTGAGATGTTGATCTTGATTTGCGCCAAATATTGTGCGTTTTCATCAGAAGGCAGGGTCAGCAGGGTGCGGCAAAGTTCAACAACACTTAGACCATGCGCTATTAGAAATGGGGTACCACAGGGGTCTGTCCTCGGTCCACCGTTCTTCTCATCATCCATACTGATGATTTACAGTTATATAATGGAGCCAACACATCTGAGCTCCAGGCCTGGTTGTGGGTAAACCTAAATTTTTACCCTAAATGCCCGCTGTTTTTTCTGCAGTTAGATTACGTTCAATGAAAACCGGCAGACTCTGACCTTTTCTAACACACACTTATGTTTCCGCACAAATACACCTGTTTTACTGTTCTACATTCCTGACCTCCTGGCTCTTATCTAGCAGCTCATAATGTGTTTCACACTGTGTGGGTGTGTGTGTGTGTGTGTGTTAGTGTGAGGCTGTTGGCTAACAGAGCTGTCATGATTGATTGGATGGGAGGGTTTAGTGTCAGTGTTTGCTCTGGTTAATGAGCGGAAGGAAGGTGAGCCAACGCAATACACACACTCTGTCAACAGAAGGACACTGTCAGGGGAGTGTGTGTGTGTGTGAGTGAGTGTGTGTGTGTGTGTGTCAAGGGTGACCGCTTTAAGCCTCACATCCTACCTCAGGCTGATTAGTAGTGGCTCTTTAAGTAAACACACCGCTAACTGCAGAGGAATCGAACCTGTGGAAGGAAGGAAGGAAGGAAGAAAGGAAGGGAGGGAGGGAGGAATCCTTCATCCATCCATCACTGAGCAGGAGAGGCTGAATGGACACACCTGACCGCAAACTCAAATTAAAGACTTCCACTCCTGAATGACTCACTCAGACGTTAAAAACACGTTAAACCAGCAAAGTTTTTCCAGAAAATTAACTTTCATCCAGATCACAGCAGTTGGAAAAACATGCCAAAAAAACGCGTCTCTTCCTCGTCTGAGCTGTAGCTCCGAGCCGCATAAAGTGACATATCATTAGACCGCGTGGCACTTCCAAAGTCTGGATCATCTAAGTTATGGAAATCCTCCATCTGAAAGTGGATGCATGGATTTTTCTGAAAGCCTTCATACGGTTATTTATACTCTGATTATTTATCCGGCCAGTGAGAACTCGGCGACGGCAGCGTTCCCTCCGAGATCAAGGATGGCGTCTGAAAGGCCGAGTCCAAACTTAAGGAAAGTAAACATCTTCAGAAGTCAGGGGGGGCCTCCACGTCTTATCTTGAAGTCATACATCAGATCTAATTACACTCAGGCCTCCTCATGAAGGTCTAAATCAGCCAAATTACCCCGGGGAGAGAGGCGACACAAATATTTATTTAATAGCCTGCTTTGGGAGGAGATTCAGGAGGAGTTCAATGAAACTGGGTCAGATTGGTTATTGGTGATTGCGGGACGAGGGTCTGGGAGATGATGAGGTTCTTTGTTTGAAGAAAGGAGGTGATTTTATCTCAACGGGGGGGGCGGCTCAGACCGGCTCAGAACCAGGTTTGTTTATCCAGGAGCGATCAATACATCAGTCTTAGTGCCAACTCATGACAGGAGTCATCCCAGGACACTGAGACTCTAAACAGCATTTATCAAGTTTACAGAGGAGAGGGTGGACTTCATCTAACAGGTAGAAACCTCGAACAGGACCAGACTGATGTTGGACCGTCATCAGCTGAGACTGAGCTGGGCTTAGTAGGTTGACAATATTAATTATTTAATATTTCTGAATCCCCAAAAAGTGGACAAGACTACATGGAGGTGCCGTCACGGAGTCACAGTAAATTTTGAGAGTTTTTCAGGTCAGGTCGAATGTTTTTCACTCAAAACTTCCACACAAAACCTGGACGTCTGAAGGATTTTATAAACTCCCCTGGACAAAGAGGACATGTCCGGGTAAAAGAAGACTTATGGTCACCCTAGGTTTAGAGAGTGTGAATTAACCAACAATCAAGAAACAACCAACCAGACTGAGGAGTGAAAACTCGACTCTTACGCCCAATTTTCACCAAATGGTTCCAATCTGGAACAGCAGATTTTCGCCATTTATTTATTTATTTTTTATTTTATTTTATTTTATTCGATTAGCATTTAAAATCTACCCACAACAGATACATAGTAAATTTCAAAAGCATCATAAAGCTAATCGAAAAGGTGTAGGCTGAAGCTCATTTAACAATTCCTACCGGATCCGTTTGTGAGGCAAATGCTGTGTCAGATTACGGACAGGAATCACGAGAACTCAGAAGAACCACATGCAATCGCGCAATAACAAGTTGTAGACTAGACATATAAGCAGTAGATTGTGTCCTTCCAGAGGAGGAAATCTACTTCTAGACTTCTAGAATCAGCATCTCCTCATCCATGGTGTCATCGGGGTGAAATGACGTCTAAAAACCTTTCACTTGTTCGGAGTGTTTTATTTTGAAAAGAAGCCGGATGTTTTATTTTGTGTCTGTCCCCGACTTCCTTTCCAGCACGGGTTAATCTGAGCTTAAGTTATCCGGAATGCTGCGGCGTCTGGTAAAAATAGAACTCTTGTGATCAGCTGAGGAGTCCGGTGATCCGCAGAGGAACGGAAAGAAGTCGGTGTAAATCGACACGTTAACTTGAATGGTTACGATCAGCTACGATCGGAGGATACGACCTTTTTGTCCAGATGCGGTGGAGATTGGGGGTAAAATCTGAGTCCTCCTGGTTAAAAAGTTTCTAAGTTTTGCAGATGTTAGTTTAAAGATGTTAAATTAACTCTCTGATAGATGGGTTTATTTTCGTTGCGTGCCTCCATAATGGGAAAAACCAGCGCTGCATGTCAGAATGTCGCTCCAATCAAAGTGAGCACCTTATGTTGTTACAGGAAGAGCGGTTTGAGAGCTCCAGAAGGCCAAACTTCCCATGAGGAGGTCACAAAGACAAACATTTCAGAGTTTCACAGCACGCCTCAGTAACTCTGTGAGAGCGCCCCCCCTCCTCCCCTCCTCTGTCCCTCGCCTTTTTCTTTAGCAACATGAACTCTGAGAGCCCTGGGAGAGTCGGGGGGTAAAGAGAGGGAAGAAGGAGGTAAGACAGAGGAGAGGAGAGGAGGGCAGGCTGCAGAAATCCACGTCTAAACAGATGCAGTAATTCCATTTCCACTCCTTTACATTCGGTATGCAGGGGGCCAGCGCGTAACCCGAAACCCTCTATCGCCGCCGCGCACAGAGAGCAGGAGGCGTAGTCGACAGTTGGTGGCTGGGGCCGTGGAGTCTATCAGGCTTGTTAATCAATACGGGTTCCACTCTGATAGACAGCGATTGGTGTAACCGATGCTCAGGCTGGTGGGAGGAGGAGGAGGAGGAGGAGGAGGCACCTGTTCCCCGCCACTTTCACCTGCGGTTCTCAGCTCGGCTGGAGACGGCTGGCCCAGCGTGAGGCCTCTGGATCGGGCCCAGAAAGACTCTGCATGAACATGAGAATGTCCGAGGAGCCATGAGAAAAATGTCCCACCTGTTCTGGCAGGATGACGGCTGGAATGAGAGAGGTGGGAGGAAAGACGGCGTTAAGAGGCGAGAACACGCCAAGAAAAGTGCCGGAATACAAAAACGCTGCTCCTCCGTGTTTGGTTCTGCCTCTGAGGACAGAAAGACCTGATCCAGATGACCTGAGCTGTCTGGTTCTTACTGAACTAGAAGATCCCTGATGTCTTTTTTCACCTTTGACAGACAGGGTGTCAGAGTAAAGACCTCAGAACCGGACTGATGTGGTCCACTTTCTTGGTCTCTTGTAGCAGCGTTCTGGTTCAGACTGTAAAGACGCTGTTACAGGAATCATGTAGAGGTTTTTTCAGGTCCTGCTTGGACACGAGTCATGATAGTAGACCGACTTTATGTGGTTTTTAGGATTCAGATCTGAGTCCAGGTTTCTGGTCTGGTCAGTCGTTTTGAGCTGCTGACGGACCTTTAATCAGATTTGCTTAAACCTGCTCGATCACCTGAAGACATGATTATGTTTATCAGTGAGTCGTCTGCGTACTTAAGGTGATTTACCCCAAATTTCCACCGTACGCAGAACAGCGGTGAAAAGGCCATCTGTGCTGTTTCCATTCAAGTTAACGTGTCGAATTCAGTTCAGCGGGCTTCGTTGCCGATCGCCAGGGTTCTATTTTTCCGGACGCCGCAGCATGGCGGATAAATTCAATCATAAAACGGGTGTGGCGTGGGATTCAAGAGCCAATTGTTATTGTGCGATTGCATGTGTTCTTGTGAGTTGTTGTAATTTCCACTATTCGAAATTTGCCACAAAATTCACCTCACAAACACATCAGGTAGGATAAGACTACCAGATGTGTTTCAGGCGGATCGTATTTCACACTCTGCAAATGTGGTTTGTTTCGTAGATAAAGATAAATATTGTACTTACCCGTGGTTAATTCCCAATCTCCACTAAAGTGTCTGATCTACTGGTCTGGACAGAGTGGATTTCCTCCTCTGGAAGGACACGATCTACACCCGTATATGGTCATGTGTCTGTCTTCATAGCGACAAATCATCATCGCGCCATTGTGTGCGAGTTTGCGGGTTCTTGTACGTCCTTGAGATTTCTACTGTCTGAAATTCACCATGAAATTTACCTCACAATCGAATCTGGTGGGTGAAAATTTGGCGTTGTTTTGTTGTTGAACAGAAGAGGCACCAGGACAGAGCCTTGGGGAACTCCACGTGTAATTATTGTCTGTTCAGATCTAAAGTTTCCTTTTTTCCTACATATTTTTGGTCTGAGTCGTCCAGCATGGGTTTAAAATCTCTCCAGAGCTGACGGTTAAATGTTTTCATGTTTGTGTTCACTCACGCTTCAGTATTTGGATTATTTATCATGTCTGAATACAGTAAGTGTTGATGGTTACAGTGGAAATGTTCTTCTGTATGTTAATGTGAGCTCACCCATCCTCAGTCAGCCCACACCCCGAGCTCAGAGGGTCACTCAGCCTCCTTTAGCAAATATCCCAGTTTAGGACCAATTAGTGGTGATGAAACGCTGCTGGTTGGAAAGACGCCGCCTGTCTGCCGAACCGTCTCAGCTCCATTTGAAGCCCATAAATCCAATAAGAAGTGTGAATGAGTTTAATTAGTGCTATCACAATGCTGTATCTGTACACGCTGTTAGCTTGTTTCCTTTAGGCTGAGCTCCACACACACACACACACACACACACACACACACACACAGTGTTGTGTTTGTCAGGCCCTGCAGTGGTGTGGCGCTGTAATCAGCGGCCCAGCATGCACTGAGTCAAACATTGGCAGCGGCGTTAAGACAAACAGCCCCCCCTCCCTGAAGACCAAGACGACCCCCTGCTGAGGGCTAACAAGACCACATTAACCTCCTGCACCACACACACACACACACACACACAGCCTCTGTTTCCCTGCATGCAAACACCTCTGCATGTTCTCTCTCTCATTCTTCCACACAGGCGTGAAGCTCTGAGGACACACACACATTTCAGAGCGTCGTCAGATTGAGGAGCAGAGCTCAGTCAGGAGCTTAAAGACGAACAGGAGCGCCTGAAAAATACATGAAATCACCACAAACATGTTACACTGCAGCGTAAATGTGCATAAAAACACAAAAACTATGTCAGTGTGGTCATTATGAGGGAGGAAATCCACTTTTCCAACAGCGTACTCAACTTCTTTCTTTATCATAAAAGACTGAAAATGAAGAAGCTTTTATTTTGAAATCCTTTCAATCTTAACTGTTGAGTCCACGACCTCATTAAAGCGTCTTTTTTTCTCCTGAAGTTGTAAAGTCTACGTCCAGGTGTCGTTTTAAATCTCTGAGCATGTCTGCAGAGAAATAAAGAAAAATGTAGTGAAAGAGTTGATCTTTATTGTCCTCCGATTTTACAGATTTCGGTCTCAAATTTTAGACATCTTCAAAAGTTAACCTCTCTTATCCGTCATGTTTAAGCGAATGATTTCTTTAAGGTTTGTCGCACAAGAGGACACTCACATTTGTTGCATAATACCTTATATATGTGTTGATTTTGATGCTTTATTTATCTTTATTGGAGGTGTTGCCTCCTGCAACAATGCACTGAGACATTACTGCTGCCTTTATCACTGAAATACATCATTCGTTGGTATTTACTATTAAAAAAAAGGTCAATTAAAAATCACTTTCTTCAGACAGAAACCTTAGCCAAACATTTTGCACTCATCCATTTGTACAACAAACACAATCGTAACTTCAGCATGTAAAGTGAAAGTGAAGTGAAGAACTTTAATATTTAAATTAAATTAGTCCAGAAAATATGATTGAAATTTTGCAAATATTAAACAACTCTCAGACTAAACTTAAATTAAATCTTTGTGTGCAGAAATTTATATTCAACATTTGCAGAAAGAAAACAAAATAAATTAGAGTGAAGATACATGGTGTAAACTCTGAGGGCATTATAACCAGAGAAGACCTGCAGGAACATGAGGGTTAAATGAAAAGATGATTCTCGGTTAGTCCCACAGGGGAAATTCTTTAAAAACATAAAGAAACTTTGAGTTAAAAACGAGATATGTGCCTCATATTTACATCTGTACAGAATTTACAGGATAATCAGGTTTATTGACCGAAGTGAATAAAAACAGCAGTCAGAGGTCTGGACTTTAACTTTAGTTTATTTGGATTTCACTGAAACTTCTTACTGAGACTTTAAATAAAACATTAAACTCACTGTCATATTTTTAAATCCCGTTTATTCTCAGTGACTCTCAGACATTTCTCTTTTATTTCTCATTATTTCCTCGATTTCCAGTTTTGATTCTAACGTAACTTCAGAGAAAAGCAGAGCAGTGGGAGTTTTATTCAGTTTGTCAGTCAGCTGTTTAAATAAATCACTCATTATTTGTTTTATATTGTTTTTTTATATCTGACTGCTTCACTACAATCACTGAGCGCTGAGATCTGTGACTGGTTGTAGTCGCCTCTCACATCATTGGGAACTTTACGCCAAGTCTGTCCGGCCTTCTCTGAGGACTCGCGGGTCCACTCGCAGATGACTCTAAATTATGAGGTTATTCTTGTTTTAACTTTTTGACATCAAATCCTTGAACAGATGGGAGGTGGAACCAATATACAGTCTGTGTGCCGACCTCTTGACCAGGTCAGATCTTGATCTCAGCAGGTACTTACCTGGTTAAAAAAAGTTAAAAAATACACAAATAAATAATAATAAATCAGAAAACTGATTTTTTTGCTCCTCGGTTTCTGCAGGAGGAAAAGTTGAAGTGACCAAAAGTGAAAACTCTCTCTCACACTCTTGTTCCACAGATTCACTCACTTCTTTGTGTCCTGCTGCAGAAGAAGTTGGATTTTGTGACTTTCCCCCCAACTGTCTGTCTGCACCTCTAATTACATTTCTCCCTAATGTCTCTATTGTATTAACACCCCCTCCCCTCCTCTGTGTGTGTGTGTGTTTGTGGGACAATGTGATTGTAACCCTTCCTCCAGGGTGAACATTTTAAACAAACACCTTTACACGGAGCTCTTGATTGACTCATTCCCCCTCCCCGCCCACACCAGGGGGAGTGTCCTCGCTCCTGCTGAATAAAACCCAACGCACCCTCCTCCAGAGCAGCATGCAGAGAGAGACACGGTGTTAGATCCACGCAAACACAAAGACACACACACACACAGAAAGAGGGGAGAGAGTGACAGTGTAGCGCGCCTCTGTTTGGATTTTACGCACACTTTAGTCGAGCTCAGGCTGTAGTATGACTTCATTTCTGGATTAATCGGACCCGCAGCCGACTTGCAGAGCGCAAGTTCGCTGCTACTTCACCGAGGAAGGAGCGAGGAGAGAAAGCAACGATGGAGAGGAGCATCCCGGGCTGGTGCTGCTGCGTGCTGGTGACTCTCCTCGTCCTGCACGGAAGCAGCTGCATGGCTGCCAAAGAGCTCCAGTGTCAGGAGATCTCCGTGCCTCTGTGCAAAGGGATCGGCTACAACTACACCTACATGCCCAACCAGTTCAACCACGACACGCAGGACGAAGCCGGCCTGGAGGTGCACCAGTTCTGGCCGCTGGTGGAGATCAAGTGCTCCCCGGACTTGCGCTTCTTCCTCTGCAGCATGTACACTCCGATCTGCCTGGAGGACTACAAGAAGCCTCTCCCCCCCTGCAGGAGCGTGTGTGAGCGGGCGAAAGCCGGCTGCGCTCCGCTCATGAGGCAGTACGGCTTCCCGTGGCCGGACCGGATGAGGTGCGACCTGCTGCCCGAGCAAGGCAACCAGGACACGCTGTGCATGGACTACAACCGGAGCCAGACCACGACGGTTTCCCCGGTGGTGGCGAAACCGACCAACCGGCCCCTGAAACCGTACAACCCCCGGAGGAAGGGCGGCTTCGGCGGCAGGGGGATCCCCGGGAATCACAAGCCGGCTGCGTCTCCGTGCGAGCCGGGGTGCTTCTGCCGCGCGCCCATGGTGCCGGTGACCAGCGACGGACACCCGCTGCACAACCGGGTCAAGACGGGTCAGATCCTGAACTGCGCCATGCCGTGTCACAACCCGTACTTCACCCAGGAGGAGAGGACTTTCACCGCCTTCTGGATCGGGCTCTGGTCCGTCCTCTGCTTCATCTCCACTTTCGCGACAGTGGCGACTTTCCTGATCGACATGGAGAGGTTCAAGTACCCGGAGCGGCCCATCATCTTCCTCTCCGCCTGCTACATGTTCGTCTCCATCGGATACATCGTCAGGCTGGTCGCGGGGCACGAGGAGGTGGCGTGCAACAGGGAGAACGGCGCGGACCACATCCACTACGAGACCACGGGTCCCGCGCTCTGCACCATCGTCTTCCTGCTCATCTACTTCTTCGGCATGGCCTCCTCCATCTGGTGGGTCATCCTCTCCCTCACCTGGTTCCTCGCCGCGGGGATGAAGTGGGGGAACGAGGCCATCGCCAGTTACTCCCAGTACTTCCATTTGGCAGCCTGGCTCATCCCCAGTATGAAGTCCATCGCGGTTCTGGCTCTGAGCTCCGTGGACGGGGACTCTGTCGCCGGGATCTGCTACGTGGGGAACCAGAACTTGGATAACCTCCGCGGGTTCGTGCTGGCCCCGCTGGTTATCTACCTCTTCATCGGGACCATGTTCCTCCTGGCCGGGTTCGTGTCTCTGTTCCGGATCAGGAGCGTCATCAAGCAGGGGGGCACCAAGACGGACAAACTGGAGCGGCTCATGATCCGGATCGGGGTGTTCACGGTTCTGTACACGGTCCCGGCGACTGTCATCGTCGCGTGTTACTTTTACGAGCAGCACAACAGACAGACGTGGGAAATCACGCACAACTGCACGTGCATGAGTGACCCGAACAGGCAGCGTCCGGAGTATGCGGTGTTCATGTTGAAGTACTTCATGTGCCTCCTGGTGGGCATCACATCGGGGGCCTGGATCTGGTCTGGGAAGACCCTGGACTCCTGGAGGACTTTTTGCACGCGCTGCTGCTGGGGGAGTAAAGCCTCGGCGGGGTCCATGTACAGCGACGTGAGCACGGGACTCACCTGGAGGTCCGGGACGGCGAGCTCCGTGTCCTGCCCCAAACAGATGCCACTGTCCCGGGTCTGAGACGGACTCTAGAGACCTGAAACCAGCGCTGATATGCTCTTTAAGAAAAACTGTGTTTGGGGGGAAATGATCGGAGGTGAGTCACGGAGAGTGGACGAAACTCGTGAAACTTCAACTTGTGCGCCTTTCTTGCCTTATCCAAATGTCGTCCGTGGGTTTGAATAGAGTGGGGGGTGGAGTGGGGGGGTGACTAATTGTTGTGGGATTGTCCGTCAGCGTGTTGTAATTAGCACATTAATGAGCGCCTAATGGTTCCTCTTTAAATAATGAGCCTGTCAGCAGCAGAACAATGTACCTGCAGAGGAGTCTTATCTGAGTTTAAGTGAATGAGTGCAGATGACAAGATGCTACGGTGGCCCAGAACTGCAAACTGCTGCAGATTTTAAAAGGAAGCAGAAAAAAAGAAGAGGTAGAAACAGAATTACTGATGCAGAAAAATAGAAACCGAAGCCTCGCTGAAAATGAAAAAAGAAACAGTGCAGATTAAAAGTTAATGATGCAAAAAAAGAGAGTTATTGTGGAAATAAAAGGATGCTTATTTTAAAAAATGTCGGGGCTCAATAATGATGATGCACCGTAGTTTTATGATCTAGACACAGAAGATGACGGTGAGAAGACGAGGGAAGAAGTTAATGAAAAGTTTATTGTTTAATTTCACTTTTTAAACTTTTTATTGTGTCGTGTGGTTCAACCATGTTGCACCTGAGTCGATATGAAGTTGAACTTTAGGATGTCGGTGTAGTGTTAGCTTCGGTTCAACTTCATATGGACCCACGCGCTACGTGATCCAACCACATGACACATTAAAAAGTTTACAAATCGAAAATTAAACGATAACTTTTCCACCTTCTTCTTTGCTCGTCGTCTTCTGTGTCTAGATCGTAAACACCGGTGCATCATCATAATTGATCCCCAACAGCTCACTTCCATTAAGACCTTTTTTTTTATTTGCATCCTTTTATTTTCTCAGTTACTAACTTTTTATTTTTCTTTGCATCTCCACTTTTTTTCATCGTTAACTTCTGTTGTCACTTTTATTAATCCGTACCGTTTCTTTTTAGTAACTTCTGTTGTGACTTCTTTTTTTATTTGCAGCAGTGGCACTCCTCGGCCACCGTAGCTCCCCCTTGTCACAGCTGAGGCTCTCCTTTTCCTTTTCTTGTTTTACTGTAAAGAGCCGCCGTGTCTTAAACAGAGCTGTCCCTCTCTGACAGACGACGAGTCAATGCCTTAAAACTGTCTCTCTCTCTCTCTTATACGGGTTGCATTAGCGCGTCAAAAGTGTATTTATATAATTATTAGTGTACATATATTGTACATTTGTATATGAAAATTTACGAGATTGTAAATATGTATAATTTCAACTTTGATAGAAGATTTTATTTTGAGAATAAAACAAGTTTCATGGAGATTTTTCCGCTCTGGTCTGTAAATCTTTGTTTTGTGATGCAGAAAGTTGGAAGTTTGTCAGTTTAGGATTCGTTTAACTTCTCCGTGGGATCTGTAAGCTTTATTAAATCTCCTCGGTGTTGCAGGATCACACGCTGTGAGACAACATCAGCATGGTAATGGGGGCACAACAGGTGGTCTGCTCGGTTTAACACCCCCCTGTGATTCACTCCTGCTATTAACTTTAGGCTTTTGTCCTCCGATAAACTGCTGCTTCTGGGTAAATGTGTCCAGATTGACTGTTACATTAATTTAACCTTAATTTCACAGTTTGGGAAGTGTCCAAAATAACTCAAACTTGTTCCTCAGCGGTGAGTTTTTACTCTGAGTTAAGGTGGAGGTGCCTCAGGCTGAGGATTAGGAGAATAGGCGTGAGTTTGACCTCATCTGTGCGTGAAGACGGTGACAGTTGTGTGGTGTGTGGTCCTGCAGAGGGGAGTCCCAAACAGTTTGAATCATTGCGTAATTCTCAACTCAGGAAATGACAAAAAATTGTGCGTAATTTTGCAGAAGAGATGTTATCAGTTTAGGTTTTTTTTTAAATTCATCTCCAAGTCTTTACACATTTTTACAACCATCATTAGTTTATTATGATCTCAGCTGATTGATACAGATGTCAAAATAAAGTCAAAAGTGCTGAAATGAAGACAGAAGAGGAAATGGGTTGAGATGTGCTGCCACCTAGTGGACGAACCACACAGTCGAGAGCTGCCACTGAAGCACAAGAGGAAAATCAGAAAAACTTTAATAATCCTCAGGGGGAAATTCGTCACAGTTACTCTGCTGCAAATAAAGTAGAAAGAGGAGATAAATAAGAGACAAAATAAAGTAATAATAGACAAGTATGTTCACTATATACGACACAAACTAGTGAAACAGTGAGTCCAGGTAAAGACTGAATTCAATCTTCTTAAAACTCATTTTCTGTTTGAACTGATATTTTTAAAACAACCAGAATAAACATTTTATTTAACAAACATTAAAACAGACCGTTAAACGATTTTCCTTTCATGACCTATAAATGCAAATGAGGCCGTCACTGACATTACTCACATCGACTTTGTTGTTTTCATTGATGCTATAAGATGAAGAGCAGCACTCTGCAGAGACGACCGCTTTTAAAGTGCAAAAGTTTTTAAGGTGGAATTGTTAAGAAAAAGCAGGACAAGAATTAAGTCACGACAAAGAGATCGTTCAAATCAAACTTCAGACACAGAGTCCTGATGACAGACGAGATCAAACGAACAAACAAACATCTGTGTGAGGCTGAGAACAGGTTTCATTCTGCTTTAAAAACAAACAGACGTGTTCAGGGTTAAAATGTGGAATCATTACAAGGTCTGTAAAAACATATTTAAGTTTAAAACAAAGTATTAAGAGAGGAGAATAACAAAATATGAAGCTGACGACTAAGTGTGATGTGCTTACGTTTAGACAGGGACTTTGCTTTTGTTTGTTTGTTTCCTTTTACATGGTTGTAATTGTCATGACCTCAGGTGGTCACAACAAAAAGAAGAAGGAAGACACACACCATGTATAAACTCTCAAACAACTTTTTATTCATTCAAATTGAAACGAATTAGAATATGTAAGATATGAGGCATGTAAATCAGTAAAAATCAGTGTTGTGTAAGGCGTGCATGGGTGGGAGTATGTGTATGTGTGCGAGGGTGTTGTAAGAGCAAATATAAACTACAACTAAACCGAACCAAGTCAACCAAAGCCAAACCAAACCAAACTAAGACAAGTCAAGTCAAGTCAAACCACGTACCTGTAAAGGCCGTCAGGAGGAACAAAAAAAGGAACTGCAACTAACTGTGGAAGCTTCAATACTCAGGTGGGCCCAGGTGTGCAGAGTTGCTCTGATTCGGGTTCAGAGAGAAGCCGACCAGATACACTTCCCACAGCAGCATGACTCTATAGGGACATTTACAGGAAAATAACCTGAAGTGGACAGACCATCTTAGGTAATAGTTTATTTCTGTTTTGAGTGAAGGTTAGGTAAGATAAGCTTTGTCTGCTCTGCTACTTTTGTTAAAAGCCTTTTGTAATTTTGGAAACACTGAAAAAACAGCCACGAGTGGAACAAATAAAAAACCAAACACAACATTTGAACATCAGACCTGAAACAGATCCTTCACTGCTGGACGTGGACTCTCCAGAAACCTGCAGTTTCAGCTTCTCTTCATAGGTTTTACTTTTCAGCAGCTTGTAAGCTCCTCTGTGTCATTCGCGAACGATTCGTTCAAAAGAACCGAGTCTTTTAAGTGAACGTACTGAACCGAATCACTTACTTAAATGATTTGTTTGTTTCTCACTTCAGTTGATGCTCAGCTGCTAAGGCACATAGCACTGCCAGGCAAAGGAGGGACCTCATGCACAGACACCTGAATCACTTGGTGAACGAATCATGCACTGAACTACCCACTGAGCATTTTTTGGTCTAACAGACGTCTAAATGTAGCCGAGACGACTGGTCTAAAATCAGACTACCACAGGCTGCATCTAAAAGAACCGCTGTGTCCATCACTACCTCTGTGTAACATGTTTAAGCAACAAAACTCCTCAGAGAAAAAAACAATGAAAGAAAACAAGAAAAAAAGCTGTAAATGAGTCCAGCTTAAGAAACGTGGTAAATCCAGACTTTCACCCTGAAGCTGGACTCCTGACGATGATGAAACATGACAAATGAGTTCCTTCCTGCTCAGATCGGATCATCAGGACGTTAAAGTCGAGTCGGCCTCCTCCTGTAACCACATCCATCAAAATAAAGAGACAAGCGCTCGTTTAGGCGCCGAGAAACGAGGACAAATGACCCTGAAACCTCTTCACCGTGCGTCAGGTTCACTTCCTGTGTGTGTGTGTGTGTGTGTGTGCGTGTGTGTGTGTGTGTGTGTGTGTGTGTGTGTGTGTGTGTGTGTGTGTGTGAACAGAGGTTCAGAGGTCGACCACGATGATCCATCTCCCTCCAACAGAAACAAGCAGCCGACCTGTGGGCGCAGGAAGAGCTCATCACGGAGACGTCCTGTCGGCGTAACAAAACTCTTCCTGATTGGCTGAAGTTTGTGAAGGTCTTCTCTCCTCAGAATAAATCATGTTAGGGAGTCTGGTTGGTTGGACTGGGCCGTAAAGGTCACAGGGTCACACCCCTGACCTCCTCCTCTGAGTTTTTATTTATTTTATTTATTGAACCTTTAAAAAAAAAAAACAATCAAAATGTCCTTAAAATTTAACAAATACATTTATTTCTCTCGTTTGATACGTCAGAGGTTTTTGGAAATTGATAAACCACTAGAAGACGTTTTTATCATTTATCATTATGAATTCAGGTGGGGTTTTTTTAGAAATTTGTTGATCATATTGATTGATAAAGGTATCATAAAAGTGTTTATCAAATATGATACAAAAGGCATTAATGGGTTAAAGTTTGGAAAAGTACCTCTGAAAGTTTCATCCTGGAAAATCTCAAATTAATTCGTCAAGGTGCTCTGAAATTAGGATTTTTGACCCTGGAATAAAATTTACTCTGTTCTGGAATTAAATTTATTTTAACTGATGAAAAAGGAGTAAATAAAACCTTTCAGCAGGATACTTAATATTTTTCTGGACTAAAAATTAGAGATTTTTTAGACTGCAGACATCACTGTTACTTTAACTGCCGCCTCAGTGTGCTGCAACATCTACCAGCGGCCACAAGATGGCAGTAAAAGCAACACTTTTACTCATCTTAATGAGCAGGCAGGGGGAAATGGCCTGGAGTAAAGAGAGCAGAGATGTTACTGTGAGAAAATATATATGCATTATTATGAACAGGCTGCAGAGGTGAAATTATCCAAACACAGAATTAAACATGTGAGAAATTAGTAAGAAGACCAGCGCTTAAATTTCTGCTGCGGTTTTAGATTTTCAACATTAAAGCTCATCATGAAAACTAAGACCAAAAATAGTTTCAGAGTCGACTTTTACACCTTCAACATAAAGACATTCAGCAGTGAAAGTTTTAGTAATCTAGTTTAAATGTTAAAGATTAAAACCTCTGCAGTACAAACTCTGAAGAGGGTAAAAACAGTCATTAAAGTCACTCCGATCAGTTATTGTGTTTTCAGTTACAGTCAGATCACTTTATAAGTTCATATGAACTGATAAAAGAAACTGACAAATACAAACGAGTTATAAACAGTTTATCGTTGCACACATAGAGCATACATTACGGTAATTCCAATGGCTATAGTAAAGATGTAAACGAGGTTAATTTCACCTTATAAATGACTAATAAATACTTAATACAGCAAATACATATATAATCATTATTTAAGTGTTACCACCTGATCCTTCTTTAGAACGCGCGTCACTGCCGTGCCCTCGCCGCCGTGCCCTCGCTCCCATGCCCTCGCCACCGCGGCTCAAACAGACTGAGTGAAGACAGACATGGCGGCTGGGGCCGAGTCAAGGACACTCAGCTGACTGAAATGTTTCTGTGTTTTGTGAGTGAGCGTTACGTCGAGAGGCCACCGAAACAGACGCACGCCGTCACCTCAGGACAATCGATTTGTGTGGAATCAGGTTAACGTACGCGTGGGGTCACTAGGTTTGCTCATCCGACCTTTGACCTCCAGCAGTGACAGTGGGATCCTTTCTCTAGCTGAGCACCTGACCGACACCCGGGCCACCCCGCTAATGTTTCTGCACGTCTTAGCTGCCCCAAATACCACAGCAGAAGAAGAATGAGGAGGCTATGAGGCATGTGTCGGGGTCAGGGTCGCTCTGGAGGGAACATGTCAGCAGGCGGGGGGATGGGGGGTCGGGGCGCTGCTGTTGTTGTGCAAAGCAGGAGTTTGAAGATGCAAATGCAATAAACCTGCAAACACATCCAAAATTAGAGTCAAATATTTTTTATTTTAATTATTTATATTGACTAAAAATGTCAAAACTGTAAGATTTAATTGTGTTCTTGATATAATTTATCAAGCGGTCGGCAACATTCATCCCTTGACGGGGTGTCTAACTCGGTGTTACAGTGTGTTTGACCCTAACTTGATTTTACGCCGGAATATCCCTTTAACTCTAAAAAGTTGAGGAAATCAAACCCTAATATTTTTAGATAAATCAAAATATGAAATGTTAATCTGAGTCCAAGTAATGTTAGGTATGGTGTGCCTCAGGGGTCTGTTTTAGGTCCCATTTTATTTCCATATTCACGCTCCCCCTTCAGGCTGATAATTAACAAGTTTGTTTGTTTTATTTCTTTTTACGCAGATGATTCTCAGTTATACCTGCATGTCCGACACACCAACTCTGACAGGCTGGATTTATGTGAATTATCCTCAGAGGTTCGGAGATGGATGTCAAGAATCTTTTTACAGCTAAATCTAACAAAACAGAGATTACTCCAGATACCGCCACCTACTGGTCAGCTGTGGGAGCATTTCAAACTTGCTGCAAGGAACTTAAATGTCTAAATAAATAAATAAGTAAAAAGTCCTAAAATTCTTCTAGTTTTAACTTTTAAAGACACTAATGCAGTTTTAAATGTTTTTATCTCATTATGCTCTAATTACTGTAACAGCCTGTTTACCTGTTGGACCTCAGAAACCTGGTGATGAACATCAGACAGTCCAGACCTTAGCTCGAAAACATGATCAGATTGCTCCTGTTTTGGTCTTTACACTGGATCCCTGTATGTTTTAAAACAGATTTTACAGACTACTTTTAAAGCCCTTTAAGGTCCGTCTGATCAGACTGTCTTCTTTCCCGGAGGATTTGGGTCTGAGGGAACTGGTCTCTTTAATGTTTTTAAAAGTCTGTTTTTAGACACATCAGACTGAAGACTCTTAAATCTTCAGTCTCTCTGTCGGGTGTTTTTCTAACTCTGTTCAAATGTCTCTGATATATTCGAGTTAAAGTGTCAATAAGTTTGAAAGTTTCTTGTTATTTGAGCGCGGTGGGCTTCACTCGGGTCACGGCTGGGTTGTTGTGTGGCCATGTAAGAGGTCAAAGGTCAGGTCAGCTTGTCTGTTAGGGTTGGCGGCGTTCAGTCATCTGGTCGACAGCTGAGCGCTCCGGCTACTGTTTCCTCAAGGTCGGGTCGTTGTGAGTGACATGTTTGTTTAACACAGAAACAGATCAGGGTGGAGAACAGATTTTTATTGTCGTCTGATGAAAAAAGAAAAGTGACACATGAAACTCGCCGTTTTTAAACATATGAAACACAGACAATCATCTCCCAGCATGCTTTATGTTTTATTTATTCATGTTCATAATCTTTACCAGATTTGGTTTTATTCAGGTGTACCAACTGATCATTTCTGCCACTAGGAGGCAGTAGAGAAGCGAGAAACACAGCACTTTACTCTCTTAATTTATTTCATACTTTATTTATCGTTTTACAGTTTATCTACAAACTCATGCGTCCTGAAATAACCGGTCGTCACGGCAACGTCACGAAAAAAAAAGCGAAGATTTTGAGAGGAAATTTGTCACGTTAAGAGAAAAAGTCACGATAAAATTAGTCTTTTATTTACGGAAACCAATAAAAAAATGTTGTAATAATCTTACGAAACAAAGGTTCTTATTTTACGATATTAAAGTAGCGATTAAATCGTAGTTTCAGTTCATGCTTAACTCATAATTTACCGACTTTAATCTCCTAACAGAACAGCTTTGATCCTGTAATGTAACTACCTTAATCTCATGACAAAGCGACTCTAATCTCGTCCGGTTACGACTTTTATTCTCTTGATTTAACGACTTAATTCTTGTCACGCTACGTCTTTGATCTGGTCGTTTACAGAGCGTAATCTCACAGCGTCATGACTTTATGATCTAATTCTTGTAACAAATTTAATCTTGTAAAATATCGAAAGTGACGACTTTATATTTAAATAGTTATTTTCATTAACACGGCCCTCATAGTCTGCTGTAGATCTTGGGATACATGCACCGATAAATGTACATTCTGCTACGTTATATTTACTTTAAAATCGTCTTTACTTTGTTCAAACTCACATGCTTCAAATTTCCAGATTCTTACCTCCAAAAACCTCCATTATGAAAACAATAACAGATATAATCAATCAGAATAAAAAACAATTAAAGATTTAAGAATATTCATCTGCAAAACAAATTATTCTTAATTTCAAAAACCCCAAACATGACTGTAAGACACGGTCCTGAAATCGACCGAAATACATCGAAAAAAGGAACAAGAGATGTGTCGGAACCAAAGCTCAGTACTCGAGATACAACTAAAGTGGAGTAAAAGTACTGCGCTCCCACAAAATAATACTCCAGTTAAAGTTAGGTGGAGTTAAAAAATTCACAATCTTCAGGTCGAAAACACAAAACTTTCACTTCCTGAGTTCCTGCACCATCGGAGAAGTCCGTCTCCTAGTGTGAGCGCTGCCTCGCCATCGATATATCTAGAAATCTATCGCGTTAAACCGCCGTCACAAGTGGAGGGTACTGGCACGTTGGCTCGTGGTTACTGCTCATTTCGTGGTCGTTGTTATTCGCCACTTTAAACACCAAGAGTAACCGAGACAAACCAGCTCCAGATGAAGGTCAGAGCGAACCGTCTGGACTCTTTGGAGTTGGATGCAGCAGATTCGGTCTAAAATTAAACCCACGCCCTCTTGTCCTGAGAGTCACTGCTGTCAGAGTGCTGCCCAGAGTTCGCCACACCTGGAGCGTGCTGCCCCAGCTTTTTGGCGCCCATAGGTGTCGTCGCCCTGCCGTTCGGTGGTGGTATCCTATCAGGACGAGGAGACATCGGAGGTCTCAGATGGCTGTGGTGGACAAAGTGAGTCGGTACGGGAGTGTCGGCTTTGGTTTCTGCGCCTCCTGGCCTTTTGTCGTGAGTGGATTCGCCGCTTTTACACATTTCTTCGCTTACTTTCATGTGAGGGGGTTCTCCGTTTGGAGCGGCGGCGGCGTGTTTCTCATCTTTCAAACCGTTTCTTGAACTTCCACTCAGGCTGATTCTTCTGGTCAGAAGAGCGTCGCTGTCTTCAGTCGTACTCGTGGTCGTGAACACGCTGCTTTGCTCCCCTTTGCTCATCTCCTCGAGGAGCATCTCCCTTTTCCTTCGCCACCTCACCATCGCCTTCGTGGAGCTCACCAGGTCGAAGAAACTCAGCAGAACGGACAAGGAGGACACGCCGAGCATGAAGTTCAGCATGAGGGTCTTCTCTGTCGGTTTGGAGATGTAGCATTCGACCCCGGAGGTGCAGGGAGCTTCGTAACAGAGGAAGCTTTTCGGCATGGACAAACCGAAGAGGAGAAACTGCCCCGCGCCGAAAACCACTTCTAGAAGGATCCGAACGACCACGACCAGGAGGTACACGCAGTAAAACCGCGGCGCTCCCCATTCACACGGAGATTTATGCAAGGGTAGTTCTCTAGAGGAGCTCGAGTTCTCGATCGGTGACCCTCCTCGGCTCCTGTCGTAGAAGACGCCTCCAAAGCTCGGATACATCCCCGACGTGACTTTATGCATGACGTAGACGGCGAACAGAGCGTGAGGAAGACAGAGAAGGATGAGGTGGAAAAGCCAGAGGCGGAAAACGGACACCGGAGCGAAAAGGTCGAAACAAACGTTGGAGCAGCCGGGCTGGATGGTGTTGCAGATAAATCTCTCCTGCTCATCGCCAAAGAGGGTGAAACCAGCCAGCAGGAGGACGAGGAGACGCAGGAGCAGCATCAGCGTCCACCAGGTTTTACCTGAGTGAAAAAAAAAATACGGTTAGATATGAAAGAGGATGAGGAAGAAACGTAGGTGAGCGATATAAAGTCGTTTAAATGTTGCAGTGGGGTTTAATTAGTTTCAGTCCACTGCGAATTAATAACTTGAGAAGTTTTTTTATTTCATAAAGTTGAAAAAAAAAGGTTAAAAATGTCTCATTATTTCACGGATGCTAAAGCTAGCTCGCTTGCAGATGCTGCTTCTTCATCTCTTCTCTGTTTTACAACAAATAGTGACAGCAAAAAGGACGATCACTCGGATTCTACCGATTTACTGTAAAAAATGGAGAAAGATACGGAAGAAGGAGAAGAAGAAGCTGCTAACAAGCTAGCTTTAGCAACCTTCACAGAGACATGACTCAGCACTTTTAAAACGTGACACTTCAAAAATAAAAAAGTTCATTTTTAATCTGTAACTGTTATTTCAACTGTTGTCATTTAGTTTTATAATCTACAAGAAGTAGTTAACTTCTAAATAAAAGCATGGTTTTACACCATAAACGTAAGCAGATATCCTATCAAAATAAAAGCATAAAAACAGTTGATTTATGACGCATTGCCTTTATTTGTACAGCTTATAAAGCAGCTCCATGTTCTTGTTTAACTTGATTAATTGTGCTGTTTTATTTTGGAATTTTCCATAAATATCACAATAAATATGATTTATTTGATATTTTCAGGCCGTGAGAATCATGAGAGAAAAACCTGATATTGTGACAGCACAAGGTAACACCAAATAAATGTATTTGGAAAACAAGTCACTGTGCAACACCTCATTCGCCAACATGAAAACTACTTTTTTTAATAAATCCATCTCCACATGAATTTAGGATTTGACCCTGTGCATGGGACTGAGAGAAAATAAGAACACATAAAGTCCATCACTTATTTTCCTACATCACTGTCTGCACTTGGTTTCTTCAGGGTCTGTTTTCAGTGTAACCTCTGCAGAAGTTTGATTGACTCATTGATTTAATATAATGATCATAGCTAAAGTCCTCACAGTTGTTGATCTTGAAGATTTGAATCATTACAGCAGTCTGAATTCAGACTAAATAAGGTCAAAACACCGTCACACAGGAAACAAACACGTCGTCTACAAATACAAAAACGTACCCATGAAGGAGATATTCTGACTGACGGTGATGAAGAGTAGATCTGCGGCTCCCATCATCCTCATTTTCCAGTCTGAACTTTTAAGACCGAGTGAGAAAACAGGCTGAGAGGAAACTCTTCAGACTCAGAGAGAAGTTCCTGCCGCTCTGACCCTCACAGTCCGGACTCTACAGTCACCTCTGATGTTTTCTTACTCCTCTCACTCTTGTGTGTGAAACCTGTCAGAGAGCTATTCTTACCGAGCCGCCGTCAAAGCATTGTTGGGATGTCGAGGTGGCGGTCCGCCTCACTTGAAGCTGTCAGTCACTGTAGGGAAGCTTGTAATAGACCTTCATAAAGTGACGGGAGACAATAAAACGGCCAGGAGTCCATCTTTATTCACATCATGTCTCTTAAACGACGGCAGGTTGATTGGAGGCCTAAGAGAGCGAGAAGAGAATAAAAAAAGTTCAGTCTGAAGTCGTTAATTCATGATGAACCTTCAGAGTTTAAAAAGTCCCAAAATGTAAAAAAAAAAAAAAAAAAATTTTAACATTTTTTAAGAATCTGTTCAGGCCGATTTTTAAAAGTTACAGTAAAATATTTTTTAAAAAAGGAAAACAATTTTGAGATTCTTTTTATTTTACTTTGAAAACTGTGAGAAGAAAAGTTATTAAACTGCTTGAAAAGTAGCCAAAAGTTTATTTTCCAACTTTTTGGAGGTGAGAGGTGCAACATGATATGACCACTAAAAAAATAATAATTTTGAGGTCTAAAATTTGTTAAATTCTGTCTGTTTTTCTGAAAATCCTGAGATCTTAAAACCAAGAATTTCCTAATTTTAACGAAGGATTCTGATAATAAAAAAAAGGTTGAAGAAACAAAAAAATCCTCCATAAATTTTTACTAAAACTTTTTATTTAATCATTTTAACAAAATCAAATGAGGTACATTGAGCCTAATTAATCATCTGAAAATGTTTATTCTGTGGAAAAAAAAAGTTCCAGACTTTCAATTGAACGAAAAATTCTGCTTGAAAAAAACAATCCTTTCTCAGTTTGATAAACTCTTCGTATATTTAATGAAAGTTAAAATCCAAAATGTTGACGTGTCTGAAATTTAAAAAAAAAACAACATGAAAACTTGAGTCAGTTTTTGCAGGTCATCTGATTCTGACCGCCTCCTTCACATGGTCCTCTAACATGTACCTACACACCAACACCATGTAGACCGTCAGCCTCTGACTGGTCCACATGGGGGCAGAATTTCCCGGTATCGCTGAGATTTACAGACCCCACATGAAGAGGCGGACCAGGAAGAACAGGTGAATATTTACCCTCAGCAGAAATCGTCCTGATATGTTCAGGTTTTTAGTTTTATTTTCTAGAGTTCCTGTTCCCCTGTTTCATGAGTTTGTATCTGACCCCGGTTCCCTCATGTTTTTTTGTTTCCTGTTTTATTTTGTAGGAGTTTATTCCCTGTGTTTCTTGTTTTCCCTCCTCTGTAATCGTCCTCACCTGCGTCTCTGTCTCACCTGCCTCTCGTTGCTCGTCTCCCTGCGTATTTAAAGTCCTTGTCTTCTCCTGTTTCTTGGTGATTTTTTGTTCCTTGGATTCTTTCTGAATAAATCATTTCTGGTTCTGCTCTCGGGTCCTTCCCCGTCAGAGTTTTCTACCGTCTACAAATCCTCCATCACTCGTCAAAGTTCCTCGTTGATCCGTCAGTTTATTGAAAAGAGTTTCACAGTAAATCAAACGATTAGACTTCCTGAGTGTCAAGAGAAATACTGAAACCCTTGCGTACAAAGACTTCAAAAACATGTTAATACTTTTATTACTCTGTCAAAGGAAATAAATACGCAGTACAAATACTCCAGAGGGTCTGGACCGGCTCACGTGAGTCCACATCGTCCGGTTTAATAAATACTGTGATTCACTCTGATGTTTAAGACCATCTCTAGGACAGGTAGACAAGCTCACAAAGACAGGTCCTTGAGAGTTTTCAAGGTAGTCTTTCCAGGAATGTCTTTATTGGTCCACAGTAAACCACCTGGACTTCCTCAGTTCAAGATTTGAGGCACTGTGAAGGCGTCGGACTCTGGAGGAACGCCGTACGATCCGACCCGGAGTTTCTGAGCCGCATCAGTTGGAGAGTTCTGGAAGAGTCTGATGTCGGCGTTCGGTTTAAGGCCGTAGGTTAGGGGAGGATCGCAGGAGCCCATCTGATCCCGCAAAGATTGTCGGTGCTGGCCGAGCGCTTCCTCGCCGCTCGCCGTACGTCCTTGTACTTGTCATCGCAGAGCCTGGAAATAGCCTGGAGGAGGAGAGGACATGGAGAGGGTTTAACTGTAGGGGGACAACAGGAGGAACTCACACTCATTAAAAACAGAAATGTGCAGTCATGGTTCCACTATATGCAGATGAAACTGTCATTTACTCCATTTGTGATGGAGTCTACATCGCCTCATAAATAACCTTCTAACAGACGAGTCTCTGCGGTTGAACACTGAGTTTGAGGAAAATCAAGAACCGGAAAGTAAGAGCAACAAAAACTGAGAAGAGTCGTAAAGTCGCAGCAGGATCACCTCGAGTTTCTGAGCCTTCTCTCTGCTGAGCGGCTCCAGAGGGAAGCTGAGGTTGTTGGACTCTGACAGCGATCGCAGGTCGAAGTAGTACTTGGCGTAGACGCTGGACGGTACGTTGATGTTGAACTGCAGCAGCTCCAGGAATTTACGCTCCAGTTCGTTCCTGACAGAGGAGGAAAAAACGGAGCGTTCATTTATTCATAACGCCAAAGTTTCTTCTGTTTCCCAACTTTATCCTGGAGAATAAACCCGCTCGAGTTCACTCACATGTCCTCCACAGTGATGTCCTTCAGGATCTGGCAGTAGTCGACGTTCCACACCGCCTGGTCGTCCCAAACCTTTGAGGCCAGCAGGATCGCGCCCAGAACGATCCGCTTCCAGTTCCCCGGGGAGATGTCGATCTCTGCGTAGGTCAGGAGCCTCTCCAGGTAGACCTGCAGGACGACACGGAAAAGGTTCTCCCTGAGAGCTGCACAGAATCTGTAACTGTGAGGTCGCAATAAGTCTTAAAAACGGGGACGTACCAGCGTGACGATGGCGCACTCGGATGTGAGCTGCGCCGCGCTGAACAGCGTCCTGACAAACCGATAGATCTGCTTCTGCTCGGGGTCATGTTGGTTGTAGTCTCGGGGGACCTCCGATTTCTGAGATTGGAAGGAAAAAAAAGAGTCAGAGAAAAGGATGAAACTGAGTTAAAAGTAAAAATTAAGGAACGTTGAAGATAAAGTTTGAGGAATGAGTCTGATCAAGTCTTACTGAAAGAGGGTGGAGCTTCTCATCGAATATATCTAAGAGCGTTCCTCCATCCGTGTCCCTGACGGAGACAGAAACACTTTAATGATTAATTTATGAGATAATTAAAATCACAGACAATCCTCTAAAAACTGAACAATGAAGCGCCTCTTGAATTCATCGAAAACTTTTCTTTATAAGACAATAACTCTTAAAACGTTTTATCTTGTGCCTGAAAAGCCAAGGGACGGGAGAGAGGCCGTAGAGATCACAAGCACTAACGAACAGTTGGGCTGCAAAGTGAGTAACTATCAAACAGAAACCGAAGTTTTAATTTTATACCGTATTTTTCATACTATAAGGCGCACTTAAAATCCTTTTGGCTTGTTGGAGCGCTGCAGCCACCGTCGCCTTGTGGAATTATTGAACGAGTTAAAGTTTGACTTATCTGACTGTTTTGTTTGGTTTAAGGCGCTTTATAATCCGGCGCGCCTTATGTATGAAAATAGCAGAGGTGGGGGCTTGACGACTCGACTTGAGACTCGACTTGGACTTGAGTCCCGTTTTTGACTCGCTTGATGATCAAGACATGACTTGGACTTGCTTGGGACTTTATTGCTAAAGACTTGAGACTTGACTTGACTTGACTTGAGCCCAGTGACTTGAAAAGTCAAGTCAAGTCTTTTCAAGTCACTTAATACCTTACAGCCCAAACCATTTAAAAAGTGTCGCATCAACTAATAGTCAGGAATTACGGCCGTTGGTAACACCGTGTTGTGTTGCCAGGTCTGCTTATTTCCTGTTTCTGGAGGTCTGTTTCCTTATTTCTCTCATGAAACTTGGCAACACTGTCTCAAACTTTAGCCTCCCTCATAACGACAACACTGGGAGGACTGAACATAAATCGCTCACTGGTATTGCTCGCCTGTTTCCACGTGTCGCCTTGTGTCCCTCTTGTTTTGTTTTGGAACAGTGAATTAAAGTATCAGTTTAATGTTTAATTGTATTTGAGTCTTCCTTATTTTTGTGCACATTGTCTAAGTTTCCAATTATTGAAATTTATCTGATTATTTTTTGTATGACATGTAAAATAGTTTAATTAAAGCTGCACTATGTAACTTCACACAAACAAGAACCCTTGTTTAATAATAAATGCAAATAGTGAAAAATGCTCATGATTGATGTAAATCTTTACATATAACAAATGGTTTATGGCTTTGAAAGGACTTGTTTTTGACTTGAAAGAAACGGTAAGGACTTGGACTTGACTTGAGACTTAGAGCACAGACTCGAGACTCGACTTGGACTTGAACATAAGGACTTTCCCCCACCTCTGGAAAATAGATGTGAATGGACGCGTTCATCGATGGTGCGCCTTATAGTGCGAAAAATACGGTGAATAACTTTTTAATTAAACTTGAAAAGACGAAATAATTTGTTCGATCTGCGATTTAACGTTAGCAGTAATCGAACAGCTTTATTATTCCAGAAACAAAACTAGAGTGTGAAGTATTTCCAAAAAAAGACGAAAAAAAAGATGTAAATCTAAAATTCTGTTTACACATGAAGCTTCGGAAATGGACGATAATTCTCACCTGTTTTTGATGTGGTAGTAGATCGCCAAAGCGACGCTGCAGGGATGAAAATAACAACAATAAATTAATCAGAGTAAATAACGAGTCAAAGATAGACGTCTGTTTTTAATCGTGTTTTTACCATTTGATGGTGTATTTGAGGTTCGGCTGACTGACTGTGTTGTCGTCGAGGAAGATGGTGGAGCAGGAGCTGTACTTCCGCCGTGACATGCCGTGCTGCACACGCACACACACACACACACACACACACTGAGTGTTATTTGAGTGTACATGTTTTTGTCTGACCCATATAATCCACGCCGGGGTGTCGTGCTCAGGGGGGGGAATAAGAATTAGGGACATCATGTGACCGACAATTTACATTTCACTTCTCTTCGTGTCACTTTGAACTGAAGGTGAACGGGCAGCTGAGTCTGAGTGAGCGTGAATATTAGGAAACAGAAAAGACTTACGTTGTTGATGAAAAGGCTCTTCCGTTTATCTTTAACTGCAAAAAAACAATAGAAAAAATGTGTCAATAATTTCCAAGAAAACAAACAAACACTCAAACTATGAACCGGCCGCACATGCTGTTATCACGAGGAGAGAAGCAGAGCGAGGAGTTGACTCTTTAACACGACTGAAGGTGTTGACACGGGTTAGAGAGAACAAGACTGGAGCTGGAGGAGAACGCCGTTTCACCACCAGAGGGAGACAGAGTCGGACTCACCGTTTCTGTGGGACGGCTCTGAAAGAAAACAACCAAAACCTTCCTGTGTTTGAAGAGGAGGAACTGATTTTCAAGAAGAGTCGACAGATGAACAAATGAGGGAGTGAAGAGTCGCTTTATTTTCATCCTTTCATTCATGAGCAGGAAACCGAAAAGCTGCTGAAGCTCCAAGAGTCTCAGAGCTTCAATATACGGATTTTAGTGACCATGAAAACTGTGATCATCGAATCTGAGTGATTCTGTTCTCTACAGTTTGATAATAAAGGAAGGAGACGGAGCTGAGAGCACCTGAGTGAATATTCCTCTACAGCAGGGGTTCTCAACTGGTGGGTCCCAACCCAAAAGTGGGTCACGGACATGTTCTGGATGGGTTATGAACAGCTGGTCAGAAAATTAAATATTTAATGCCCTTCTGATGTCTTTTATTTTAATAAAATATCTTATTTTGAAAGGCAGGCGTTATATTCTTTTTAATGTGGCCTGAATGCAGGAAAAATACATGTTTGTTTTTTGGTCTTTATTTTGTGTAATTTGATATTTTCTGTATATGTAACTTCAGTCGTTGTCGTCCTCTCAGTACACTTTACTCAATAAAACGGGTGTATTTATGTTAAAGATTTGAGTCTTTAAAGGTTTTTTTTTAATAAAAAACAAATTTGCTCGGTTTGAATTTTATAAAAGTGGGCACGACTGAAGGACCGTGGGAAAATGTGGGTCCAAGAGTGAGAACCACTGCTCTAAACGACCAGCAGAGGGCGTTTTCTGCAGGTCAGTACTCAGCAAGTTTATCTCCTCAGTTCTGACTTAAGGTCCTTACACGCTGAGAATGACAAAAATATAGAACGCAAAATTACGAAATATTTGGAGGCGGATTTTGACGTGCCTGACTACACATCAAGCAAAAAAATATTGACATCTGAAATAATCGCACGAAAAAAACGCTCCCGGTGTGAAAGGACCTTTAGTCTCCAGATTTTCTAAACTTAAGAGTAATATTCCAAAGTTTGTGGATATATTTCAAACCATCGTCCGGGAGAGAAATTTCAGACTCTCAAACCGGTGAATATCGTCACTACGATGATGTTTTGTCGACTCACCTTCGTTCTGGGATTTGCTGAGGAAGATGGTGCTGGCTCGTGGATGGTCCGATGGGTTGTACTCCATGTTTATTTCTGTAAAAGCAAATAAAAGAAGAAGAGTCACTTTGGTTTTCAGACCGAATATGATGTACGGTTTTTAATCTTTCATTTAAGACTCGTAGAAATCTTTTTTGAAGAATTAATCACTTTTTTAAAACTCAAACTGGACTGATAATTAAACGAGTCACAGATGCAAGTGGACCTAAACCCCAGCGGCCTTTTTCGCTACACCCACCTTCAGTCAGAACCACTTTAAAATAACAGATTTATTCATGCAGTAGTTTGTGAGTAAGAAATAAACAGAATAATGTGCAGAAAGTACGTTTTTCATTCCTTTTCTAAAAGATTAAAAGAAAGGATGATGGAGTTTGTTTGTTTGTGAAAGATCTTAAAAAAGGCCGAGCTGAACCGTCTTCGCTGCCAAACACATTTAAGAACCTGTTGACACACTCGCTGTTCTCGCCAAACTGGTTTTAATCTCAGTGCCACTTTCGCTGGCGGCTGAACCTCTGCTGGACCGTCGGCGAGGACCTCTGAGATTTTCAGAAACACGTCTGATTATTTCTGGACGGAGACCTCTGGAGCTCAGCGGACCACTGAGCTCGGATTAGCCTCGTGTCGCTTCAGCACCTTATGCAACAGTAATTCTGGGGGATCACCGCATCCGGCCAATTTCAACACGCTCGCATATTAGAGCCGGTGGTCACTGTGACATCACTTCCTTTAAGGGCCGGATTTCAAAAGACCTAAAAAACACTCTGACTGATATGAACACTGACGACTCTTAGCGACCCACAACACCTGAAATCCCTCCTCGTGTAAACACACGTGAAGGAACGGATCGCTGCGGGAGCGGAGTCTGTATCTGTGTCATATGATCGTAGAATGTAAACAACCGGAGAGTATTTCTTTTTTACTTTTATATCTTTGCCTTTAAATTTAGACTTATTCTGCCTTTTGTATCATTTTTGATATTTTATAAACTTCTATCAAATCAATATGATCAACAAATTACTAAAAAAAAAAAATCACCTGAATACAGTCCGATAAATTATAAAATTGTCCTCTTGTAGTTTATCAGTTTCCAAAAAAGTCTGATGTATCAAACGAGAGAAATAAAAAAATTTGGGAAATTTTAAGGACATTTTGATTTTTTGGGTTTTCAATATCAAGTGAAATAAACATTTCAGTTCCAAAAAATTGTGAATTTTCTGGCCATAATTTGTGTTTCAGGAATTAAAGGGTTACTCTTTTTTATATATCTGATGTTTTTGTCACGCTGACTGTGACTTTAGCTGCTGTAATAATGCGGTTTTGTCAAATACTCTTATCTAACTTTCAGTGTCTGTTCCTGCAGTGATCGTACGTAACAGTTTCCCTCTGTGAAAAGCAAACATAAATCCGTTTTGTAAACTGGTTATAAAATGACTTCAACTAGAAGAGATCGAGTTAAAAAGTGACTTTCTGACATACTGATTAAATCTCCATAGAAACCACTCTGGTATTTCTGCAGAGCTGGTTTTTTATAATCTCATTTTTCATTTTTTTGTTTTCATAAATGTCTCAGTTTAGACAAACACCACATCCTGCAGTAAATCCAACAACATCACTCTTGAAAAAAAGGATTTATGCACAATGTGGAGAGTATAAATCTGCTGCAGAAAACCATCTCTGCATTTCTGAGTAAATCTGCAGAACCCAACCCACTGGAAATCCCAGAGTGCTTTGCAGCAGGTGTCGAGTGCTGATATGTGATATTCAGCGCCTCAGGTAAACGTTAACGAAGACTGGCGGCGGACATCTGCGCAGAGAAACAGGAGACGATGTGTCCGTCTGACGGCTCCTACATAATGAATCAACAACAGGCGCTCCCGATGCAGAGTTTTACTCTCCTTTGACCCTGTTTCATTTTCTGTCTTCTCGTCTTATTGCTGATGTTGGTGAAGATGATCCAGACGGCAGCAGCACACAGAGCTGCTGATGGACGAGTGTTTGTGGTTGTAGATTCAGCGTCGGCTTCTTTCAGCTTCTTGCTGCGTCAGTGTCTCGCAGTAAAAACCGCAGCGCTCCTTTAAACGTGACTGTCAGCATCATGAAGCTGCTGTCTGCTGCTCTGTCACAGTTATCCGTGTCTTATTGTCATTAGACGTCTTCAGGTAATAGAGTTAATTACCTGAATAAGTCCAATATCTTCAGTGATCAATGAAACGCAGAAGTGATACAGCTGCAGTACCTTCAGTGTCCACTTGAGGCCGGTTGCTAAAGCTGCAGAAGCCACATACACAACCATTCAAAAAATCTCATTTCTGCAGCAAAAATGCAGTTTTTGTCGGAATACTTTGATTTCTCTTTTTTGTGATTCATTAGTTTTTAAGATACTAAAAATTATGAGTTTCGCATCATCAGACTGGCTTGATTGACTCTTTTCTTCTCGCTACGTCGACGATAAAAGTAAGGTTAAGTCGGCATAATAAATATGGTTACCTGTCGATAAGCTTCAAAACAACTCTCAGGGTGACGTCCGTTTTTCACAGTCTATGAGAAAAAGCAGAAACTCTGACTTTTCTTGGTTTAAACCTTCCAGTTCGACCATCAGCTCACCGACTTCTCGTCGACATTTTAACGGGAGCCTGTTTTGGAAAAAGTCTGGACAAGTTTGGGTAAAAATCCAACCATCTGTATTCAAACATGCGGCTTCTTTATGGGGCGTTCACACCGAGCACGGGTAAAATCATCCACTCACTTAATTTGCGCAAATCTAGACATGTGGATGAAAAGTATTTACGTGCGCCATCCACGACTTAGAAGTTGCGGATTGCCCTTTATGCTAATTTCAACAGTGATCCTTGCCAATTCAACATCAACAGGATCAAGAGAGAGACGATTTTTCTGTCTACTGTGAGTAAAAGGACTTGTGTTTATATTTTCACACCAGTCAACATCTTAGAGTCTGTTTTCATCCGTCACCTTGGGAATCTTCACGCTGATTGGTTATTGCGATACGAATATCCGCTCAAGTTGAGATATCTTCAACTCTCACTCATTCCCGTCTCGGTCAATTAGCGCCACCCATTTTATGTCATTCGCACCACCAGAGTAGTACGAGAGCCTAATCGCGTCTTTGCATTGACTTAACATGTAAATTATTCGCGCGAATGATTTGAACCGCGTTAGGGAAATGTCGGGTGATATTAATTTGCAGAGAAAACTAAAAATCGAACCCTAAAAATTTTGCTGACTCTGCGCTTTCAATCTCATTTGATTTTGACTCCTGGATTAAATTTCTACTTCTTCAGTTTTCCAAATCAAAGTCCACTTTTTATGGAGCTACAGTTAGTCGACCTACTGGACTTAAGACATCAGACAACACGTCTTAGCGTTGACTTTCTAAGGTCCTTTTCTCACATGCACTCCTGAAAATGTTTGAGTGGATCTCAGGAGGAATAACACGACCTGTGAAGGACACTGAGGAAATCCCAATGTAATATTTACAAGAAGCAGAGAGGCTCTGCTCGCCTGACTGGATGCTTCAAAATATCAACAAACTGCCTGCTTGTATAACCTGACTCTAACCTCGCCTTCCTGCAGGATTTTACCCATGAGCAAGAAGGAAAAGTCCACGTAAAGTCAGGATGAAGAGTCCAGTTATTGTCATTCACACATGCAGCTCACCTGGACCTCTAATATCAACAATACGGTCAGGTGGCTCTAATGTCAACACATCGATCAAGCCGATTTTTCTTTTCTACGACACGATCTTTTGATGCTTTTATTCTGAGGTTGTATTTCTGGGGTCTTTCCAGTCCCAGTACCAGCTCTGTTAGAGTCCGGTCTGCAGTCTGCCCTGATGTGAGCGTGCTCTCAGTGTTTTTGTAGGAGGCTGTGGAAGAATGAACCCCGCTCGGCTCCCATGCAGTCAGCGAACATGTTCACTGTTCAGTCATGCTTATTAATCTTTAACCGTTTAAACCCGCCTGGAAAATATTTCAACCAACTCTGAGCTGAAGGGCGTGAGCTTAGAGATAAACTATTTTAGTTTAACTCGACAATTTCTGCTGTAAAAACATAAAAATGAAGTTTATTTATCTTTCAGTTAGTGGAAAAATACAACGACAGAAGATTTTTAGATGATTTTGTTTTACTTCTATGAGTGTCGAGGCTTTTTTTCCATCTTCATTATCATTTCAGCCGTCAAACAACAGGAGGATGTTATCCTAACCCCCTGATACTGTTTCAACACACACACACACACACACACACACACACACACTGACCAAAGGCCTTGGGTAAAGCGACTCAGCTAAAACAAACAAAACTGACCTGCACACACACGCTCACCGGCTCATTTCAGAGCGAGTTTCCTGGGAACATGAACCGTCATCACCGCCGTTAGTGTCGCCTCAACGACCAAAAACATCCGTCACAATCTGCAAGTTATTCAAACTCTTCAAAACTCTGTGAAACGATTTTAAAAAGGTATCAAACCTGGACGTGTGATAATGAAATTTAGCAGTTTAGCTCTGATCAGAGTGATCAGAGAGGCGGGGAGAGCATCAGCAAAGACCTCCAGGATCCAGACGAGAGCAGGTATCGGCCCCAATTTCTGCCGCATCCGGATGTGCCGATCACAGCTGATCGTTTCCATTCAAGTTAACGTGTCAATTTACACCGACTTCTTTCCGTTCCTCTGCGGATCGCCGGACTCCTCAGCTGATCACAAGAGTTCTATTTTTTCTGGACACCGGAGCATGGCGGATAAATTCAGCACAGATTAACCCGTGCTGGAAAGGAAGTCGGGCACAGACACAAAATAAAACATCCGGCTTCTTTTCAAAATAAAACACTCCGTGTTTCAGGAGGATCGTATTTCACACCATGCAAACGGGCGGAGACGAGCAAGATGAAGGTTTTTAGACGTCATTTCACCCCGATGACACCATGGTTCTTGTGAGTTCTCGCGATTCCTGCTGTCCGAAATCCGCCACAAAATTCGCCTCCAGTAGGAATTGGCAGATGGCGAAAATTACCACCATTCCCTGGTGGAGCCGTTCCGGATTGGGTGGAAATTGGTGGTCAGCGTCTACATCCATGAGCAAGTCGATCTCAGTTTAAGCTTGATTAAACGATTTATTCTGACTACCGTCTTGAATCGATTTATTCGCAGACAAAACAATCGACAAACATGTTAGCAAGAGGCTAACAAGCTAAACAAGTTTGTTTTTTTTAATCCAGCTTCCAACAACCAATTTATGGAGACTTCAGTCAGCATCAGGATTATTTGGACTGAACTTAATCTCATGGCCTGCCTGAACTAACACCGCGCACCATGGTGCAAATATTGAGTTTTCTGCAAGGCTAAAAGAAGTAAATTTCACTAAAATAGGACACAAAACGGCGAGCTACACGACAAACAAACAAACTTTAAATTCATAAGAATCCAGAATTTCTTGATATGACATTTTGGAGACGAGTCGGAGGTCAGATGGTGTCAGTCGAGTCGTTTTTGTTTTTAACAGTCCGACAGAAAGTTTCCTTCTGATGTAGTTTTTAAAAATGTAAATTAGTTCGTCAGTCTCGACGCTCAAAGCTAGCGTGTCTGTCTGAAGTGATAATTAGTGAGGAGAGGAGGTGTGTGTGTGGACCGGGGAGTAAATCAATCAGGGACCCTCTCCTGTGATGATAATGAGTCTGTGACGAACACATAATCACCAACACACCAAAATAAAGACGTGAGCTTTGAGGCCATTTTTACAGATGCCGCTTTTTAAATAGAGTCGTTTCCTTTCGGCGCCACGACGAGCTGAGCCTCTGGAGAAACACACGCTGCTGCTGCTGCTGCTGCTGCTGCGGTAAAAATAACTCTGCAGCTTGACGTGTTTCTTGACAGTGGAAAGAATTTGGTCTTTTTGTGCAACTTCAGCAGAACTTTGATATCCGACTCTGATCCTGTCAGAACAAACTGCTTTCAAGGCCAAAAAAGTTTGACACAGAAATACGGTTTGTTTTTTCATCTTTGTTTACTCTGAAGGTCATTTGAGAAGACAGTAAGAATTAAAAAAAACCACCTTTTTAAAATGTTTTCATCCATTACTGCACTTTGTTAGTTTTAAAGTGTTTTTAAGGCACACCTGCTTACTTTACCTGCTGCAACACGACACATTTCCTCCATCCTGAACCCTCTTACTGTGAGTTTGACTGAGGCCACTTTCAGACGGAAACGGTCTCCATAGAAAACGGAAAAGTTTAGTTTAGATTAGGGGGGTCCGTTTGGACGGCAACTGCGTTTTGAAAACGTAACAAAGTGAAAACCTCCTCCAGAGTGGAAATGTTGTAAACGCTCTGCTCGTCCCGCTTTCGTCTAAAGTACAAAAACGCTGAAAACAGTCAAACCTGTGACTCACGTCGGCTCACGTTTATGACATCATAGCCATGTGCGGCTTCCTTGAAAATAACAAGAGCAACCATGCTGGACATTCGAGTCGCGCTGTCGTTATTATTGAACGGGCAGGAGCTCAATCTCGAACAGTCAGCTTTTGATCGTTTTTTCGCCATATTCTGCTGCATGCTTCTAGGAAGTAGAACGGAAGTTTTTCTACGTATGCGTTGTTCATATGGGAGCGCGGTCACACCGACACGCTCCACCTAGCGACCTTGCATGCACATTACGGCGTTTTCAACCACATTGCGTTTCTGTGTAAACACAGCATAACAACTGAAAACGAAACAGCACTTTTCCGTTTTCAGACGTTCAAACCAGGTAGTGCAAAAAAGAGACAGCTGCTGTTTTATGATACAAATAAGCATGAAGCCGACAATGTTACTGGATTAAAACCTCGATAAATACTCGATCCTGATTGGTCAAAACCTCTTGATGATGGTTTTTAACTCTAAAACAAGCAGATCACTCACGTCATGTCAAATATATCTGCAGAAAACAGATCTGAAACTTCAATTTGTAAGTTCAAAAACTGCAGTTCCACAACTGTCCACTAGAGGCCAACCCCAAAAGCCAATGATTCCCTATTTGCTCCATGTTAAAACTGCCAACTTTAGAGCTGAATTAAACCTGTTTACAGTCTGGTACAGAATCAGTTCTGCTCTGAAAAGTTCGTTCCTGTCCTGAGGTTAGAGTAAAACATAGATTTGCATAATTAAAGTTAATTTTTATACATAATTTCAGCCAAAGTTTTAACACACACCACTCAGTGAAAGGCTGGTAATGACTGACAGAGGGAAAGGTTAAAGGTACAGAGAGCAGTTATCTGAGATTATCTGAGACTCTGAGTGACAAACTGTTGAGAACAGGGAGTCTTTAGATAAGTGGACTTTGGTAACAAAGATTTACAAGAAACAGAGAAGAAGGTGGACCAGGAAACATCCCTGAGACCATTTCTGTGCTGCTTTAAAACTCCTGATCTACTAAATGAGGTTCATTATGAATCTAAAAACAGAGAGCTGAAACTGAAACACTAAAACTCAGTCTAAAGAGAAACCAGCGTTGTCGCTGATCATATTAAATCACTCATAAAGTTCATGACACGACCGCTGTCATGACGAGCTGGGTTGTGTTTGGTATCTGGTTGTATTTCCCCTCGTGTTTCTGTCCTCTGGGATCCTGTTCAGTGAGTTTTTGTCTCAGTGTTTTATTCTGAAGATCAGTCTTGAGTGTTTTCTGCTTTATTTTGTAGTTCCTTTCTCTAAAACTTCCTGTTTTATTTTGTAGTAGTTGATCCCTGTGATTCTGGTTTCGTTTTACTTCCTGTGTTTTCCCTCCTCAGTGATTTCCTGGTGTCTCACCTGCCTCTCGTTACCCTCTCCCCTACCTGACGCCCTCTTACTTTTCCCCTCTGTCTTTTGTTCTCGTGTTTTTGGAAGGTTAATCTTTGACGTTCTGTCCTCCCGTTTGTTTTGTGTTCACAACCACAGAAATCATAAAACAAACTTTACAATTTTTTCTCTTACGTCCCTCCAAACTCTGAATTTAAAACTCATCAGCTGACGCCTCATGTCTCACACCAACAGCAGTCATCTCCCCTCAGGAACACAGCCGGCTTTGTCCAAGAGAGGACGATCATATGACGGCTTTGTCCGTCCCTCCCTGTCCATGAGCGTCCACCTCCAAGAAGGGAGTGGGCGTCTGTAACTGAACTGCATTTTTCCTCAAAACTTCAATACTTGCTATTAAGTTTTAGGTCAAGAATTCAACAGATATTTCCAATTTAATTATCATGTATTTTACCAAATAAACGATTCTCTGAACTAGTCACAACTTCAAACCAGCGATGGAGACAAAATCAGCCAAAATCCATCAAAAGTTTCTGTTCCTGGAAGAACCACAAAGAGTCAAAAATGAAAAAGATTTGTGAATATATATATAAATATATTTACAGATGGAGGTCGTCTGTGACCTCCAGCACACCTAACGATCGTCTCACTCAGCTCACCTGTCCTCTCTGCACTCAGCTGGTTCTCATCAGCCTGGTTAGTCTATAAAAGGAGGTTCTTTCACTCAGTTTCGGCTGTGACACCAAAGATGCCGACACCTTCAGTCGGTGTCTCTTGGTTTGTTTGAGAGCGGTTGAGTTTTGAGGGAAGGAGGGTAAATTCTAGACTTTTTGTGAGGTTTTGATCCATGAGGAGATTTTTTTGTACGTAGAGTTAAATCTTTAAATCTTTTACGAAGACCAGAAAAAGTTATAAATGTTCAGATTAATCCAGTAATTAGATAACAGATGGTAATAAATATGTAAGATTTATAAATTAGGGAGAGAAAAGCTGTCGATTTAAAGTACGAAATCTTTTGAGTACAAAGTCAGTCTAAGTTGTTAGCTTCCTTATAAAACAACAACTTTAACCGTTTTTTCTCAAAAACGTTTTACTTCAACTCTCTATATTTAGGGTTCAGAGAGGAGGACGTCTGCAGCAGCGATCCAGAAGAACCTACAGCATGATGGAGAAAACTCCCAGAAAAGACTGTATTAGTGACTCTGATGGGATGTTAGATATAGAAGTCCAGCACACCTGCAGGAACCTTTTTACCAGCTTCACTTTAGAGGTACTTGGATGCTGGTTTGAGTTGGTTACAGGAGCAGAAGTTACAGAAGTAGATTCCTGGTTTCAGGAAATGCACCACGAGATGAGTTAGACCTGTTCCTGCTGCATGTAATTCTACTGTACCCTTAAATGTAACTGTACTGAATCTCTATAGGTGAAGTACTTCTAATGTGTTCATTCACGTCCACCAGTCCGTTCAACCAGGACACAGCTGATCGTCACGCTCTAAATCAAGCCCGTCATTCTTGGCGCTCGCCTGTCCCCGGTGGTTTCTCCTATCTGCTCCGACACAGACTCCCAGCTGCCTCTCTGGGCTCGTCTTTTAAGGGGGGAGAAGACTTTCTCTGACGGTTCAGATCTTAATGAAGCCCACTAATCTCCACGGCGCTGTCTGTGAACTCCTAATAGAGAAAACACATTAGACACGCTCCTGAGACAGACGGCGTCCCAGCACGAGGCGTCTTTATCCCCGTCAGCAGGCGTTGGTGCGCCGTCACTCCTCTGCCTCCAGGTCACTTTTTCCTCTCTGTCATTACAGCCCTCAGCTGTGGACTCCAGTAATGTATGCACTATAATAAAGTCATGATTTTAACCCTAAACCTGGAGCACTTTACTCAGTCCAACTTCAAGAAAAGCCATCAGTACAGTTTGACCCAAATCAGCACCAGCAGTTCCAGCAGCAGAAAGGCTCATTTACGCTCGCCGTATGTATGAAAATGTACGCATCCCTTTCAAACGATGGTTCCGTCACTGCCTACATACTTCCACGCGTCCTTTACGTCGGCATGGATGTTAACCATTTACATCCACCAGGAGGCAGGCAGGAGTCAAAAGTTTCTGACGACAACAAACAAAAAGAAACACTGCGACTGTGGAAGAACTGGTGATAATGTATGTTTTGTGTAGGAGACAAAAACGGAGGCAGCGTTGGAGGCGGCGGTGGTCGGTCAGGACACTAGATGCCTCGCAGTTGAAGGACGTAGAAGTCAGAGCTGGGAGTGACGTCCCACCCGAGTTATCAGTGTTTCAGTTACAAAGTTGGAAAAAAGTAGCCAACCGCCAAAACCGGAAGCGGAAACAAGATGGCTACATTTATGAAAGTTATTCATAGATGAATATAAATGAATATAAATAACCGAATATAAATAACTTCTGGACAAATGTGCAGTCCTTCTGCAACCTGCAAACATGGTCGATGAAGAAGAAACACAAAGACGCAGAAGACCGCCTATTTAGTTCTCATTACAGGAGCTTCTACTTCCTGTTTACAACCAGCGCAGCCATCTTTAAATGTCAACTCAGGGGTTGTTTGGATCGTCCGACTTTCCTTTTCCAGTTGAAAGTTATGACTTGGAGCTCAGACATCCCGACATCTGAGTACAACAGGAACGCACCGCTAACACCATCACCTCCCTGCGTCCTCTGCAGCTCCTGTATTTACAGTCACTGACGTCTGCTCTCTTTTGTACCTCGAGGTCTTTGCTGATCCTCTCCCCGCCTCGTCTTTTTCTCTAGTCATGAGTGTTCTCCCTTTTCCTGAACTCCTCCTATAAAAGAGCAGGAGACCCTCAGACCTGAACAACACTTCCAAATACAGCTTACTGCATGTAAATAAACAGATCCTGGCTGAATCACAGATGAATATGAAGAAGTTTATCATCAGCTGACTTCTTGTCGATTTGATGTTTCAACTCTTTATTTTAAACTGCAGGAAAATACTGTCAGTAGATCAGAGGAGGTTTTGTATTTCTTTAACAATCATTGCTTTAGCATCATCTTAAGATTGAGACAAACTCTCATCCTCTGAGTCCTTGAGCAGAAACAAATGTCTACTTTAACCTTTTGGATGTTATCTTATCTAGAACAGTAAAAATTAAGTGAGTCCTGTGATTATCTGTCAATACTGCACAGACAGACGTCCCGATGATGTGTCATATCTTCACACCAGCCTTCGATGGAGCCTGTCAAATTTCATGAAATCATAAACGAGAAAAGCCTCATTCATGTGTCATGGCTTGGCTGCCGGCTGCACATAGACGGCCCATTTAGACAACACTCTCCAGTGTGAATGGGTCAATTGTGATGCATATTAGCATGTGTCAGTGGAGGGGGGGAGCTGCCATCCATAGTTGCAGTTTCTTTCATGCACGGGCTGGAAACAAAGAGCTGCACAAAAAGGAGTCTGCTGCTCTGAACAGGATGTTGTCTGCAGCTCCATATCTGTGTCTCATGGGAGCGAGCGAGCGCACACGCGTGACTCCTGCCATGTGCCTCGTTTTACACATGGCGGTTCTAACGCGTTTCTGCCAGTCACTCAATATTACAGGCTGATGAGTGTGAACAGAGAGAAGCACGGCAGCTGCTGTTTCTGCAGGATATGAGAGGGATGGAGATCACAGATGAGGTCGGGAGAGACTAAGATCTACGCCGACTCTGATACACCAGGATTCACTTTTTAATATCCGCCTGTGGTTTAAGGTGTAGCAGGTTTTCAACGTTAAAGGGATAGTCCGCTGTAAAAATAAAGATGAATGTTGTCGACCGCTTACTTCTCTAGTTATACCAACTTTAGTAACGACCGCAGGATAGAAATACAGAGAGCCACGCCCCCAACCAAAACGCCACTCTATAGCCACAAATAATGCTCAGAACAGCACCTAACTTCATCAACAGGACATATAGGGTCACAGCCATAGTACTAGACACCAAACATCTTTTTAACTTTGACTCATTTCTTTAGCAAAGAGACTAAACACAACTCACCTACTCTCTTCCAGCAGCCGCTTGTTTGTACCGAGACCTCAGGCCAGTCCATTACAGACTACAGCGGGGTGCCGCAGCTCAAGGAAGAACATTTATGATCATTTCTTCATGTAAATGCAGTCAGACCGAGACGCTGGCCTGTTGATGAAGTTAGGTGCTGTTCTGAGCATTATTTGTGGTTATAGAGTGGCGTTTTGGTTGGGGGCGTGGCTCTCTGTATTTCTATCCTGCGGTCGTTACTAAAGTTGGTATAACTAGAGAAGCAAGCGGTCGACAACATTCATCTCTGGAGGGGGTGTCTATCTCTGTTTTACAGTGAGTTTGACCCTAAATTAAGTTTACACCAGAATATCTTCAAGTTTACTTAGTGGTGATTTCCAAACTTCTCTCCCGCTGTCATGATCCATGAGTCTGACTGAGTATGACAACAACAGATTCACTGTGAGAGATGATGATTTCCAAACGAAGCTCCTGAGCTCCTGGAGGATTTCATCAACTACAGTATAAGAGTCAGAGAACAGCTGATGGTGGATGGCTGTGATTTTTACACTAAGAACAGACATGTCTCCGTGGTGGAAACAAAAATAATGAATCAGATTTCATATAGAGCTTTATCAGAGACCCTCAAAGCGCTTTTTACATTGGATACATCATTCATTCGCTCATACAGTCACACCCTTGGTGGTGGTAAACTACCTTTTAGTGGTCACAGCTAACTGATGGAAACATGGCGGCCAGTTTGCGCCTATGGCCTCTCCGACCACCACCACACAACACTCACACACACTGGGATTAAGGTGGGTTAAGCGTCTTGCCCAAGGACACAACGGACAGACTAAGGATAGGAGGGAATCGAACCGCCAACCCTCCGGTCATTGGATGATCACTCTACCTCCTGAGCTACTACCGCCCCACTACACACACTCAAAATCACCTATCTGTTGACACGGTTTGTCTCTCCACTCACAGGTGCAGGTTAAGACTAACATGCAAAGACAAAACCACGTTTAAACCCGATCCAGAGACTCCAGCAGCTCTTGGAGGAGAAGTGGAAAACTGTCCTGGACATGAGGATCATGAACCTGAACCCTGTACCCCCAAACTTACTTCTTAAACCATCAAATTCTGTTTCATGTAAGTGTATTATACAATCTAGATACTGTAACTGTTCTGTCTTGGTTACTTTTGTCTTATTTTGTACAGTCCTGAGTAATCATGATAAACAACCTATTTCTCCAGCATCCTAATCTGACACTTCCTCATCAAACTCCATCTTATCTGGAGTGACTTTCTCATCGTGGGAACCCCTCCACAGTGAACACGCAGCTCATTTCCTTTACCGTCGACGTTCTCCCGGTCGCTGATGTGCTGCAGGTTACATCCCGTCTCCTCCCTGCTCAGATCCGACTCCTGGTGGTACGACTCCAGCCTGGAGTGGGCATTTCTGCGCAGCTTGGGGCTGCCGGACACGCAGCAAGAGGTCGTGCCCCCCATCCTTCCCCTCTGTCGACCCCGGAGGCTGCTGTGCGTCAATAATCCAGTCCGACCGAACAGGAGCTCTACACGGATGGGTCACGAAGTCCACCGGGGCGAGCCGCTCGGTCACCACCGAGGGTGGACCCGGACAGCGGCGCCCATGGGTCCTGTCAGTCGTGGGTATCCAGAGAGACGAGGCCGTCAGGGGGGATGAACGTGTGTCACTTCCAGCGGCTGATCTGGATCTATGTTACCGGCTGCATGGTCGATGAGGAGGGCGCCTCCCGCTGCAGGCGGACTGGGGTCGGTGTGTGGTCGGTGTTGTGGCTGCTGTCAGGGCGATAGACCGGCAGGGAGGGCTCCACGAAAGGTTCCGGTTCAAGTGGGAGGTGACAACCAACCAAGAGCCAAAGAGGGCTGCTTTTGTAGTCCACTTCAGTCCCGATGAGGCTGATGGGTTTGTTTTTGTTCTGTAATCTAATGATCAGTTCATTTACTGCAGATATTTTAATCAAATAATAAAGAGAGGAAATAAATCAACAATAAAACAAATTAATGATAATAAAAAAGGCACTTCGTGTTTTTCCTGTTCTTCTTTTTTGTTGTTTTCACTTTTATTTCTTATTATTAATAAAAGGATGATCAGAAAATTGAATGAAGTGTCAGGCTGTATTAACACACTTATATAAATCCTACAGATTATTTATACCATTAACAAATTAATATTTTATGATATTATTTTTTGCGGTGCATATTATTATTATTATTATTATTATTATTATTATTATTATTATTATTATTATTATATAATTAATAATAATAATAATAATAATAATAATAATATTTTATTATTGTTGTTGTTATTAAGTCAAATTAAATATTATAGCTTATTAGAAATTCTTTTCCAGTATTACATCATTTCATTATATCATATTAAGTTTTATTATATTACATTTTATTTTGATATGTTGATTTTATACGTTTATATATAAATATAAATTTTCTTATTTATCTCATCTTTGCCTTCAGTTGTACAGTGCCCAAAAAAGGTACTAAAATTTTTTTATAAATTTATATCTTCTAATGCTGTCTTTTATTTAGTGTGTTTTATGATTCTATGTTTGATCATATTCAGTTTATATAATTTATTTTTCATAAATATAGTCTAATTGGTTTAATTTAACCTTAACTGATACAGATAATAACACTCAGATTAAAATAGAATATAATCTGTGAAATCTGATCTTTTCTATAACCTCCCTTTAGCCTCTGATTTAACCGTGGGTCCAGACTTGTAGTTTGGCTTTTGTAGTTTTATTTAAGACCCCGGTATAAAATAATAGTCCTCACAGAAGCTGTAAAATCCCCAAACTCACATTGATCCTTATTCTCTGTTGTATCACTGCTCTGTTTTGTTTAATCAAGTCCAAAGTCAACACGGCCCAAAGTCCACCGGGAGATTTTGGAGCTTCAGACTTCAGATTTCCTCACAGACAGACATGATCTGTGGGATACTTGTCAGGAGGAGGACTTGAAGCACTTGACCCTAAAATACAGACGAGCTGAAGGCCACGATCAACACAACCATGGACCATGAATATTTCACTTTGCATCTAATGAACAGACAATATATGAAAGTTGACCTTCTGAATTTTGCACAGGACTTTACAATAATCCAACAGTCAGTCTGCAGTGCTGTGCATTAACCAGCAGAGGTCCTCCTCCACCACCCCGCTGAAGCTCTGTTTGTGGCATTAAGATATCTCTGTGCTTGTAGGCGGTTATTTTTGAGGTGGAAATTTCCACTCCTGCCACACTGGACCCAAGGCCGTGAAGATGTTTGGAAGGAAGGCAACACAATGAAATATTAAAGAGCCTCCTGCACTCTTTAGGTCTTTAAGTTCGGCTTGTTCTTGGTTCGAGTGTCATGAGGAAAACAGTGAAAGCAGAGGGTGAAGGTTTTTGAAAATAAAGCCATGACTCAGTTCAGTCAGTCACTTGTTGATTATCAGTTCTTTTATATTTGTACAAACTGTTGATGCTTGACTCCTTTGAATGAGGCATTTCTCAAACGTTGAATCGAACCGTTTCAAAGGTCAGTAGTAAAAAAGGACTCATCAATACCAGCCTGAATAAAGGAGGCGGATGCTTTTGTGCTGGAGAGGGGCAAGGTTTGCTGTTGGTGGAAGTTTCAAGGTTTCCTTGAGAGGTGTTTTTCTCCTCTTCAACAACCCATAACAATCACCGCTGAGAGTGAGTGTGAGTCTATGAGTGCTGCTGTGTGAGCGGATCTGTAAAGGAAAAAAAGGTTGGTTCTTGTGCTGCAGTGTGTGTGTGTGTGTGTGTGTGTGTGCCCATATGATAAAGACAGAAGCTGAATTTTCAGTGTCTCTGGGTGTGTCAACAAAATACTGTTCGACACACAAAAGAGGGGGTCGGGTTAAACTGAGCTGAAACGACCGATCCTGAAAGAATCACAGAGTTATTGCAGCTTTTAACACCGTCAGACCCTTTCAGGTCAACCGCCTGGGTTGCCATGGAAACTAACAAATTCCATGGCAGGCTCTCTTTTTAAAAAAAAAAGGACGTTTCATTCATTCATTCATGTTTTAAAGGTGGGATACAATTTAAAACCCATTTATCCCCAGAAAACTTCCAAGTAGGGATTATTCAAAGTCCCATAAATGCATCCTGAAAACTCAGAACACGGACTCTATCAGTTTGATCTGTTATCATCACAGTGTAAGTCTCCTACAGAAGAGATGTGAAGCAAAAAGAGAAATTCAGGAGCGCACAAACCTCCTCTTGAACAGAGACTCTGCAGCCTTCGCCTCCATCATCCATTCATGACTTCTCCAACAAACAAGAGAAGTTTGTTCATTCATAAGTCAGCCTAAACTCACAGTCTGATGGCATAAAGAACTGAGTCATAACATATGTACTTCCCAGCATGCTTTAAAGAGCTGTTTCTCATATACAACAGTGTGACCCCATGTGTAGAAATAGTGACGATAATGATCCTTTTATTTGTGATGTTAAACTGTGTATTCTTGGATTAATTCACCGTGCCTGTAACGTCTCCTAAAGATGAGCTGATAAATAAATAAATAATATTTATTCAGAGCCTACTCTTCTTTCATCGTTCAGTCATTAATTCGCTTCCTTATCTAGGCCACCACAATTACATGCAGCGTCTTAATAAGCATGCTAACGAGAAGAGGGGAGTTTTTATTAAAAGGTGTTTTTGATTAGAGTCTCAGGACTCTGTGTGGACACTTCATCTCTGTTTGTTTCCCTGTAGTGCTGTAACTTCCAAACTTACTGTCTCCACACACTGAGCGCGAGTAAAATCATTCGCGCGAATGAATTACATGTTAAGTCAATGCAAAGGTGCGATTAGACACTCGTACTACTCTGCGTGAACCAGTCAGCATGAAGGTTGCCAGGTGAGGTATGAAAACGGACGGTTGTTCACTGGTATGAAGCCGAACTGATCGTGTCGGTGTTTGGGTGCCCTGGATTATATGATACCTTTTCTTTCAATCACCGAAAGCGGAATAAAAAAGGAGGAAAGTGAGTGAGGAGGTCGGATTACCTGGTAAATTGTAAAAAACCTTTTTATCTATCACTCCTGCTGGTTGAATTGGCAGAGATTACTGTTGAAATTACCGTTGAAGCGTGAATGAAGCGAGTAAATACTATTCATTCGCGCGTCTAGATTCGCGCGAATTAAGCGAGTAGATGATTTTACTGGCACTTGCTCTGAACGCCCCATAAGAGGGGACAGTAGAAAGTTAATCAACATTTCAGAACAGCTGAGATTCAAACTGATGGATGTTTTATAAACGCCACTGAGGTCAGGGTTTCCGGATAACAGACCCTCATAATGTTGCTTTAGGCCGCGATATCTCTGCTTGTTTGTGGAAACCTTGACGAGAGCTCAAATCCAGGCTGCTCCTCTCCCTGCTCCCCTCTCTCCTCCTCCTTCTATGCTCACAATCCTGTAAACAAGGAAATGATTCAAACAACGGGACCACTCATTTCTTATTTGAATATTTTATTAGATAAACAAAAATATTTTTGGATTTACAATTCAAACAAGGAAGTACACTGAAAATAAAACACCTGGTAAAAGATGGAGCGGATTTAAGAGAGCAGAAACTACGTGCAGGGAAGGAGAACTAAGCTGATATCACGGATTTTAATCCAGTTAAACAGAACACAAACCACAACGATGGTGATAAGGATGATGTGTTTGGACTGCCGCTGGATGAATCATGATGTTTGAAGTGATATAAACAGAATTAAATACTTGACTACTTCTAAACAAGCTTTGGCAGCCAGAAAAGAGGGTCCATCAGAAAACATGATCAGAGGAACGACAAAAACGGGGGAAAAAAGAGCAAGCAAGTTTCCAAAATCACTAAACGTCAACACAAGATGATATATTATTATTCAAATAAAACATCTTCAACACATACAAAAAAGAGAAAAATGTTGGCATCACCCTTTAAACAGAGCATTTAAAATACGCAGCCATAATCAAATACAGTTTTATACCACAGTGGATATCACTCATTTGATGAACAAAACTGGCATGACAGTAAAGCACGACTTTGGGTTTGTGAGTCATCAAAAGAAGGGTTGTTTTTTTTTTTTAAAGAGGAGAGTAAACAATTCACGGACAGAGTGGACATCTAGCTAACATGTTACTTTCACACCAGAGGAAAAGAAGTCATGGAGAGAAACGCTTCAGGAAATACGACTGAAGATGACGTTTGATCGAATCCAAAGTGGGGCTTTGGTTCTTCATCTGTGCTTTGACTCTTCGCAGATACATTCAGATCTCTGTTCTGATAAAAATAAAGACTCTCCTGGACTTTTCTACTCTGGCTTTAAGTCTTATTTACAAAAACCTCGTGGCCGACTCTCCAAAATCAAGAACCTTTGCACAGACCGAAGATCCGGACATCACTTCATGGTGAAAATATTCAACGTTAATGTTTTTTTTGCACGGAGGAATGCATGAAACAACCAAGAATAAAAGCATTCAACACAAAGGACACGATCAGGTAAACACTTTGAGTTGCCTTGATACAGCTGGTGGTGGATCTGCAGAGATTTATGTGCACCTCACCCGACCTCAGAGAAACTTGCTGGTAAGCGAGACCCGGCTGAACCCTCGTCATCTCTGAACTGGAGCGGGACATGTCAGGAAGCACCTGTGTTTCCTCTTCCTGTTCCTCTTCTTCTTATTCAGCTGGCTCTCATTGGCTGTGCACTAACGCATCAGCAAGCAAAGAGTGTGCGACGCTTCGGTCTTTACATGCAAAGAGCACAAGACGAGAACAAGAGCAAAACTGGCGAGCTCGAGCTGTTCGCATTCCCCGGGACACTTCTGTCTTCAGCGTGAACCTGGCCTGAGCGTGCAGAGAAACAAAGACAGTCGCAGCAGTTTTTGTTTCAGAGTCTTTTCTTTTTTTTTCTGTTTTATTTATTTTTTTGTTTGATTTTTTTTGTTTTTTGTATTTTGGCGGTTTGTAAACGGGCCTCGTCTTCAGCCCGCGACCACAAGCAGCCGCTGCTACTCGGCCTTGTGGCAGTAAATGTCTTTGAGCGCTTTCAGCTCTTCAATCAGGGTCTTGTTTTGGTTTTCCAACACAGCCACGCGGTTTTCCAGACATTTGACATACTCTTTCTTTTTCCTGCGGCACTCGCGGGCTGCCTCCCTGGAGAGGAAGAGAAGAAGAAGAAGAAGGGAAATACAGTTGAGTCCCTGATGACTTTGCACAATCTGACACAGTTATCCCCGAACAATCACTCCTTCACATCCTCAGATGAATCATTAACACTCAGTTCATCCCCTACCTGTTCTTCATGAGCCGGACCTCCCTCTTGCGGGTGATCTCCTCGGCGTGATGCGATGAGGGGCTCTGCATGGAGCTCGGTGAGGCGGCCATCACGATGCTCTGCGCCAGGCCTGAGTTTGGCGAGCGAAGCTGGTAGGCCGGGATGTCTCCTGTGGCAGCTGAAGAGAGACGATGGAAAAACGTTGTTAAAGACCAAGTCCTGTAACTTTGTCTTCATTAGGTCGGACAGTTAGAGAGGAGAGTGAGCGCTGAGCCGGCGAGGCCATCAGCACGCCACAATTTTATTTTAATTTATTAATCATATTTCTGACATTTCTTTGACTCTCCAAACTACAGTTTATGAACTGAGGCGACTTAAATTCTTCTTCAAGGTCTATATATTCTCTCAGAACTCAGACTTTTCTCTCAGACTGTGGAGAAATAAAAGTCAGGATCCTCAAAAAAACAAAGACCTGACAAATTTGGGAATATCTTTAAATCAGAGGTTTAATTCTGAGTTTAAACTCATATTTCTCACCTTGAAGTTTTTCTTATTCTTATTGATCTCAGGATTCCGAGACAAAAAGTTGCAGTTCTAGAATTCTGAGGTTTTTCTGCAGAGTTCTAGAATTCTCACTCCATCCTGTAAAATAACTGAATCATTTCTCTTCTCAGAATCTCAGGAGTTCAGGTCGGAAAAAAAGTCTGAATTTTTGGATTTAACTCTGACAATGAGAATAATCTTAAAAACTCTGTTTCTCAGATTTTGTCAAATCAAAGTCATAATTCTGAGAAACAGTTTGAATTTGAAACATTTCTGAGATTTCCAGGATTTTAAGTTAGTATAAAAAAAATAAAATTCCTAAGAATAAAGAATAAATTCTACTAAATTTCAAGTAAAATGACATTTTCCTTCAGAATTCTCATTTTTATCTCAAAAAGCAGGGCAATAAGAAAGAATTGTGGATTTTCATTCAGACTTCTTTCTCATAAGTCAGAATCTCAAGTTAAAGTTCTGTAAGAAGAAAAGTAAGAAATCTCAGGCTTTTGACTTTTATCTCAGAATTTAAGATTCAGGTCAGAGCTTCGAGAGTTACGTTAGAATGCCGACCTTTTCCTGAATTTTACCTTCAAACTTTAAATTTGTTTTTTAAAGACCTATATTTTGCCATATTTTAAATTTCAGTCAACATAGATACAAAACGCATGGATAAAAAATAAACAGCTAACAAAAATGGAGATAATGTTCTACCTCAGCTAGTTACTCGACAGAACATTCTTACTCGTATCCTCTATAGCTATAGACCATAGACTGTATATACTTTGGACAACTTGGTTCTGTCCTTCGCCATCATACGTATTTGAAGCTGAAAAGTTCTCTGTAATTCCGCGTTTTCTCACCATTTCCTGAAACCAACATTGCGCAGTAACGTTGTACGCACTCCACCACTTTTTCAGTAAAACATAATTCTGGGAAACGGAGTCCGAATTTCTTATTTGCAACATACAGCGCGAAAAGGTTAGTCTCCCTTGACTACATCTAACCAACCTAGCCCATTTTCAAAGACCTATTTTTCTTTATTTCTGTATATACTGACAGCTGACAAAAAAGGTGATCATGTTTTACTTTAGCTAGTTACAAGACAGAACATTTTTACTTCTGCCTTTTTGGGTATCGCCTCGAACAGTTGAACACAAACACACCTCGTTCAGTGACAGCATGTTTTTTTGTTACTGTATAAGAATTTGGACTCAACGTTTACAGCGTGAACCACAGCGAGCTCCTTATAACTGCAGGTTCACAGTGTTTGTCAGTAAGAGAAGACACTGATTATAGGAAAATTTTTTAAAAAAGCAGCAGAGGCAGCTTTAGGTTTGAGAGAGAGAGAGAGAGAGAGAGAGAGAGAGAGAGAGAGAGAGAGGGAGACTGTGTTTAAAGTTGTTGACTCATCAGTGAGATGACTCAACTGTTGATGTCTTTGTGACACCGCTGCTTCAGTTTCTCTTTTTCACTTTGTTCCAGAGAACTTACTGACACACACACACACACACACACACACACACACACACACACACACACACACACACGCACACACACACACACACACACACACGCGCGCTGTGATAACAGAATGACTCGCGCAGTGCTGACGTCAGTGCGTGCGTCGTTTTGCATTCCCTCTTCCACGCTCGGCCTCTGTTCCAGGAAACCGGAGTGACGTCAAGCACACTCTCCGGCCCCGCCCCCCTCGCTTCTTAACCCCGCCCCTCTCTGCCCGTCTGCCTGACAACCACCGGAGAGCCGAAAATGAGATATGAGCGCGTTCGAGCGGCGGTGAAAAAACCCACTGACAGAAAGCGAGTTGAGGAAACTAACCCCACACTCTCCGAGCTCTCCTCTGTTTCTACAAACTCTGCTTTTCCTTTGTTGAAACAGGACGACCAGCTGTTAAATCTGCGGCGTGTTTCTTCCTCATTTCCACCGAGCGTGAAGTCAAAGTCGGTCCAAAGTGTCAAAAAAAGCCGTTTCATGCAGCTTGATCCTTAAAGATATCCTGCTGCATGTAGGGCAGAGTAAGATGATCCATTTTTCATATTTCGGATCACTGAATCAAAGTAATCCTAGTTTTGTCCCTAACTCGTGTATCTGCAGATATTTTAAGATGTTGTCCATCCCTGTAAACCAACAGAGTGAGTGTAAACACAACTGTCTTGATGATATAACATGACAAACAAAAAAGTGGTCTCCTATGGTCAACTTACCCCTCCCTCACCTTCTCTCTCCCTAAAAAACTGTCACTTTTTTATATTATACACTATTCAACTGGTACAATTATTCTTTTTATTATTATTATTATTGTATATAACTGCTAAAAAGTTGTTTTGGACTTTTATGTTTTTGACCTGTTGTTGCTAATAGATACCACAATGAATTTAAAATGATCTTTTTTGGTCTGAACACAATTCTAATCAAACTTTTGACAGACTAAATTCACTTTACAGAGTGAAAAATGTTCTTTTGTAAATAAATGTCTAACCCCTTCACCTGTAATGTGCTTCTAACCTTCACAGACTTCGTGATTTGATGCCCATCTCCTAAATATTTGGTCACATGATCAATTTCTTTTACTATTTCCAAGTAACAGGGGGTGGCTCAACTTACCCCACTCTCCCCAATATAAACTCTTTTTTTTGCCTACCTGCAGGTGCGATCTTAAACACACACTCACACTGAATCAGACACAGCTGACAGCTCATGCGGTGTCATGTAAACATATTTCAAAACACTAAGAGTTGATGGATTTTACTTTTTGCGCACAGAATGAAAAGAAAGTCTACCTGACTCGGTCTCATCCCCGGTGACAGCCATCTCTTCTCTCCAATAATCCAGCACCACAGCAGTGAAACAGCCCCACACAAACAGAAAAAATCACTCCTCTAGCCTGTAATTCTCCTTCTTCTTCTTCTTCTCCTTCTTCTTCTCTTTTCCCTCTCTGCTCTCTCTGAACCGGAGTGCTCACTCGTCAACTTTGCAGCCCGATTACAATTACAGGCATTGACATCACACTGACATCACTCCAGCCCGCTGAAGTCAGTAAAACACCCTGGATTAGAGTTCCTCCCTCCCTCCCCTCCTGCTGATCAGACGCTGAAGCACAATGTGAGCCGGGTAAGGGAGGGAGGGAGGGAGAGAGGAGGGGAGGAGGTGGAGGGGTGGGTGTATTTTTAGCACTAGTGACGCAACTAGAGAGACGCTCAACAAACAAGAGGATATTGTGTCCCAAGTGGCTGCCGTGCAAACTGTTGAGCACCCTCTCTGTGAAGTCTGTGTTTTTATATGTTTGTGTCCTAAAAGAGAGGTGATAATTGAGGCGTTCAAACTCTCACTGCTTCATTTGACAGCACAGCGGTTATTAAACAGAGCCGAGGACAGATCATGTTTGCTGCTTTAAACGCTCGGCTGACTGATTGATTGCTGGGAAAATCCTCCTCTGCTGTGGAGGAAGTGATACTTTCTACTCTGTCAGAGACTTCAGGAGAGGCTCTGCAGAGAAAAAAGGTGAATCTCAGGTGTTTGAGGTCAGGTGTCAGCTGCTCTTTAGCAAGGCATCCGACCCATGAGACTTTTAGATGAACTCTACAGCACCTGATCTCTAAACTATGTTTTTATCAAGATAGATGATCAGATATGACTTTAAAACAAATGCCCCAACAGTTTGATTTAAGTCAAATAATATTACGAGTTTATTCTCCTATCACGAGGACTTTATTCTCAAAATATCACAACTTTATTTTCATGACACAAAGAGTCTTTTCTTTTACGTTATGGTGTAGTTCTCATAAAATAACATCTTTATTCTCGTGACATAAAATCTTAATATATGCAGCATAACTGTTTGATAAAATAACTTTATTGTCGTGACAATACGACTCTATCATGACATAATGCATTTACTTATGTGTTATAAAGACCACTATCGTGACATAAAGACTTAATTAAAGAAACATAAAACTTAATATATGCAACATAACTGTTTGATAAGTAACATAACTTTATGAACGTGACATAACAACTTTACCTATGTCACACAACTACTTTGTTACAGTGACATAAAGATTTTATCACGACATAATGCATTTACTTATGTGTTACAGAGACTACTATTGTGAAATAAAGACTTAACTAATGTAACATCAAATTTCATAGATGCAACATAACTGTTTGATAAAGTAACATAACTTTATTGATTTGATAGGACGGCTTTACTTACGTCACAAAACTACTTTATTACAGTGACATGAAGATTTTATCACGACATAATGCATTTACTTATGTGTTATAAAGACTACTATTGTGACATAAAAACTTCTCTAATGTAACATAACGATGTTAACGTGATATAATTTATTCATGTCACAAAACTACTTTATTACGGTGACATAAAGTCTTTGTCATGCCGTAAAGTTTTATTATTATGTTATAAAGATTCTATTATCGTGACATAAAGCCCTCATTCTTATGACATGGACTTCATCATTGTGGTGGAATGGCCCAGTTAACATGACATACGTCACTTTGGATACAAGTGTCTGCTGAATGACACAGTAACATTGTGATATCACAACTTTATCGTCATGACATAAAGACCTTATTAACATGATGTACAGACTGTATTATCGTGACATAATGACTTTACTGTCGAGATGTGTGTGTATATATATATATATATATATATATATACAGTCTTTGTTATTAATGTGACATAATGACTTTTTTCTTCATAACATAACTTAATTTTGACACGTAACAACTTTGATTTTGCAACACACTGACTTCATCCTCATCACATCAATAATGAATTCTTGTAAAATAATTATTTATCATCATTGTAACCACTTTACTTCATGACATAACTTCCTGTTTAAAAACAAAGTAATTTTATAACAAAATAATTGTGTTTATTGATTTTAATGTAATGTGGCCCTTATACTTTTTTATTCTAAGTTGTTTATGGTTATATACTGCATTATACATTGTTGTACTTTTACTTTTATTTAACTATAAAGTCAAATGTTTTTATTCAACAAGCTAAATACTAAAAATATGTTGGTGTTTTGTTTATTAATTATATTAACAAGGAGTTTTTAAATGAAATAATTTATAGATATATATTCAAAGGAGGAAATTGTAGCCTTGAAAATTATGTGACTATGTTTATACGGACTGAATGAAAAAAACAGCATGTGTCCTACCTCTCAAGTAAGAAGGACATCAACATTGTAACTTGACACGGATTTGAAATAAAAAACATATTTTGATAAAGATGTAAAGGAACAGAGCGTACAGATGGCTGTAAAATCTCCTTTTTTAGTCCAGCGCTTCATGAAGCGGTTTTGGATTTAAGGTCACATTCTTTTTCTCTGCAGTCTTTTCAAATATCGTAGCAGGTTGGGAATGTCTGTCCTTCCTGAGGTGTTTGCTTTCAACATTTTATCCAAAAAGAAAAGCGCAAAGGGAAAAACATACTCAAATGAAAAGACGAGGCCTTATCTGCGCCTTTCAGACTTCTATACTCTCTTGATATTTTAATGTAACTCAAGTATTCGAGAACCAAAAGCTAGAACCTGATTATGTCCATGTTATTTGCCCTTTTTGGTCTTGATCCCTCACCCTCGTCCTTGAAACCTCTCCCTGTTCTTACAGGCCAGGGTTAGCGGCTGTTTCACAGGCTGAAGAATGCCGTCCTCATGGTGCTGACAAGGTGACTGAGATGAATTAGTACATGTATGAGTCACTGGTATGAAAACCCTGCTGCTGTTTTCTGTGACGCTCCAACAGAAAACACAAACAACTAAATCACTGCTGTACATACAGGTAGATAAACACCTGACATTTGACGATGTGTTATTAAGGATGACTCAGCTTATTTTCTTGGTTTTTTCACACGTCTTCTTACACCTTAAATCAACTCCAACATCTTCTTCCTCACAATCTGCTAAAACCTGCATCAAACCATGCTAGCCTGAGGTTGTCCGCCGCCGTCTCAGCGATGAACAGCGTCCAATAAGGTGGCAGCCACCATATTGGAAATGCTGACTCAACCTGACTTTCAGTGAAGATGAATTGAGAGGTAATGAGGGGGAGTTGAAGCCTTTAGCCTCCTCGCTAACAGCTACAGTGTGCCCACCTGTCAGTCAAGTCAGTTGTGCCTCTAAACTGCCAAATTTGTAACAATAATCTCAATGAAAGAAATGCATTATGGGAAAATTCCCTCAGCGTACTGTGTGTGCAGAGAGAGTAATGAACCATTGGGACCAAAGGTGTTTTTGAACTAGGCTGTAAACATGTTTACTTTTGTGGTAAAGACCGTGTTTTTGAATGAGTGTGTATGTGGCTTCTTGGTGCTTCAGCAGGCAGCCTCTAGTGGACACTTGGGGAGCTGCAGTTTTGAGCTGTTCTGTAAAATCCACTCGTTTCGTGAGACTTCCAGCCATAAACTCAGTGTTTCTGTGACATCCAGATCAGACACTGAGATTCATGATACTTGACCAGTATAGATCTAAGCAATACATGCCAAAGAACGGAGTATAGATAAAGCAGCTGCTGCTAGCGAGTTAGCTGTAGCAGCAGACTTTTTTAAAAACTTAAATTACAAGATTTACTGTGAATCCAAAACCTATTTAGAGCTCTTTGGACACCGATCAGTGAAACATCTTTACTTTATATCTGATCGTTTAACTGTTGACCTACCAGAGTCGAATAGGTGACTTCAAAATAAAAGCACAGGAGCTACAGAAACAAAAATGCCTGCCAGACCAAAAGTATTACATTACATAAAGCTCAAGTCTTACCTTGGATGAGCACCTGTCCTCCCTGGATGTAGAACTGCTGAGGGGTGTCTCCAGGCTGGGCTGCACACTGCAGGATTGTGGCTGCAGACTGCGGGGTGGCAGAGCCGCCGGTCAGGTCTTCAGCTCCAGGGCTCGCCAGCTGGATGGTTCTCCCCGGAGTGAACGTGACTGCGGGGCGGAGAAGTGGAGTTATTGCTCAGCTGCAGCCTTAATGTCATGGATTAACGGAGTGGGAGGTGTGGTTCGGTCACGTCAGACATCGAAGGTTCGGAAAGAAAACATTTCATTCAAACTTCTCCAAAGTGAAGATGGTCTGTGGGCTTTTTGGTCTTCAATGGATTTAAAACACTCTTTACACACATCACAGGACAGCAGAAGAGGACAGTAGAAATGACAGCTCTACAAACGGCTCATAATGTTCATGCTCGCCTTACTTCATGACTGAATATTACAAAGACGTACAATTACAGGGAGCTATATTTACTGCACCTGAACGCACAAAATTACTATCATCGAGTAAATGAATCAGGCTGAAGAGAAAGTGGACAAAACTGAGACTCATTTATAATGTGGTGCAACAACAAGTATTAGTCTTACACAGCCTCTATTAGAATAGTCCAGCCTTTTTCTCATCAGCTTCAACTGATATTTATAAAATCTTTGATGTTCCAGTTTTGTACAATCAACAGGAACAGCCCTGTTATTACGTTTTTACGTATAATATATACATTTAATAACACTATTTCACAAGAGGAGATGTTTGGCTAAAGAGGTGAAATAAGGGTGCTTTGGCCACAGGGGGCGCCAAAGTTGACATACCAGAAATTGCTCACAGGAGCTTTAATTCTAATTGCGCAAATTTGTGCGACAAAGCGACGACTTTGAGTTTGGTTCTTCGACTCTGTTTTGAAGACGCTAAAGCTTGGGTTTGTATTTCTGGTTGTACTCTATAATCGCCATGGCAACAGCTTGTCGGCCCTGCTGTTTTTGAAGCTCTTAATTGATAGAAAATATGAGATCTAATGTTTATAACCAAATTGTAACATAAAATTTAGGAGAAAATAGCAGCAGATGGACTCATGGACTCATGGTGCTGATAGGAGAGCTGCTCATAGATGTCTGTTTAAGTGAGTACTGACTGTACTGTCCAGAGCTGGTCTGGTAGATGGAGGTCGGCACTGCTGCAGAGGCTGAACTGGAGACCTGCACCTCCTCCTCCACCTTCTCCTCATCGATTTTAGGAACTGCTGGAGAATCTGATGACAGCTCATTGAGTATTTTCCTGCAGGGGGAGAAGGAGGAGGAGGAGGAGGACTGCAATAAGTGTTTTCACACAATCAGCTCGATGTTATCTCACTGTGCTCGCCACATGCTGCTGAACGTGCTCTGACGTCCTCTCACCGGTATGACGGACGCCTGGAGAGGATCTCTCGTCTCTTCTGACTGTCTCTGACTGACTCCTCATCCTGCAGCTCTGCTACTGTAGTAATCTGAGGAAGAAGAGAGTGAGTGTGTGAGAGGAGGTGACTAATCCTCCACAATATTGTTTATTTTGTCTTTTGGAAACATCTTTGGCATTTAACACTACTCCTGAGGGGGTGTGATGATCTTTTATGAGCACACTGGGATGTTTTTAGGGAGAGAGGGATGACGTCAAAGAGGAAATTTTAATCTTTAACACATCACATGTCTCAGCTGAGTGTTTACAGATTTCTTTCGCACAGAGACACGGCTTTTTTTCACCGCTGACGTCTTTTTTTAAAACTCCAGGCTGTCCAAATGTTTCTGTCAACCTGAACCAAAGACATTATCATACACCTCCTGCAGCGACACTGCACTTGCACCGCATTAAGATGTTCCTGACGACTCTGAAGGCTTTTCACATCATGCATATTTTATATCTCTGACCTCCAGGTAGCGGTATGTTCACTAAAATCCTCCAGCTGTTGTTTTTGTCTGATAGAAATCGAGAGTTTGCCGTCAGAGCTTATCTACCTATTTGGAGAATCAGGCACTCCATCCAATTCCAAACGTTTGAGCCAACACCTCTTTCCACAAGCATTTCTCACAAATCAACTCTTTCCATTTTGTCACTCCATATTGACAATAATGATGGAATAATAATGACAATCATGACTTTGACCTAGTTGTGTGTAATCAGTCAGCCAGCTCGCGTGACTCATCCTGCTTTGACGCCGTGTGTGTCTGACAAAGGCAGAGATTGGTTTACATGAGGTCAAACAGGCGTGTTGGTGATGAAACTTCATTTCCAAACAGGTTAGGACGCCGCGAAATCAGACTTTAATACGCTTTATTCAACTGAACATGACGCAAAAACAACATATGAAGCTGACTCTGTGACAAGTTTTTGCACTGTGTGTTCACAGACAATGATTTTGGAAGTGTTTTTAAGCCCATGCAGTGAATTCCACCACAGAGTTCCACCAAAGATCACAGCTATCAAGAGTTGGTTTTTTTCTTTGACTCTTTTCTGCAGGGGTGTTTCTGAATCTTTTAACAATAAAACCCCCAAAAACCTTAACAGTTTCACACTGAAAATACATTGTTTTTTTGTTTTTTAAAGCATGTTTAAAGCACTTATTACATTTAAATTAAGGGTGTTTTTTCTTCTTAATATAACAAACACACTTTAAGCCTCTAAATTTCATTGATATTTGCACTATTGCTGATCAGAAATTAGATTTATAAACTAGCAGAATCTGTTTTATCAACATGAAACTCAGCATCCTCACCTGTTTTTGAATTTGAGGTTGTAAATATATTGTTTTGCAATCAAAATTTTACACTCTGACCATGTATGCTAGAGAAATGTGAACATAAGAGCACCTTGTGTGTTATCGGGGTATGTAAAAGTAATCATACTGGTTTCAATTTTAACTTTATTTACTTTCTGGAACTAAATTTCACTTTTCTCTTTTCTAAAAAGTGACTAATTACTTGAATAAATTATTACTTCTTGAGTTGAAAGACTTTTAAAATTGAAAGTCACAACCTAAACTTAAAAACAGAACTTGCTGATCTGATCTTGTTCATTAAACTCCAGCTTAAATCATATCAGAGAGTTCCTCCTGCTCTCACCTGGGCGGTCTGGACTTGTGGTGACTGAATGACGGATGTCTGTGGAATCTGGATGACCCCTTGAACCTGCAGGGTTTGACCGTCAAGCATCTCCACGACAGTCACAGCAGGAGATCCTGCTGCTGCCGACGCCTGCTGAACACAAATGAGACGTTCAGAGTCATTTAAAGAAGCTTTAAAAGAGTGAGTGAAAGGTGGCCGTGTGTACCTGAGGGTCTGCAGGGTCTGGACTAGCCTCGCTGTGGTCCTCTTCCCCGTTTTTCACCGAGTCATTCAAACTCTTGTCTAGTTTTGGCGAGACTGAAGCTTCCATCGTCTGACACCCGAGAAAAAGACAAACACGAAGATAAGTGAGTCAGACTGAAACCTGCGGCAACACAAAAGCCAGCAAAGCACTATTTTGGGAAATTAGAATCACCTCAAACATGTGGCTGAAGTTAACCTCACAAGTGGCAACAAACTATAGATCAGTCAATGCGTGCAGGACTTGTACGAAACGAAGATGGCAAGCAAAATGTAACTCCTGAAAAGTGCATCATCCAATAAAAACCCTGGAGGGAATAACTTGATATTCTTCTATATGGATTTAAAACTGTTTGTGCAAAATCCACTTTTACCCAATTTATAATTCAATTATTTGCAATCAACAGCTAATACAACTGATGGATGTTTTATATGTAATACTTTATAAATTATACCACACACAAGATTTACAGATATTTGAAGGATCTTTGCAGGTTATAAATTGCCAGAAAGCAGATCCAAAATGTTCATATCATGCCCTCTATCATTGCATGTTTGTGTTGTGTAACTGCTAAAATCTGCCAATAGTAGAGTAAAGTATGCCCAGACTTTTCCAATAAATAAACATACCAGTGAACACAACCCGCATTTTAAGCTTAAAATTAAATACATATTCCAAACAGTAGGATATATTGGTGATATTTAGACGTTAAATTCGACTTATTGCTTATTTTTTTAGCAACTTCAAATTCGTCCAGATGCTGGCCGTTAGCGAACCCGGAATTGAAGAGTTTCAGAATAGTAAATAGAAGTTTCAGTTGAATTAAGACACCGTGAAATATTATCTTGTTTTACATTCGAAGGTAACGCCATATGGGCTAAAACTCTACCTACAGTATCAAGCTTGAAAAAATATTCATGAGAAAATCAGCAAAATAGCAAAATAAAGCAGCTGCTCCTCGTTAAGTTTCACTAAACCACTTTGAATTTAAATGTTTTTATTCAATCAAACATTTAAAAATATTGCGTTCTTTCAAAGAGGAATTTGAGGCACAACAGAACGGGTTAGTTCATTTAAAACAAGCTCTGTGTTAGTTTGGGAATATTTTATTTTGAAGGGACGATGTTCAACAGTTTCCGGTGTCCATTTTACTCCGTCTGACTTGACGCAGCTTTCCAACTTGAGCAGAGAGGAGGAACTGGCGCCAGCAGAGCCGTTGGTAATGTTTCTCTAACTCCATGTTGGTCAGGTTAATCAACAAGCGGAGTGACAAAGTTTTCATGAAGACTTTCGCACCGTGGACGTGATTTTTACGTTGTCCTCGCGCTGCCCCGCGTGCCGCGCAGCAAAAATGTGACAGCTTTGTTGTGACTTACCGTAGTTTTACGTAGTCTGACTCGTCATTAATGACAGTAGGGGTGGACGGCCTTCGCCTTCGCTCACGTAGGTTCACGTCAGCGCCGATGATGATGCTGTGCCGAAAATGTCGACCGACGAGTCAGTTTAACGTCGAAGATCGTCGAGGCGGAGCCAGAGGACTCACTCCGACTGACTTCCGCGTTCGCTACCGGCCAGCGTCTGGAATAAGTTGAGCAACGAGCAACAAGTCGAATTTAACGGCTTAATATCACAAATATATCCTCATGTTTGGGAATTTCATTATTTCTTCTTTTCAAAAACGATCGGAAAAGACCACGTTAATTCACATTTTTTCACAAAACAGACCAAGACTTAGATGAACATATTTTCCTGTATTTACTCAACATACTGACTTTGACACTTTTTTTAAAGATCAAATTTGATTTAATTTCTTTGTTCAGATTGTTCCACAAACTTATTCCTCTCACTGTAACACTGCGCTCCTTCAGTTTAGTTCTGAATCTTGGCTTTTTAAATATTTCAAATCCTTTTAGATTATAACAACTTTCTCTTTTTTCAAATCGGCTCTGGATGTTGACTGGTAAAATTTTCCCATGAGCTTTATACGTAATATGCAACATACTGAAATCTACTAACTCACTGAATTTCAACAACTGCAATTTAACAATTAATGGGTTTGATGGATTTTGTTAAATTGAAAGAGCACAGATCATAAATGAAGTGAATAAAAATGGTTATGATATGAGCAACTGACATGGAAAAACGTGAGGTTGTCGTTTTCTCACCATGGTGCCTTACTTATTTAAAACCAGAGTAATGTGGCCATCTGCTGGTTGCTGTGTATACAATAAAGGTCCAACACTTTCAAACAGCAGAAATGCAACAGTCAGTTCATTCAAATATGAAAACACGAACCTAAATTAATCTTTAAGTGGGCCTAAAACCTCCTCTTACTTAGAGCCAAAGATCCTTTATTTGCTCAGATGGTCCTCCTTTGGCTCTTGAGGTAGATTCTGAAATTTCAAAATAAAACACACTTTATGAGTCGTGATTTACATTTTTTCTCAATTGCTTTGGTGCATTTCTCAGAACAATTAGTACAAACTGCAAAACCTAGTGGATGACCTGCAAAAGCGCGTCACTTGTTTAACATGAATAGTTGATTCCTCAAAAGAAGTATATGTGAGTGTGAGGCTCAGTCAGTTTCCGTATTCCCTGAGCCGTTTAGACACACAGGTGAACTATGTATTAGACAGTTTATCAAGTATCCAAAAGGGGAGCCTAAGATCACCTTAGAGGTCAGCCAAGGCCGCCAGTTGATGACTTTGTTATTTTATGGAGTCCTGGGCAGAAAAGTTTGGGAACCTGTGTTCTTAATAGTTAATTTCAAATACAAACTTATTCATAAAACAACTAAAGTTGGCCAAAGCGCTGCTCCACGTAAAAGTCCACAACAGTATTTATTCATTTATGCTCTGGATTCTTTCCCACGCTCACTGAATTCCTTTTTTTATCTGTGACTCTGGCTGACCTCAGAGCCTCCATCTGTCACCTCGTGCTGTTCAAACGGCGCCCCCCGTTGTCATCAAAGAGGACTGCTCTGCACAGTTTAGTACCCTCCCTTAATCTGGGCACAAAATTCAGAGGTGACCAGAGCTGAAGGGGATGTTTTCTGACAATGACTGAAAATCTAAATGACTGATTTTTATATTTTTTCCTTGTTTTTTTCTTGTATTTGTGATATATTATCCCATGAAATCCTACTTTTATAATTTTACAGCAAATTTGTGTTCCCCAAACATTTTCCATCCATGCACCAGTCAGTCTGGCCGGTGTCCTTCTCACCCCTTTGGTCCTCTCTCCTTCCTCATCCTCTTGGCACTGTCCTTTAGTCGGAGGGTCCAGATGGTGGAGCAGAAGGGGGTCCTCAGGGGGCACAAAGTCCTGTCAGCAGGGGGGACTGAATGTGACCTAAGCCAGACAGCCTTTTAGCACAGAATTAGCCTGGGATGGACTGGAAACACAATTACATTCTCTTAATACCATTAAAGAGGTATTAGCTAGCCCAGTGTGGCCTTTGCAGACTGACCAGCGATGAAAATTCATAATTTATCTGTTAATTAGAAAGCTGACAAAACTACAGCAGAGGATCAGGACAACATTGAGTTTTTTTTTTTGCCTTAAAAATTTAGAGATTAAAGTTGTAAATTTAGGAGAATAAAGTCATAAAGTAAATAAAGTCATAAAGCTGCTTTTGTGGAGGGGGAAATGACTGAAGCTGGTCATCTGCAGGGTTATCTGTGGATGTATCAACGGGTCATTCAGAGAGATTTTGTGGTTTCTGAAGAAACAATCAAACTGATGATGATCAACATTTGTGATCCAGAGGGAGTCGAGCTCCGACGAGCACCATGTCTCTGACACCGGCGGTAACCTACACCTGCAGAGACACCAACACCTTATTATGGCATATAATAATAACCCCCCACCATCTTCATGCTGTGATTTATAAGGTTTCCTGACATGCGTCACACTTGGTTTTGCAGTATGAAGTTATTCTTTGTCTTTGTTTTTGGACTCGTGGTTTCAGAGCAGCAGAGATCGACTCCCTTTTTCCTGCTAAAAATCAACGAGAGACTTTTGTACTGGGTCAGGTATACGACCTCCATTTGAGCCATTTTCACTCATGCATTTTTGGGCACCCCTTCTGAGATGATAAGATACACCCTGAAGAATGTGTTTTCTGTGTCCACGTGGCTCGGGGGATAAGGAGACTGACTGGTACTCCTGAGATTGTGGGTTCAAGTCTTACCCTGTATGTTCTAGGAGAATTTTAAAGTCTTGAGTCCACAAAGGACAGCGATATGTGAAAAAAGAACCCAATTCTCTTGTGTGTCCACATGGCTCACAGGATAAGGAGACTGACTGGGACTCCTTAGGTGGTGTGTGCGAACCTTTTTTGGGACAAGGTGAATTTTGAAGCCTAGTGTCTAGACAGGAAAGTGAAAGAGGAAACAAATGGTATAATCCTGTGTGTCCAAGTGGCTCAGGGGATAAGAACACTGACTGGGACTCCTGAGGTCATAGGTTCAAGTCCAACCTTGCCCACTTCTAAGTGAATTTTGAAATCTAGTGTCCACAAAGTACAGTGATATATGAAAAAAAAAACATGATGGTCTTCTGTGTCCACATGGCTCAGGGGATAAGGAGACTCACTGGTACTCCTGAGATCGTGGGTTCAATTCTTACCCTGTCCAGTTCTAGGAGAATTTTAAAGTCTCGAGTCCACAAAGGACAGCGATATGTGAAAAAAAAAACACAATTCTCTTGTGTGTCCACATGGCTCACAGGATAAGGAGATTGACTGATACTCCTGACGTGGTGTGTTCGAGCCTTTTTTGGGACAAGGTCAATTTTGAAGTCTAGTGTCTAGACAGGAAAGTGAAAGAGGAAACAAGTGGTATAATCCTGTGTGTCCAAGTGGCTCAGGGGATAAGAACACAGACTTCATTTTATGCCGGAATATCCCTTTAACTTCTCAGAGCCTCAGCCTCTCTGGTAGCTGTTTTTATACCCAGTCATGTTTTTGATGAACCTGATTAGTCAGGGGGTGTAGTAACCGTTGACCACAAAAGTAAAAACACCAGTCAGAACATCTGCAGCCATCACCGTAAAACAAGGAGCTGCTGTGCTTTTGTGTCTGTGTTGAGAATCTGTCCTCTCAGAGTTGCGTAACATGAATCAGAGTCCAACCTCCTCTCCAGGATTTTCAGCTCCGCTCTGACCACACGTCTTTGTCTCCACCCCTTCAGATCTACAGTAGGAGGGTGGGTGTATCCGATATACAGGAAGTGGAAGAGCTGCCTCTACACATGCTGTGTAGATCAGTGCTTGACTATCGTACTGATGTCAGGAAAAAGAAACTTAAGGCAGTTGTCACTGAGAGAGAAGAAATGGCAGAGAAAGGAGTTCAGCTAGATAGAAAAACTGTCTCTTGTTCGATCTGTCTGGATCTGCTGAAGGATCCGGTGTCTATCAACTGTGGACACAGCTTCTGCGTGAACTGTATTAAAACCTACTGGGATTCAGAGGAAGAAAAGGGAGTCTACAGCTGTCCTCAGTGTAGACAGACCTTCACACCTGTCCTTGGGAAAAACATGGTGTTAGCAGATTTAGTGGAGGAACTAAAGAAGACTGGACTCCAAGCTGCTTCTGCTGATCCCTGCTATGCTGGACCTGAAGATGTGGCCTGTGACGTGTGCAGTGGGAGAAAACTCAAAGCCTGCACGTCCTGTCTGCAATGTCTGGCCTCTTACTGCCTGAAACACCTCCAGCCTCATTTTGAATTGCCTGTCTTTAAGACACACAAGCTGGTGGAGTCCTCCAAGAAGCTTCAGGAGAACGTCTGCTCTCATCATGGTGAGGTGATGAAGATGTTCTGCCGCACTGATCAGCAGCCTATCTGTTATCTCTGCCCTGTGGATCAGCATAAAGGTCACGACACAGTCTCAGCGGCAGCAGAACGAGCGGAGTGGCAGAAAGATCTGGAGGTGAGTCGAGAAAACATCCAGCAGAGAATCCAGGACAGAGAGAAAGATGTGAAGATGCTTCAGCAGGAGATAGAGGCTATCAACAGGTCTGCTAATAAAGCAATGGAGCACAGTGTTAAGACGTTCGCTGAACTGATCCGTCTCATTCAGAAACGCCGCTCTGACGTGAAGCAGCAGGTCAGATCCCAGCAGGAAACTGAAGTGAGTCGAGTCAAAGAGCTGAAGGAGAAACTGGAGCAGGAGATCGCTGAGCTGAAGAGGAAAGATGCCGGTCTGCAGAAGCTCTCACTCACGGAGGACCACAACCAGTTTCTGCACAGCTACCCCTCACTGTCAGGACTCAGTGGATCTGCAGACTCCCCCAGCACCATTACCCGTCCTCCAGGGTACTTTGAGGATTTAACATCGGCTCTGTCAGAACTCAGAGAGAAACTCGAGGATGTTCTGAAGAAGACATGGACAAACATCTCTGAGGCTCAAGTAGAAGTTTTACTGTCAGAACCAGAGCCCAAGTCCAGAACCGGCTTCCTGAAATATTCACGTCCCATCACACTGGATCCAGACACGGCAAACCCACAGCTGTTATTATCCGATGGGTTCAGAGAGGCAACACGAACGGAAGAAGGTCAGTCTTATCCTGAACACCCAAAGAGATTTATCCGCCTGTGGCAGATCCTGAGTAAAGAGAGTCTGAGTGGACAATGTTACTGGGAGGTGGAGTGGAAAGGTCCTGGAGTCCGGATTGCGGTGGCCTATGAGGATATGAGCAGATCTGGGAGCAGGTATCAATGTGGATTTGGACTAAATGACAAATCTTGGGCATTGGATTGTAAACAAAACGGCTGTAGCTTTTGGCACAACAACATCCGAACCTCCGTCTCAGGTCCTGGGTCCTTCAAAGTGGGAGTGTACCTGGATCACAGTGCAGGTATCCTGTCCTTCTACAGCGTCTCTGAAACCATGACCCTCCTCTACAGAGTCCAGACCACGTTCACTCAGCCTCTGCATGCTGGACTGTGGCTGCGTCACTGTTCCCCTGGATCCGTAGCTGAGTTCTGTAACCTGAATTAGATCGGGATGACTAATCAATCAAGTTTGATATGAAGTACTTTAGCTTCTTATTTCATCTGCTAATGTTGAGCTTTTAAAGAAAACTTCCTTCTGGTGTTCACTGCTCATGTAATAGCAAACGAACAATCGGCGTGTACAATTTAATTAGATTTGAATGATTTGCTAATCTTTTTAATCCAATATACAATGGAAAATGTTTAAAAAAAATACTATATATCTATATACTTCTACTATCTCCTTGAAGTTGTAACATGTGCTTCTCTCTATATTCATCTACACTTGCAATTTTTTTTTATTTACGGTGTCTTGCAGGACTTTAACAAAAAGACTCCAAAATCCTGTTCTTTTTACTGCTGTTTCAGCTTTTTCTAGTTTTAATATTCGTCTTTATGCCGATGATACGATTTTGTGTTTCTCTGCTACTAATCAGCTTTATCAACACCTATCACTGTATATTGTTCCAAAGAGTTGGTAGGTCCTCTCTTTTTGACTTACTTACCTATCTGTTTATATATAAAGCATGTCTTCCTTTAGGTCCTCTGGCGTGTACAACACTCGATCTTCTGATTGGCTAACGCTCCAGAGTTCATTCTGAGCTTGGACGGTTAGCTTTTGGCTTTTATGCATCATCTGTTAGGCGCTCACTTAAAGGTTCTATATAATGAATGTAATTGTTTTAAAGCGTATCAAAAATAATACATCTATCTATCTATCTATCTATCTATCTATCTATCTATCTATCTATCTATCTATCTAAATGAGGATCTTATGATGTTAATCCTAAATATTAAGCACGTTGATTTTATAAAATATCAGTCATAACAAATCTGAAACTGTTTTTTCCTCATTTTTATTATTTTTATGTTGCTAAGATTTTAAAGTGGATCAAAAATCAAAGCAGATAAATAAAGGAGAAATATGTGATTTTAAACAAAACAAGGTTTTATTGTCTCATTGCCTGATGTGTGATTTTACTGACACCTCATGTACTGGATAAGTTTATGCTACACTGTCCTCTGTGCACCACAAGATGTCACCGTTTATTCACATGTGAAGCTCTTAGACACTCATGATTCTTGAAAAATGTGCAAAGACAGCATCTAAAAAGCTGAACGGGAACATTTAAGCTTATTTCGAAATTTGACGTCAGCAGCAAGTTTTAAAAACATTGACAATGAC